AATGTTAGGTGGGTAATTCTAGATGATATAAAATGGTTGATATCTTTACTTCCAATAAACGTATCGAAGAAATCTAAAAAACTACCCGCGGTATGCTCAGGGTATTTAATATCCCAGGAGCATTCCAAAAGTATAAAAGAAGCTAGTTTTTTCATATTTTTTCTTTATTTCTTTGCTTTCTTATTTTTTTTTTTCAAAACTTTCATTATGCCTGCTCGTTTAACACAAAATTTACGCAACATTCTCCAATCTTTGCTCCAACGTGGTCGTTCGTTCTCAAAGATAAAAAAATTGTATCCAGGAGTGGGTAACTCTACTCTTACAAGGCTCAGAAAACTATATTGCCCTGACCCAGCTAGACCTCTTGGCGGAAGACCGAAAAAACTTGGTGCTAAAACTATGTCCCTAGTGTCAAGAGGACTTCGATCAGGTGCTTTAGATAATTCCCGAGCAGCACAAGAAAGTTTAAGATGGATGGGCCATGATATGTCAACTAATGGCATCCGCAAGTCATTGAGACGAAATGGACTTAAATCTCGTAGAAAAGTAAAGACCAATTTTGTTAGCAAGACAAACAAGCGACTTCGATTGGCGTGGGCTAAAAAGCATAGGCATCTTACTATTGCTGATTGGCGTCGTTGGGTGTTTTCGGATGAAACAAGAATAGACCTTTGGGGCTCAGATGGTAATTCTTTTTACTGGACGAATGGTGACCGAACCATGCAGCCTCATCAAGTCAAGCCTCAGTTGCAGGGAAATGACGGTGGGTTATGTTCTGGAGTTGCATAACAGCGGAGGGGCCTGGTTATGGTACTACCATTATTGAAGACGCAATAAACTCGGGCCTGTATGTCGATATTTCGAAGACATCATTGAACGACACTCTTGAGCACTTTGGGAAGACACCATCTGATGTGCGATTTCAACAAGACAGAGCAACACCGCATACATCGGGCATTACTAAACAATGGTTCACCGACAATGGGTTTAACCTAGACGAAGTTATGGATTGGCCACCCCAAAGTCCCAATCTTAATCCCATTGAACATGTCTGGCATCTCCTAAAGCTTCGTCTTAATAAGTATCCCACTAGGCCCTCTACAAAAGAAGAATTAGAGCGACGTATTAACATTCAGTGGTACAAAATAACAGAAAAAGAGTGCCAGAAATATATTGATAGTATGCCTGCCCGAATCAAGGCTGTCATCAAGAGCAAAGGTGGTTCAACTCACTATTAATGATTTTATAATAAAATGTACATTTTTCTATATTTATTTTTAACCAATAAAATCATTGGATTTTAGTTTTTGAGAAAGTTATAATTATGTATAGATAGCACTGGTTTCTCTCATTCAAACGATATATATTTCGGCTTTGTATACAAAGAAATGACCGAAAACTTGTGCAAAAAGACAAAATTTTAAACGAACGGGACAGTTTTTCCCCCTACAGTAGTTGGACAACTATAAACCTGGTGCTCATTTCTATAGACAAATCTGCTTTGGCTATTTATCTATATACTTACTCTATTATCACTCTTACTATTCACACTACATTGAACCACTTTGTAACAATATACGAGCCTTTCGACACTGTTACAGGCAAGTCAGTAGTAGTGTATACAGTTTTGATAAAAGAGTATGAAAGAGATAATAAATTAACCAAAGCAGATCTAACTATCAAATGAGCACTGTTAAGCACAAAGAATAAAAGAATTATCATTTGTAGCTTATAAAAAATGTTCGATATTATAAAAACAAGAAAAGACTTATTTGAATAAGATCAGACACAAAAACTAAAGATTTATTGATGAAGACAAGAGTTATTCTATTTATACTAAGTTCTGAATGCCAAAGTAGCAAATTATCTTGTACAACGCTTATCACATCTGGTGAACCTCAGCATTTAGATAGCTGAGATGCGCTTCAATTATCATAGCTTGTCCATGTTGTTGCACAACACAAACATATCTACCCATCAAGAATACCTTAATCTCTATAGACAGTTGTAGCCCTTCTGGCACAACAATTATCAATCAAACGGTTTCCAAAGCCACCACGGTTTGATGCTAAACGCGTTTTGCAAAAAGGGAAAAAAAGGGGGCATGGAAAAACGAGAGGGCGCTCTATCAGACGTCACGGCAAGTAGATTTGACCTCAGTCTTCTGCCGTGACAGCCGTAATTGCGGCAATTCAATTTGAATTTGTGTAGAGGGTGTTTTCGTGTTCAAAATTGACCTGATCTGATATCTTTTAAAATTTTTTTGCCAAATTTGACTATGAAAACTGTCATTTTTGCACCCAACTTTCTAATATACCTTTGGAGAGCTTAAGAGGCCGCATCGAATGATGCTAATTATATACAGCTTTTAGACTGAAAACAACGAGCAATTCGCAAAAACATGAAAACAGGTTTTCTGTTAATATGTTAAGATTTAGCATATGTAAGTCTTATGGAAAGAGCTTCCAATGTTGCATTCCATTCTTACAATCAATTTGATCTAATATGTATCATAGGAAAAGTCTTCATTTTTGAGGTGAAAAACGCGATCGTTTAATTTCTGAGAGTTTCCTCTTGCTAGAACTCATGAAAATATGAGAATTTTCATGGATTTGCAATGACCTAAAAAATTTTGAGATAAAGCATCAGTAAGCAAAGCGTATCAAAGGAGAGCGGTTTGGTCCTATTCCAAGCGTTCAAAACGCTTTGTAGCATGAGTTATTCGTGCCTGAAAATGACTAGATTTGGTTAGAGTTTGGCCTAAAAATAAGACGTAGTATGTTGTGTTGCCAAAGAATCAAGTAAATCACAGTTCTGCCTAATGTCCCTGATATTCTGTATTGTACAGAACTCAATTTCTTAGTTATCGACGCTTATATTCTAATTCTATAGGGCAAATCTCACTTTCTGAAATGCGCGATTACAGTAATTTTAAGACTTGAGCGTCAATGTTATTAAGCAAATTTGGATTCAACGACTTGCTCGGATTAAATGCATTGCTCGTCATGTCAGCAGGACGTCTCTGATGGTCTTTCACAACAGAGATACCATAGCTCTGCTGTGAATGAGCATGTAGAAGGTAAGCTTGATGAACATACGTAAGAATAATGAAGAATATAGTAGGTTTAATTCAGTAAGAAGAATCAGATAGAAAAAGTCAATGAAGGGCAAGTGTCTACTGCTATTTATATCTCTGATTCACGGATTGCTTACACACCCATCTAGAATGGTGTTCTCATGCTGAATTTTAGTATCCATCATCACTTATTATGTTAAGTGATAATTATTCCGGGTAAATATAGCTGATCAGTCTGAACACCTTTAGTTGCTCTTGGCAACGCTAATTACTTATATTCCATGTTTGCTATCTTTTGACATATGATGAATAGCTTACTGGAACTTGGCTTATGCGAATATCATGGTAAATATCTACATGTTGATAAAGCTTATATACATATGCTTCATATGTGCACAGGTTATTGCTGTATTCAAACTACGTTTTTTGTGATTCAGGTACCGTTATATGTGTGAATACAACAATTAAGCAGTTTTGACTGCAATGCTATCCAACACCCTTTTATCAATAAGTTTGCCATTTGTAATCAAATGTTTCCAATTTGAAAAAAATAGCATATTTCCTCTTCACGGGCACTACACACTTGGACCTAATGAAAAGGTTTTAGCAACAACATAGAACTTAGAATAGCTGTCGTCCTTTCTCGTAGTAAAACGCGTGGCACAGCTTAAACTTTTGCCGCACCACAATGAAGCAAGTTATCACCAAGTGGTTTTAAATACAGCGTTTTGCAACACCTCATTTATCGATCTAGTACGTGTAATCACTTGAAGTAACGGGTCTCGTAAAGGCTTTATATTCAGTTGACTCCGTTAGTTCTCGGCATCGCCTGAACAATAATTCAATAAACGGTATACTTTAGTGAAGCAAAGAACAATAAACTACTACTTTTATTATACATGCAACCAATATTAGTATATTTTTCAATGAAGTTCAGTAGGGGTATCTGCTCAAACAGCTTCTTTCTCCAAACATCCACATTAAAAAACTATTTCTTGTCTGACATCTGATCGCACTTTTGCTGCTTATTGTTGATAAGATATAGTTTCTGAATGCAGTGATACTATTTGACAACTTTTCAGTCGGGAAGCCATGGATTTCAGGTACATACAAGTGAGGTGTCATTCTCAAACTATATATCTCATCTTTGAACTGAACCGAACTTGAAACTAAGCAACCCAAAATTGGTAACGTCAGGTTTTTCTTTATGATACTTGATAAAGAGCCTCCATATATGTAATTGAATTTATAACGAATTCTCGGATACATTCACCTCATGACATTTATGTTTTGAATCAAGAGAAAGCACACAACATGTCACGGTACTGATGATATACATGCAATACATTTCATGTCAACTGACGCATGCTTGATGCTTGTTGTCACTGATTTGATTCGTTGGAAGCAAAGAGAGGCAAATAACAAAACACTTGGATCAAGTTCAAGCGCTCTACGTTGTTTGCATCAACAGCTTGGTTTTATTCAAGTATGATTCATTGAAAAAAAAAAAAAAAAAAAAAACTGCATACAGCATTGATTGACATGGCCCTGTATAGACTATGGGCAGATGGCTGATTTAGACTTAGTTTTTGAGCAATAAATCGACAACCATCGCTACAAACAGCAAATCAATTCCAACAGCCATAAATACGGTATACACAACGCCATAGATCTGTTTATCGGGTCAATGCATTGGTTTTGCTCTACCATTTTTACCTTTATTGTATCACTTGATAAGAAACAAGATTGGGTCACACATTTCCAGGCTGTGTGTGTACTTTGCGTGTGTATGTGTGTGTGTGTGTGTATGTGTGTGTGTGCGCCTCTGATTGCCGTGTATCGTTACACTTGCCATCAAAAATTATTTAACGGGAAAAATCAAAAAAAGCAAATCAAACTTAACGCTTTTTTCTCTTCTTTATTCATGGATTCAAAGGCTCCTCCTCAAGCAGGTGTTTTCTCTGGGCTCAACCCAACGGCCGTCAACCTAGCAAACCCAATCACTCTGTTTATCATTCAAGTAAGCACTGCCCATTTTCATATATGCAGACATGAATAAAGCTTAATTTAGTCTGACATGTTATTTCTAGGCTGTTATCATTCTGGTCTTTTGTAGAATCTTAGCAGTTCCATTAGCTTATTTAAAACAGCCAAGAGTCATTGCAGAGGTCATTGCTGGTATCGTGTTGGGCCCATCAGTGATGGGTCGAATACCCCATTTCAAGGATACCATATTTCCAAGTCAATCACTACCATTTCTCAACTTGATCGCTACATTGGGTCTTGTCTTCTTCTTGTTTCAAGTAGGCCTTGAAGTGGATTTGCGTATAGTGAAACGAGATTGGAAGCAGAGTGTGTCTATCGCAGTCGCAGGTATGGCTCTGCCGTTTGGGTTGGGCGCTGCTGTCAGTGTTGGGCTGTACAAGTTGCAAAATGAAAGCAACATTCCCTTCTCTAGCTTCTTGCTGTTTTTGGGTGTTGCGATGGCTATTACGGTAAGTTTTGAATAGGGTATGGTCTGTCGAGTCAACATGTGCTGAATGACACTCTATGTATTGATAGGCATTCCCTGTGTTGGCTCGTATTTTGGCAGAACTCAAACTGCTGCGTACTCGAGTGGGTGTCATTACCATGTCGGCTGGCCTATTGAATGATTGCGTTGCTTGGTAAATTTTGCACAGAAATGAACTTGTAGCTCTTTTATTGACACGTTTATTTAGGGTACTGCTTGCTCTTGTGGTGGCCTTGCTGAATTCCTCGGGTGGATTGGAAGCACTGTATGTGTTCCTGACCACTGCTGCTTTTGCATTGTTCTTGATCATCTTTATTGCTCCTCTGTACCGTCAGCTGGCCATTAAAACGGGCTCTTTTGAACACGGTCCATCGCCATTCTTGATGGCTGTCACCTTGTTATTGGTGTTGATCTCTGCATTTGTCACTGATATAATTGGTACGTTGTAATGTCTATATGCATGAAAGGCTTTATAGTTTGACAAGCGTATTGTTTAGGCGTGCATCCAATCTTTGGTGGGTTCCTTGCTGGCGTCATTATACCACATGACCATGATCTCGCCATCAAGATTACCGAGAAGATTGAGGATATCGTGAACATTGTGTTTCTACCCCTGGTAAGTGTGTTGTTTCTCAAGCGAAACAAGCAGACACTGATGCGCCTTGCAGTACTTTACATTGTCAGGACTCAAGACACAGATCGGCCTGCTCAACACAGGCGAAGTCTGGGGCTATGTTATCCTGGTCATCTTTTTAGCCTGCTTTGGCAAGATTGTTGGATGTGCGATTGCCGCAAGAGTAACTGGATTGACTACACGTGAGTCGTTGACGATTGGCTTCTTGATGAGCTGCAAAGGGTAAAAAAAAAATTAAAGTTGTAATTGTAACTTTATTTTAATCTAATGACTTTTTCTGTTACACACAACAGTCTAGTTGAACTGATTGTGCTGAACATTGGACATGATGCAGGCGTACTGAATGATCAGAGTAAGTGCCGGATGATGCAATCGCATCTGCAATTGTGCATTGCCGCTGATGTTCCCTCATAGTATTCGTGATTATGGTTGTCATGGCATTGGTGACTACGTTCATGACAACACCAACCGTAATGTGGTTGTACCCCGAATGGTATCAAAAGCTATCCGCAGAGCGATTTGCCAACCCAGAGTTTGAGCAAGACAGTGCAGACATCGACAAAAAGGACCCCAGTGTGCTTGGCACTTCCAAATTCGAGCCAGATCAGTATTTTTCTTTGGTGACCATGCTGAATCGTATCGATACAGTGCCTTCCATGATGGCACTGATTCGTCTCCTGAAACAAGATCCACTCACTCCTGAACACTACAACAAAAGTCGACTTGACATTCACGCTCTTCGTTTGCTCGAATTGACGCAACGCGCGTCTGACATCATGAAGATCCAGGACATACGTGAAACGCAAAAGCAAGACCCCGTGCTCAATGTGTTGAGAGCCTTTACTAGTTTGATTGGTATTGAGTCATTGCAAACTCGACTGGACTTCCGTACGCCATCAGAATACATTAGCGCTGTGTCAGATTACAGTGAATCCGTGTCGGCTGATATGATCTTGCTTCCTTGGGTTAGCAACAACCATGTTCCAGTGCAACCACAACAAACACCTCAACAAGAAGTGAATCCCATGGACCAACGCACTGCTGCAGACTGGAAGTCGTACCCAGTCTCTGACGCTGATTTTGCTACCAGTGCTTATTCCATGACACACTCCACTGTGGGGCTGTTTATTGATCGTGGGTTTGGACATGTTCAGGATGGAAATCCAAGATCACAGAGAAACTTCCAAATCATTGTGCCCATCACACATGGCGGTGCTGATGACCGTGCTGCCCTGATATTCGCGCTTCGTCTTCATGCCAAAGCGGATGTTCTTGTTCTCAAGTCAACACTTGATGACTCTTCCACGACCTATGCTACAAAGGAATCCATCCAACACACACTAAATACAGCCAGCGCATTGCACACATCAGATGACAGCTTGATCCAAGGCTTATTCACCTCCTCCGTTGTCTCGAGCGTTGTATTCCGATCTGTCAAACAGTCTGCCAATGTCTCTGAATACAGCACTTTGTTGGATAGCTTGGAGACACCTCTTGATAAGCACGACTTGGTTGTCTTGGGAAGATCTATATTCGCTAGCAATGCTGCCAGTCTACCTGCTTATACACCTACTCCATTGGAGGGCAGCTCTTCCTCTAGCTCTCCTTACAGCAGAGGATTCAAATCTGCGCTTGGTAATACAGCCTACCAAATCTTGTCTGCTGGCACATTGGCCAGTCTTGTTGTGATCCAGGCACCCGCAAGCGATGCTTTGCATCCTACTGAAGTTTAACATACCATATACATATTACTATCCCCCGTTTTTATTGCTATTAAAGTTTATTGATAAATCCTGTGTCTACAAATATTTACAATATAGGTTCTACGGTAATGAAGTGATTGAGATCGAGAGGAAATAGTATACTACTGCAATTGTGACATAGAACAAACGCAGGTGGGAAGTCAAGTGTAGTACGGGCCTAAGAGAATAACGGGAAGAAGAAACAAAATTGACGTGTATCAAGCAATAAATGCAGGCGTATCGTATGAATATGGGTACAGCAAGGATGGAAAAACAAGCAGGATGAATCTATAGAGAAAGCATGGTGATATCATCGTAAAAATAAGTGTGTTCCTCGGCCTTGATAGCAGATATACGAAGGACAGGATTGTATTCAAGCATGGACTTGAGCAGGTCGTATGCTGAATCAGGAAGATCGATGGAAGACGAAGACCGTTCCAGCGATGCTCGTAAATCCACTGCTTTCCAAGCTATCAAAAAAAAAGTAATTGTCAGCTATACAGATCTCCCTTTAGGATATGTGGGATTACTTACGGGGAAAATGCTCGTTGTAATCAGGCAGTGTAGATATGCCTGGCCAGATTGTTTCATTTGGTGTGCCCAGCCTTCTGAAAATGCGAAATAGCTGATCAATTTGTGCCCCTCCTGGAAACAAAGGCTTCATTGTAATCATCTCAGCCATAATGCAGCCCACACTCCACATATCCACAGCGGTAGAGTAATGCGGACTACCGAGCAAAATTTCTGGCGCTCTGTACCATAGAGTAATGACCTAAAAACAGGGTTAGATGCCTTGGCTATGCCTTCTACTGCTGTGTGTCTTCATGCCTGATGTGTGTATGTTCTCATCGGTATGCTAAAAGCACGAGATAGCCCAAGATCAGCAATAGTCAGTTTACCACGAGAGTCAATCAGCAGATTCTGTGGCTTCAAATCTCTGTGCAATATCCGGTGCGAATGACAGTAATGCAGGCCCCGTAATAACTGATGCATAAAACTCTTGATGTGCTTTGCTGTCAATCCAGGCCGCTTCAATGTGTCCATGTATTTTCTTAGATCCACTTCATAGAAATCAAACACAAGATAGATGGTGGCATCCCGCTGGATCATGTCCACAAGCCTGGATCAGACAAGGTTAATTGAGGCTCTGGCTGGCTGCCATGTACGCACTTACTTGACAATGTTTTCATGCTTCATCTCTTTTAGAATAGCTACCTCTCGGATGGTCGTGGTGGGCACACCTTCATGAAGATTCAGTCGTATCTTTTTCAATGCAACCAGTTTATTGGAGTCCTTTTGTCGAGCCTTGAACACAATACCATAAGTGCCCTCTCCAATCTTGCTCAATTTCTGATACCCTGCTAAATCATATGGATGTGCCAAATCGTCGTACTCTTCCTCTTCTTCCTGCTTTCCATCGCCTGCTGCTAAAGCGTCTGCAGTCAACTCTTGCTCATCACTCAGTTTCGTCTCCTTGGCATTTGCAGCGTCTCCTTTCTTTTCTTTATTTTCCTTTTTAATGGCTTGAGAGGGCTCTTTCTTGCTATCACGTTCGAGTTGTGAAGGAGGAGCAGCAGTAGCCGAAGCTTCTGCTTGTGGATCAATGGTGGGAACAGTCGTCGCTTGCCTATCGGTGGATTGAAAGATGTCAGGTACTTGACCGCCTCTGATGAGCAGATTGTTGGTAGCGGAAATATTGCCTGTATCCTGAAATACGTCTGTGGTTGATAGAAAGTTGCTGTTGTGCTTTGCAGTGGAAGATGAAGTGGTGGTGGGAGTATGGCGCTCTTCATCTGAGGCGACTGTGAGCTTTGTTGTTCTATTGTGCCTTGGAAGAGGAGGTGGGACATTCTCGGACATGGTTGTCGCTATAGGGATATATATATATATATATATATATAGATGCAAAAAAAGAAAGGTGAAGCTAATGGACGTCGTCACTCGGTCAGACTCATTAACAATGAAAGCAATGCCTTTTGAAATTTGCACTCTCTTTTTTTTTTTTTTTTTTTTATATATTTCAAAATCTAGTGGCGAGGAGAAATAGGACACGGCTTAAATTTTTTTTTTAGAACCCATCCAGGTGGTGCTGAACGCGTTTAAGGGTGCGTCGTGAATGTCGTGCTAGGAATGATGATCTAATATGGCACCGATGGCAAAAGTTGCTATTACAACGATGATGCTGTTTGAGGAGGGGGGGGGGGAGGAGCATGGCAACCAGTATCTCATTATTTTCACTACAGGCAATGCATAGTCTGATATAGTGTTCTTTTATTATAGAAAAATTTTGTACAAAAAATGCCTTTTAGAGGGTAATAGTAATATTTGATATTATGACATTAGAGAGGAAAAGAGAAATAATTACTAATAAAGTTACTTGGAGCCATGAACAAGAGCAATCAGGTTGGGAACAACTGATTGATCAGCAAGAGTAGAAGTATCACCGAGAGAATCCTGCTCTCCGTTTACAATCTTGCGAAGAATACGACGCATAATCTTGCCAGAACGAGTCTTGGGATGGTCGCTGACAATGTAGATACGCTTGGGAGTGGCAAAGGGACCAATAATCTTGCGAACCAACAATGTCAATTCCTTGTCTAAACCTTCAGAAGCATCTACGTTGGGACGCACAGACACGAAAGCATGAATACATTGACCAGTCAAATCATCATGGCCACCAATCACAGCGGCTTCAGCAACAGCTTCATGGTGAACAAGGGCAGATTCAATTTCGGCAGTGGAAAGTCTGTGGCCAGACACATTGATCACATCATCGACACGACCTTGCACCCAAATGTAACCGTCTTCATCACGGTAAGCACCATCACCAGTAAAGTAGTAGCCAGGGTAAGGCTTGAGGTAGGTTTCAACAAAGCGAGAGTGGTTGTTGAAGACAGTACGGGCCATGGAAGGCCAGGGTTGACCGATGGCAAGCACACCAGTTTCATGGACTTCATCAATTACCTTACCAGTAGTGGGATCGAGAATGACGGGCTTGATACCAAAGAAGGGAAGAGTAGCAGATCCAGGCTTGGTAGCATGGGATCCAGGAAGAGGAGAGATGATGATGGAGCCGGTTTCGGTTTGCCAGTAAGTATCAACAACAGCACATTGGCCTCTACCGACCTTCTCGTTATACCAATCCCAAGCTTCAGGGTTAATGGGCTCACCAACAGAACCAATAACACGGAGAGTAGACAAGTCATGCTTTTCAACCCATTGGTCACCGAGACGACGGAGAGCACGAATGGCAGTAGGAGCAGTGTAGAATTGCGTAATCTTGTGCTTTTCAATCAATTCCCAGAATCTGCTAGGATTAGGGTAAGTGGGAGTAGATTCGAACAAGACGGTGGTACCGCCCAAGGCAAGAGGACCATAGACAATGTAAGTATGACCAGTCACCTAGTAAGAAGAATTGGTAAGTCATCTCTATTTTCCCAAAGCAGCGTTAAAGTAACTTACCCATCCAATATCAGCCATACAGGCATGAATATCACCCTCATGGTAATCAAAAATGTATTTGACAGTGGCAGCAGCACCCAAGATGTAGCCACCAGTAGTATGCAAGATTCCTTTGGGAGTGCCAGTGGAGCCAGAAGTATACAAGAGGAAGAGAGGATCTTCAGAGTTCATGGGCTCAGGAGGACAGAAGGATCTAGCCTTGGCCACCTCCTCATGCCACCAGAGATCACGGTCTTCAACCCAATCAATAGCAGAACCAGTGCGACGGAAGACAATGACATTTTCAACCTGTGTTTGGTTGGAACGAAGAGCATCATCCACAATACGCTTTGTGGCAACAGATTTGCCACCACGACGACCTTCATCAGAGGTAATAACAACGCGAGCGGAGCAATCAATGACACGATCACGGAGAGATTCAGCAGAAAAACCGGCGAATACAACAGAGTGAACAGCACCAATACGAGCACAAGCAAGCATGGCAACAATAGCCTCGGGGATCATTGGCATGTAGATGGCAACAGCATCGCCCTTGCGCACACCCAGATTCTTCAAGGTGTTGGCCATTTGACAAACTTCACGCAATAACTCACCATAGGTAATGCTACGAGCTTGATTGGGTTCATCGCCTTCATGAATGATGGCGACTTTGTTGGGATTGGCGAGAGCGTGTCTATCAACACAGTTGTAGGAGACATTGAGTTCACCTTCCAAGAACCAAGCGACATCGCCTTGTTCAAAAGAGCCGTGGCGAACAGTTTCAAAAGGCTTTGACCAGGTCAATAGTTCGCGAGCAAGCTACACGGGACAACATGTCAATATCATTACCACGTCAATCTCTTTGCAAAATCTCGACTTACGTTTCCAAAGAACTGATCTGGCTTATCAACACTTTCTGTCCACATGGCCTTGTACTTTTCCATGGAATCAACAAAGGGAACAGGGTTTTTGGAGGCATCCAAGAGACGCTTGGGCACAGGATGGCAGACAACTTGAGCTTGATCTGTAGTCATAATATATGTTGAAGAAATAGAAAAAAAGAAAAAAAGGTATATTTGGAACTTAAAGACGGAAATATAGATTTGGTGCCTTTTTATATCTTTTGGATTTTTCGTTGGGGGGAGCAAGTTGGGAGACCAACCAGCAATCTAACATCTTTATCCAGAGATCATAATAGGCAGGCGTGTATTACTCTAGGAGGCAAAATAGCATAAACCTTATTCATCATGCAACACAAAATGGCAGGAACCCCAGATTTTTTCCACTCTGCCATTTTCATTAAATGTTTCTGAGTGTAGATTAGTGGCTATTGTGCTATTATGCTGAAGTCAAGGTATATACACAGCCCTTTTCGCTCGCATGTATACGAAAAGCATACAAATAACAGATATCCATAGATGGAACGTATACGCTGTCAATGTTTCTCTTTTGATTTCGGTCAAATTGCCTAGTCAAGCGATGGACCAATTTCCTTATACTGCAAACTATCCGCGGTGGGCATTTCACTCACGGAAGGACCCTTTACACCATCTTGACACTATATCTTATTTCAACCATTTGACAGTTTCCAGGAACTGAACTACTTTTGACATATCCTGGCTTCTCTCTCTCTCTCTCTCTCCAGATGGCATAGTGTATGGCACTCGCACTCGCTTTTGTATGCTTTACTCACGGTCAGACATTGAATAACCGCCTATGTCAATGATTGGTTCCATAGGCCAATTGTATTTTTTCCCTTGCGCCTGATAATACAGAAAGAGGTGCAATCATGGATGGATGATGAGGGAGCGAGAGGCAGAGGAGATCATGTGGACTAAAATTACACACGCTGATGATTCATTTTGGGATTTGTGTAATCTACACAAACTATCAGAAAGCAAGAGGTTCTCGATCTAAGAAAGTGATGACTCCAATGTCTACTTCTTTGGGCGTACCTTGATTGCATTAATGCACCTGCTCAAGTTGAAATACTTGCAGTATATTCAGGATGTTATATATTTTGCCAGTTTTCTCCATGAATCCTTGCCTTGCGTAACATGATACGAAGGAAAGATTTCTCAAACACATGAATCATAAAGTTTTAGCCAGTGATACATCTCAATTCGGTTTTTCCCCACATCTAATATATATATATATATATATATATATCTATTTCTTGAATATTCTTTGTGGCATCAAATACATGGAACGTAAACAAGAACTCAGTGTATCTGCATGTATATGGACTGAGATATACCCTACGTTTCGAGGCCTTGATGCTCATACATCTTGCTATATTTTTGGATGATTGCTTAAAATATATAACCTTTTTTGCGGGGTAATCGCGTGGGAGTTGCATTTTCAATGATCCTTTATCTCGAGCCAATAAAACGCTTTTCCAAACAGAAGAATGAATTCTAATTGACATTGCCACATTGCTTTTATATAAAGCGCAAAGGAGAATACTTGGAAACTTGATGTCTTCCATACAAAATGCCCTGTTGACTGGATAGCAATTGTGCTAGTCGTCCTGTACGGAATGCTCTTGTTTATTCCCTTCATCTTAGCTCATATATCATGTACCTTTTTTGGATTTCTTGGACGATATAAATGTACATGTATCACGCACATTTGCTGCTGTGAACAATGCGATAAGCGGACAAATGATTGTATTACTAAACATTTGCTGGGTCACCGCAAGCGGTTTGAATATAAAGCGTGGCAAGATCTCCATAAATCAAGTTCATCATGACGACAATGCGGATAAACGATATTTCATACATTGCATATAAACATACACAGCTATTTTGCTTTTGTGAAATCACATGAAACGTATAGATAGCATTACACTGCACTGATCGGCTAAAATTATATTCATCCTTTTTCCTTCTTACCCCACACTTTAGATCATCCAAGAAGATTGGTTGCATAAATCATTCAGATCTCTGTGTTCCAATGTTAGATTAGTAGACAATAACCTTCATGTACATGGCACATGATGGTTGTTCCTATTTGTTGCTTTGGCTTGACAATGCGACAAAGATAACAATTTATTAACCCGCTTGAATGAATCATCAGCGTCATTTATTTTGTTTATCGGTAAAGAGGTGCTTTGCAGTAGTGCGACCTAAAATACTTCTTTAAATCACTATATTCGCTAAATGTGCCACCAAATACAAACTTTTGCGGTACAGAGATCGGCAATAATGATCCCTATTTACAGTTGCATTCAAATAAATCACATTTTGTTGCTCATTGGGCTCCGTATTATGCGTGTATCTTGATTGTGGTAGGCCGTAGTCGTCATCTACTCCGTTAGATCATGGTCAAATCAAGTCCATTTTTCCAGGCATTTGATAGACGAGAGCAGTATTCATATTTGTTGTATTATGATTTATTCAATCAATGGTCATATCTGTATCTATTTATTATTTATAAGTTAAGACTTGAAAGAACTAGACAAGTTCAGCTCCTCATCGAACGTCTACCACAGTAAACTGCATGATCCAATTCCTATACATCAAACATATAATGGTGTCTTTAAAACTAGAGTTCACTAAACTCTTTAGGCCAGTGCCACATAAAACTATAATTCACAAAGAAGAGAGCTAGATGCTGTGGCCATCGTCCAGATCGATGACAGCCTGTGGTTCTTTCTTATTAAGGTATATCGACCATTGAACTAACTCGAGATGTTAGCAATAAGCTTATAAGCGCATAGTGTAACGCTTATGCTCAGCAATACATTGACAAATAGTCATTTAACGTTGTTGTACATCACACACACATGTGTAATATACAAGGATGTTTACATAAACGTCTGCAATATCCACCATGCCCTTTCTTTTTCCATCATTATATACACTGTAAAATATTCAAAAAAAAAGTAGAGAAACAAATCATATCCTTTCAAAAATTCAAAGAATTGAGTACCTTACAAGGTGAATAAACCATCCGCGAAGCCGGCATTGGGGAGGGGGGTTGGAGGAGGTGCTAGGCTCATCCACCAAGAACATAACGCATCTAATTCAACATTCGGTAACACTGTCCTATGAGGCGGTTATACCGTAGCGAAGTAAAGATGCAAAACCATAGTATTCAAGCAGCAAATTCGAGTTTTCATTTCCATTATTTATAAGCTTACCAACAATATAACGCATTCAAACTTGCACATGCTACAGAACTACCCTTCTAGAAGATTTCAGCTACCAAAGATGCCATTCATTCCGTGTAAGTAAAAGCTATAAAGCAAAAATAGAACCAAGTTTGACAGCTTTTAAGCCTTCATAACTTGGCATATAATCGCTCTGAGCCGCTAGAATAACGCCAAACAATTGTACTTGAGTAGTAGTAACTTCCTGACACCTTTGCTCAACTTTTTGGGCCAAAAAAAAACATGGCCAAAAATCGACCAAAAAGCATGAGGGGTACCTCATGGTTTTCATTGAAATTCAAACGATCGCATTTTTTACCTTGAAATTGAAGGCTTTTACTATGGTATATATTAAACCAAAATGTTCGTCTTGATCCAAAGCAACCTCTGAAAATTTGTTTGTGAGGTTATCATATGCAAAATTTCGACATATTTGCCAAAAACCTCATTTCATATGTTCAAAAATTTCTCAATAAGTTTATTCATATTACCTCTTTTATTTAATACCATTAGATGCGCCTTGATAATCACTCTTAAAAACATAAGAGAGTATGTTGTAATTTTCACAATCTCTATAGTCGAATCTCGCAAAATAGTTAAAATCGAGTCGAATCTCATCAAATCTGGCCAATCTTGAGGAGAAAAAAACAGCGAAGCTGAAATATTTTTTGGCGGCTGCTGATTAAATGCCTCTCTTACCATGTATGCTATGATCTTTGCGATGTTAATAATAAGAGGGAAATTGCAAATTGAAAAGCGTTATAGATTTGAATGGCTAGCCCATGTTTGTAATTGACTAATAAAAAGTTGCGTTTGAAATCGCAACTACCTATCTTTTCGTCTATCTAGATGGGGTAAGCTTCTCTTTTTTGTTAGCAGTATAGTCTATATCACTATATGGTCAAACATATATTGAAGGTCTGCATGGAAATAATATAAACAAGGTTCTCTACGCAAAAAATATTATATGCTTTCCTTCAAAAGCTGTTTATGGCACAATCCTAGCATTATCTTTATTATTCCTATTGTGCGTTTACAACTCGTTGATAATAGAGATAGGTAAAAACAGCCATGAATAATTGGCAATCGACACGATCTACGATGCCTCCATGACCAGGAATCCAACCAGCAAAATCCTTGATATTGGCTGCTCTTTTCAAAGCACTTGCAAGAAATCCACCAAAAGGAGCAAATATTGAAGCATAGAGCGCCATAGTTACGCCGTGGTATCCTATGTTGTCGTAGATTTCCAGGTTCTATCGTTTGCAAGTGGGTTATTATACATTAAGGAAAATAGAATGTATTGAGCTTACATTGTCAGCTATCAAGCTATCGAATCTACAAAGCACTTTAGAAGTCTGTGATATGTTAATTTCCATATAATCATAATGAATTTTGCATCCTTACGATATAGCCAAATAAGACTGTAATACAAAGCGCACCAACAAATCCTTCTACTGTCTTGTTTGGACTCAAACTAATCAATTTTGTTTTTCCCCAGCGACTGCCACAATAGTAAGCAGAGCAATCATTGCATATAACCAAAAAGCAAGGAAATATGAACCAAAACAATCCGCCATTAGCTATATTCCAATGAATAAATGCAGGCTGCGTCAATGTATATAGAATAGACAGATGAACCCAAGACTGATGGGCAATTCGCTGGCCAAGAATAGAGCTAGAGCTTGCTTGATTCAAGACAAAGGCGACCCACAAAACAAACCCTAAAGTCATTCATGTCATAAATGAGATTTTTTTTCTACTTGGCAGCATTGGAAACGCATCATTCACCTACATTGAGTGTAGAGCATGAACCATTCAAAAAATTTGCTGCCGTTGAACCAAATCGCATCTGTCAAGCATAAAAGAGCTATCAAGAATAGCCCACTACTTTATGTTATTATATGTCATATGTAGCTCTGAGATGTATCACATACCAATCCGAGTAGATTTGAGTCTTTTCGCGATGTACATTGTCAATGGTCAGGCCGATTCTTCGAAGCTCCTAATTTCCAATGTTCATAAATACATGATGTCTCGTTACTTAGATCAATGCACCAAATCTTACATGAAAGGCCTTTGCTTGGATGAGTGTCATCAAAACAAATGTCGACTTGTCATTTCCAAAAAGAAGAAGGGCCAGGATCAATGAGGCTATTGTCATTCCAGCTACTAATCTCATGTTGGTAACTCAAAAGAAAGATGGGGTAAAATTGGAGGCCAAAAACTAAGGTTGCTTATATAGCTTTCATACTGATTTTTTCAAGAATACATCAGGTTTTATCGATGCTAATATACAACAGCAACTAAACTTGAATCTGGATGCTTGTGAAATGTGTTTCTGATCTGATTTATTACATCAACTCATAGTCAGGTCATTCCAAATGTCAAAGAGTCACAGAGCGTTCAAATGACGTCAAAGAAAAAAATTGAAAGCACACACCACATACACCACACAGGTGCTGAATATACGGTAGACTCGCATTCAGAGAGTAGTATCACTTGCACAAAAAAAGCAAAAAGGAGAACAAATAAAGAGCTCCTTTCTGTTTCTTTCTCTTTCCTATTTTAAACTTTTATTGTACGGACAAACACCAATCTAGCGCCCTAAGATTACAATACGTAGAACAAGAATGCCAGTAAACGACGCAAAGTATATCAAAGAAGTGTGGGCTGAGAATTTGGAGGAGGAAATGGCTCATCTTCGTGATTTGGTTGAAGAATATCCATACTTGGCCATGGTTAGACATGAACAGAGAGAGGAATCCGTGTGCGCTTGTTCGTCTTAACACCTTATTCGATAGGATACCGAGTTTCCTGGTGTAGTTGCAAGACCTATTGGCACGTTCAAAACCTCGTCAGACTATCACTATCAAACTCTGAGATGCAACGTAGACTTGTTGAAAATCATTCAATTAGGTGTTACTTTTGCTGATCAGTACGGTAATTTACCTGGCAATATCTGTACGTGGCAGTTCAATTTCAAGTTTAGTTTATCGTAAGGAGCTTTGTTGATATTGCATGCAAACCGACTCTAACAAGTCAAATATCTGCAGAGACGACATGTATGCTCAAGACTCGATTGAACTGTTGACCAAGTCAGGCATTGATTTCAAAAAACACGAGGAATATGGTATCGATGTGGAGCATTTTGGCGAGTTGTTGATCAGCTCAGGCTTTGTTTTATTGGACGATGTCAAATGGATATCCTTTCACAGTGGCTACGATTTTGGATACTTGCTGAAAGTATTAACGTGCTCAGTTATGCCTGCCGATGAAACAGAATTCTTTGAGCTTTTGCAAACCTACTTCCCATGTATATACGATATCAAATATTTAATGAAGAGTTGCAAAAATTTGAAGGGTGGTTTACAAGACATTGCAGACGATCTACAGGTGGGTATTCAGTGGAGGATTCGTGTGTTGGATCTTGCATTAAACACTGCTTATGATAGGTGGCAAGGATTGGTCCTCAACATCAAGCTGGTAGTGATAGTTTATTAACTTGTACGACCTTTTTCAAAATGAGACAAATGTTCTTTGAAGATAGAATCGATGATCAGAAATATCTGTAAGTATGCATTCAGGAGAGGAAAAGGTAGCGTACTGACGGTTGGTCGACTGGACCCTTCATAGTGGTTATCTGTATGGTTTAAAGTGTAGTCGAAATAGCACATCTGTCCAAGCACTCACAGCAGCTACAAACAACTTAACACTAGCGATATCTGATGAATCAAACAGCAACACTAATAATATCAATAATAACGCCATTAAATCTAATGGAAAATAAAGTAAACTAAAACAGAAATTTCTTTCCGGGTTATATTGCTTGATTTTCAATTACTTCGAGGATGGCTTCGTCTAAGAACGGGTTTAATGCTGAATGTGCTGTCGAACCATTTAGGACATCAGGCTGTTGTAATGGGATCATTGGCTTTCTTTTCAGTGCCCGAAGTGATTACTACACAATTGGTGCAAACTTTAAATATAACATACCCCTTTATTTCACACCCTCAGCTATATACAACAATAGGATGTGTATAATAATTGAGAGCAAAGGCTTGACCAGAAGGATCACCATCATAAACATACTGGAGGCAGATGCTGGAAGACTACATCAGATGTTCGGAGTTATAATTTCTTACAAATGGTAATGATGGTGTTCACTTTAGAGCATTATTGCAAGAGATATCGATAGGACAAAATGCAGCAGAAAGCTGTATATCAAAGCCAAGAGCATCTAGATGGCTCTCACATTCTTTACCCGAGAAAAAAGCGTGCAATCTGAGAGTTTTAGTTGGTTTTATGCGAAGTTAGCAATTATTTCAAGGACAGTGCTGCTGGTGCAACAGTGATAAAACTCTAAATGATCTAGTCGACCAAGGAGAGCAAAGCCAATTGATTGTATTCAAACAAGAGTTTATTATTTTGGTATAAATAATCGGCAAGAAGAAGCGAGGATAAGATGGAGAAGAAAGAGGTTAAGATAAATATTTATATGCAGCTTTTTTTGATATGGTGTTTGAGAATTTACAACTTAGCGCCTTCAGTGATGAAGGTAGAGCCCTTGACAATGTTACCCTTCAATTCAGAAGTAGCAGCAGAGAACAACTTTTGCTCGAAATCATTGATTTCACCAATAGGCAAGATCTTCTTAACACCTTCAGGACCCAATTCAACAGGGACAGAGAAGAAATCAAGGTCAGCACCGATCAAGCTCTTGACACCATTGGCACCTTGGGCATCAGCCTCAAGATCAACATAGGTACATTCAACGATACCAGTCTTACCAGCAACAACAGCTTCAACAATGTTGAGGGCGAAACGAGCACCAGCAAATGCCATTGACAAAGTAGCGGAACCAGCACCGTCCTTGGCCTTGACAACTTCATCACCACCAAATTGAATACGGTTGGTTACCTTTTCAATTTGTTCTTGAGACAACTTCTCAGTACCCTTGACTTGAGACAACAAAGGCAAGATGGTAACACCACTGTGGCCACCAACGACAGGAACACGAAGGGTGCTAGGGCTACCACCAATCAACTCTGAAACGAAAGTAGAGGCGCGAACGATATCGAGAGTAGTAACGCCAAAGATTCTATTATTGTTTCTTAACACTCTTATCTACAAACAAACAAATAAACAGCTTTCTTACCTGCGAGGATCGTAAACGTTGAATTGCTTGAAAACTTCAGCAACAATAGGGACAGTAGAGTTGACAGGGTTGGAGATGATACACATGAATGCCTTGGGGGCAAACTTGGCAGCAGCAACAGCGAGATCACGAACAATACCAGCATTGATCTTGAAGAGATCATCGCGAGTCATACCAGGCTTTCTGGGAACACCGGCAGGGATAACAACTGGATCAAAAACCAATCAAATGTTAACCAAATGTACTTGAAAGAGTCTTATTTATCACTCTTCTTACCAATAGCAGAATCCTTGATGGCTTCTTCAAGTTGGGCAGCACCAACATGACCAGTAACCTTGGATTGAGTGTTAATGTGGCTACCAGATTTGCGATTAGTTATTGTAACGAACAAGATTTTTTCTCCCACCCAAACTTTACCTCAAATCAGCAGCAACACCAGGAGTGTTGACGATATCGTAGAGGGACAAATGAGTGATAAGTTCAGATTGTTTCAAGAGCAAGGAGAGAGGTTGACCAATACCACCAGCGGCACCACAGACAGTTACTTTAACCATTTTAATTATATATTTTGTTGAGAGAGTTGAGAGAAAAAAAGAGAAAAAGAAGATGATACGGGAAAGTTTGGGGTTTTAAAAGTTTTAAGAGTTCCCTTTTGGGTGAGAAACTTTTGGCTTTACAGTTACAATAGAATAACCGACCACCCCGCGCATTTTCATTTCAAGGAACGAATCGGTTCACTTGCTTTGCTTGCTTCATTATCACTACAGCGACTACATTTTCACATGAGACGTAGTTTGGACTCGTTGAAGAATAATAGCTTTTGATTGAATATACCTAAACATGTGAAGATCATCTTGGTCCCTGACTTTTTTTTCGCAATTTTTCATTTCTTTGAAAAAATGTTGGATCTGGTCGAAAGGAAAAATGCAGGTACAAATGTGCGTTTGAGTTGCCATGGCAACGGGATAATTTTCATTCACAATTTTTATCACCATGGCAACCAGATCAAAAAAGCTACAAATGTAAGCATTTACATTTACCCCGCATTTTATTTCTTCCTCTAGATTGAATCCGCTTTTCGCCATGTTACGGCAACTTGGGTTCCTTTCAGTTGTATATTTGTTGACATCATTTGAATTGAACTTCCGTGGAATAGAGATTGATGAGCTTTGTGTGAAAATTGAGACATTTTGGGTTGCAGAAAGTGCAGTTGCCAGGGTTACTCAACCAAAATATTGAAAATTATTCACATTTTAATTGTTTCGTCAGCCAAATGACTGCAGCAATCACAGATAAAAGAGTGGTAGTAGCTACCTTATTTTTGCCGTACACTGTGGATTTTCATGTGAAGGAGAAGAAAAAGCGCATTGTCACATCACCAACAACCCCTGACACGCAAACTGTTATACCAAATCTATTGCAAAGTTTGGCAAAGCACCAACACAAAGAAGATGAAAAGACAAAGGACCAGCTATTCGATTTTACGCAGCCCGAGCAACTGGTTCAACCACGTAGCAAACAGCAACGCGAAGAAGAGATTCGTAAATTGACTCCATTGCTTTCTGTCATACCCACCCAGAGCAGACGACCCTCGTTAGATAGTGCACAAGTCTTTGCGGACGCACCATGGTCAGTGAAACCATGCAGCAGTGGTAATATTGGTCTCAATAATGCACTCTTCTCGATCCAAGATCAACTACACGATTTGGCTTGGGTAGGAACATTGGGAATGCCAACAGACCCATTGTCCAAAAAGACTCAAGACGAAATTCATGCAACATTTACAGGCAAATACAATGCATATCCCGTCATGTCTTCCGATAGTGTATTTGATGGACATTACAATCGATATTGTAAGCAGGTGTTATGGCCTTACTTTCATTACGTTGTGCAAGATGATCCACAAAATATGATGTCTCAAGATGGTCCCTACAAAGCTTATCAGGAACTCAATCAGCAATTTGCAGATACAATTGTCGAGAACTACAAGGAGGGCGATATTAGTAAGTATGCTTATTTCATTACATTGTATATGCAGAGTGCCCTAACATCCGACTATCTAGTTTGGATCAACGACTATCATTTGATGCTTGTGCCTGGCTTAGTGCGAGAGAAGATCCCTAATGCGACCATTGGGTTCTTTCTGCATATACCTTTTCCTAGTTCTGAATTGTTCAGATGTCTTCCACGTAATGTATCAACCTGATTATTGTCATTCACCATGACTAATATTTAATACTATTATTTTTTTTTTTAGCTCGAAGGCAGCTACTAGAAGCCATGTTGCAGTCCGATGTCATTGGTTTCCAAACATACTCCTTTGCTCGTCATTTCCTCCAGACTTGTGCGCGTATTCTTTCCGTAGATGCAACGCCCTCGGGTATCCAATTAGATACACACTATTGCTCGGTTGGCATTCACCCAATCGGCATTGACATTAACGCACTGAACAAAAAGATCTCGGATCCTTTAGTAACACAATGGGTGTCCAAGCTGAAAGAGAAATATGCGGATAAAAAGCTTATTGTAGCACGGGACAAGTTGGATTATATCAAAGGTGTTCGTCAAAAGCTGCTTGCGTTTGAGCAATTCCTGACCAGACATCCCGAATGGCGTGGTGAAGTAGTGTTGATTCAAATCGCTTTATCAACCTCTGAGCAAAATGAATTAAGAGCGCACATTTCCGATGTCGTTTCTCGAGTCAATTCGAAATTTAGTAATATTTCATACCAGCCCATTGTCTTTTTGCATCAGGATATTTCATTCTCTCAGTACTTGGCTTTATTGACTTGCGCTGATGCCTGCCTGTTGACTCCCCTGAGAGATGGCATGAACCTCACCTCTCATGAATACATTGTGTGCCAAAGAGAAACTCATAATCCGTTGATTTTGAGTGAATTCACAGGTACATATGGCAGTTTTGGTGCTTCGATCAGGGTGAACCCATGGGATTACAGAGTAAGTTTGTGTTGTTCTTTTCTTAACAGCGGCAATAACATTATGTTTGATTTTATAGCAAGTGGGCGATGCTATCCATGAAGCCCTCTCCATGAATGAAGAAGAAAAAGTCGGTCGATGGAAGGAGCTGTACAAGAGTATTGAAACAAACTCTGCTCAAAATTTTGCTAGCAACATCATTACTCGCCTTTCAAAGGTGCACAACTCCCCTGGACGACGCTTTTCTGTACAGTTGCCAAAGCTAGAGTCGAATATCTTGGCTCAAGCATGCAGTAAAAGCCAAAAGAGATTGTAAGACGTATATATTGTTTAAAAAAACACACATCGATGCTGATAAACGCTTTAGGTTCTTATTCGATTACGGTGGAACTCTGATTCCCCACGGGAAACCTCCTGGATCCGAAGATCTGAGCCGTATTCTGGATATATTAACCAAATTGACGGCCGATCCCAGAAATGCAGTATACGTTATCTCTGGTAGAACCAAGATCAACATTGAAACTGATTTGGGATGCATTCCGGGCCTAGGCCTTAGGTTGGTGCCTCGCCTTAATAGTTACTTTGAGAGATATGCTAATCGTATGCTTGATTTAGTGCTGAAAATGGATTTTATATCAAATCTCAAGGAGAAGAGTGGCAGCAAGTATACGATAATGTAGACTTTAGTTGGAAGCCCACAGTGAAAGAGGTATATTTTAATTTTTACTGATTTTTTTCATCTTAGTCACCTTAAAATACAAAATAGATCTTTCAATACTATACAGAACGTACTCCTGGAGCTTATGTCGAATCCAAGGATACATCGATTGTTTGGGTAAGCCTGATTTATATGCGATTACTTTTCTTCTGCTTAATAGCTGACAATTTGATAGCATTATCGAACATCAGAAGGCACAGATTCCCAATATGTGTAAGTATCCATTGTTTGAATTGGCCATCATGTATTCATTTGTAATCAAACATACAGCTCTTGGCAAGCAGCTGAATGTCAAAACCATATTGCAGATTCAGTCAACAAGAATTTCGCGGTTCATGCAGTAGCTGGAAATACCACTATAGAAGTGATCCCCCACGACATTAACAAGAGCTCTATTGCCAATCGAATTTTGCAGGAAACAAGCCCTGATTTTGTTTTATCTATTGGTGATGATCGCTCTGATGAAGACATGTTCAGCTTTTTAAAGAAACAAAAGAGCCTGCAAAAAGCGATTACTTGTACGGTGGGCACAAGAAGTACAGAAGCGAATTACTTTATTCCAAATGTTGATGGCGTCCTGTCTTTGCTTGATGAATTATGTGTAGCTTCTCAATAAACATACGAATTTGGTACCTGAATTTCCATGTTAGCTCCGCCGATCAGAAAATGTATGTTTCCTAGTTTTGATATGCGGTATGATATCGTTGTATTCAGCGGTTTATATTGGCATATTGAAGGCATTTTGTTTGTTTTTTTCAAGCAGAATAGACAATAAATGCATTGATCATCCGTCATCTATGCATTGAAGTGCAATTGAATTCAATTTTAACTTGGCAGACCGAAACTAAACCCATTGTGTCGTTTGTGATCTCAACATACGATTGAAAACTATTTCGACAGTTATCCTTGTTGCTATCCGATTGTAAGCAACACGATTTTCTGACTTTTTCCAAGTTCTCGACTGTTCCATAGCTTAATATTCGGGATTTACATCAAGATTCAAGCTAGTAACGACATTTTATAAGCCGAGTCCAAGCCAAGTATCCAGCTGGTCGACATTATGCGCTTTAATTACATATTTCAACGCAATTTTGTCTCGAAAAAGTTAGATTCTGCAACTAGGAAACATGTCTGGAGTTAGTAGCCAATGTCTTGGCATACTCGAAAAGACATGTCCGCTTTGCCTGGCATTTCTGGCTATGGAAAGGGGCTAACGTAGACGAGGGAAGAGGTTGTTTAATCGCTGTGAAACAGCTTAATTGATGATGATGCATGATGGCAAATCCAAATGAGTTAATAAACATTCAACTACGAAAGAGAGAGAGAGAGAGAGAACAAATTATGTCACTCCTCATGTACATGAGTGGATATCGTCATTATCTGAAAGTAGACATTTACACACATCAGTTCCGTATATTGAAATGATGCACCTGCGATCAACATTTTGACGATCTATTTAATAGGCGATTTGCGTTGAGTGGGTCTGAGGGAGACAGGTAGCTGTCGTACAGAGATGCTCCACGTTTTTTGTTGTATAGCAGGTTGAATCAGGTTTTTAGCATGACGACAAATTTCAAGGAGAGTTAGATAAGGGGGGAAGCGGGTAAGTGCAATATCTGGGATCCAATGCTCAAGCAAATCAGTAGTAATGAAATGAAGATCCCAATTCAACATTACAAACATCGAGGCCCGGGAAGAGGGATTGAATCATACTGACATCTTATATTTACAATCATATGTATCATATATATCATGTATACAAATGGTACACAACATGTCAAGTATCCTATAAGACCATAAATGATACAAGTGTTGTGGATATAAAAACTGGTGTTGCCCACGTTTTGAATGAAATGTCGGAGATGGTGTAACCTCCAAGTAAATTGTTGTTTCGTTCAATATTTCAGTCAATTAGATTGGATGAATTGAGTGAATTGCTTCAGTTTTCTGCAAATGTCTCGGTGATATATCTTGTGTAGAAAGTGCTGATCAACATGAAGAAAAGATTGCGTTGATTTTCTGTTTGATATTCACAAAATACATGAGTTGAAGAAGAATGTGCTTTCATTATTTAGGTGGCGACTCGAACAGGTCTAAACGAGATCCAGCATCACACAGTTTCTGTCACGCGTTGATTGCCTCAATTCAGAAAGGCTATTCACTTATTATATCAACTCCTGTTGATTCATCCTCCTCTTCTTCTTCTTCCTCTTTTTCTTCACTTTCTTCACTCACTTTTACTCTTCATCAACCATTTCCAGTTCGACATTTCAGTATGGTTGCTGAATTTCTACAAAATCAACAGCAGCAGCATCAACAGCAGCAGCATCAACAGCAGCAGCAACAACAATCAGATATGATGAAAAATGACACCATCGCAAGAGAGCAACAGCGATCAGTTCCTATTAAAATGATTGGCAATTATACCCTACAACAGAGCATCGGTAAAGGAAGCATGGGCAAAGTGAAACTGGCTACACATAACGTTACTGGAGAAAAGGTGAGATATTCAAGCAGAGAGATACAAAATCAATTAAATATTAATATCTAAAAATAACCCTTTTTAGATTGCTATAAAAATTGTTCCCAGAGCCAATTTACAAATATTAAATGCACCAAATCACCATACCAATGGCAAATCTATTCAGCAAATAGCCAAAGAGAAAGCGAGAGAAGAGAATCGAGAGGTCCGAACGATCAGAGAAGCGCATATCATGATGTTGTTGAAGCATCCAAACATTGTTGGCATGAAAGATCTAGTCTTGCAAGGTCCATACTTTTACATCTTGATGGATTATGTGAATGGCGGTCAATTACTGCATTACATTGTGAAAAGACAGAGACTCTCTGATAGAAGAACTAGACAATTCTCGAGACAAATTGTCAGCGCATTGGACTACTTGCATAGAAACTCAATTGTACACCGAGATTTGAAGATTGAAAATATCATGATCGACAAGTCTGGGCGACACATCAAAATCATTGATTTTGGTCTATCAAATCTCTTTTGTCCTGAGCGTCAACTGACGACTTACTGTGGCTCTCTCTATTTTGCTGCTCCAGAATTACTAAAAGCAAATCCTTACAGCGGCCCTGAGGTGGATGTCTGGAGTCTTGGTGTTGTCATCTATGTCATGGCGACCGGTTCAGTTCCTTTTGATGATAAATCTATGCCTGGCCTGCACGATAAAATCAAAAGAGGACAAGTGACCTATCCTGCTCATCTTGGCGATGAGTGCAAGAACTTGCTATCTCGCATATTTGTCACTGACCCATCACAACGTATCATCATGACGGATATTATTCACCATCCCTGGATGAACAAAGATGCTGCTCCTATCAACAACTACATGCCCCCATCAAGAAAGCCTTTGAAACTGCCATTGAACCCCAAAGTGATTGAAAGAATGTCGCAAGGCTTCAATCTCGGCTCACCAGACGAAATTGAACGTAGACTTACGTTGATTATCCAATCTCCAGTTTACCACGACGCAGTGAAACACATCGCAGACTGCCACGCAAGAAAAACACTCACCCCACCCCTCAATTACGGCGAAATCAACTTTGGAATAGTATACGATGACCCACAATCTGTGCCTGCAGCATATCATCCGTTCCTGTCTCTGTATTATTTGGCATCAGAGAAGTTGGCTGCTACTGAATATGAAGCTCATCATCATCGTGTGCCCATTCGCTCCAGTCTGTCAAGAAAGGCCTCTGTGGAATCCATGGGCGGTTATTCCTCTGCTCGTAGTAGTCAAGCCTCTTTGGTTGGTGCTGATGAGCACACCTCTTCAAACAGTCCCAGATTGCTCACTGAAGTTCCCCTCAGCCATACTCCTGTGATCCCTCCCCAGACTGCTGGCATCAAGCTACCAGGCAATGGAAGTATGTCAGGATTTGTCTCTCAGCCTGCTGCTATCGGCTCCACCAACTACCTTAGTCGCATTCAACGTTGGCTTCGCTCTTCATTATCCACTCATCACCTTGTAGATGATTCAAAGAATAGTGCCAATCACATCTCGGCACCGCCCTCACCACCCCAAAGAGTGGAAGATGTCAAGCATGCCGATGTGGATCCTATCATGTACAGCTCATCCTCATCAGCCAACACGAGTAGATTGCCCACACCATCTCATTCCACTGATGACAAGGGCAACACAGGCTCGCACTCGCCTAATGAAAGCTTCCATAGCACATCCAATGTTGAGGCTTTGTCGACTGCAGATAAACAGCAGCAGCAATCCACATTACCAGCTGCTCCAAATGGAAGTAAATCACTATTTCGTAAATTATCGCATGCTGTGTTCCGCAAGAACTCTTCAAAGAGCTTAAACAAGAAGACGAGCAATCTTAGTGCCACAAACACGGTGAGCGATCAGAACACCAGCGAAGAAGAAGTAGCTTCAGTCGCTATCATTGAGCCAACACCCTCTGTCAAACCAGCAATGGATGATCAAGTTCCACCACCTGTCCCACCCAAGGATTTCAAGTATACGTACATGGCACTTCCTCGTGATGCTCCTGGTGCAGTTAAATCTAATAGAAACTCGCAGCAATTGCCACCTGGCATGTCAATTGCCACTGTAACTTCTCGTCAAACGGCTCACACCATTGATATCAGCGCTATCAACATCAATAGTCAAAACACGCACACTAATGGCACTGGTGCCATTACCCCAACTACCTCTAATTTCACTACAACAACACCTACTAATTTACATACCAATCCTAATACATCCCATATACCAACGCCCATTGCATCCAAAATGGCCAAATACGATGACGTTCCACGGGTACAAGCCCAACAAAACGACAGCGGCTATTTATCTCAACCTACACCCAACATCTCAAGATCTGCTTCCATGGCTACGCATCATCGTCGCAGAGGCTCTGTTTCCAAACTCACTGGAAAAATCGGATCGTGGCTCAACCGATCCTCCTCATTCAATCAACATGGCGGGAACAGCAGTCGGTTAAATAGACATGATGCTTAGATAATTTCATATATAGAATAGAATACCAGCCTTTTTTACAAGTGTACATAACACATTTATCTTTATAAAAGCAACCATTTGTACCATTATTTGTGTTTCGCAATTTGCAATAATTTATTGTTGTATCAGGGGCCTCAACAAGTCTAGAATTCTACTGTTGTCTTGTGCTACATTATGCATTTCATGAACACAGCCATCTACTATACTCAAAGCGTGGGGCACAAGCACAGTTGATAATCGATTTCATCTTTTAAAAATAGATTCAGATATTTTGATATGCAAAACTTTCCATTTACAGAAATCCCACTTTCTTTTCTAGATTGAGTTTTTAAAGTTACAGAGTATTACAAAAAAGATGTTAAGATATGTTTACATACCGAATACGGATTGCCTCTTCAATTTGTTGTTTATCAAACTATGGCGCCCCTTGCCAAGGCGGATTTGGTACCTCGGTACAGTCCACTATAGATAGAAATGAGAATTGTCTCGCTCAGGCAGAACGATTGTAAGTGTCGTGAGCGCATATGTTTGTATGAACCACATACTATTTTTTTTTTTTTTTTTTTTTTTTGGATAGGTAGCTTTAATCAACCACAGACTTATTTTGCGAGTAGAGGCTATTGTATATGGAGTAACTTACGGGAATAAAAGCTTATAGAGGTGAGGTTTAGTGCGACGTTGTGTTGTATTTCCAGAGATCAAATCAAAGACGGTCCTGAAAGGATATGGGGATGATACCTCTGGCCTTCTTACTACGAACTTGTTCCTCCAAGGGAGTTTCATCGTTATGAGAGAGCTCAGGTTGAACTAGATCTATGATGTACGCCATAATAAGGCCCTCCGTCAATCCAAAGACATCCAATATACCAACTTGATTTGCCAAAGATCTTGCCGTGAGATTAGATGCGTCCCAAATACCTTCACTTGTCATGTAAGTACTGACATAAGCCATAGCTTTTTGGCAAGCTTCAGGAGGCGTATTGATTAGAGTCAAAGTGACATCAGCAATCAACAGATGAACAGAAGAGTTGCCATCATAGATGTAGACTTCCTCGTACTCTGCAACATCCCAGCGCGACGATCTTGTAAATGAGATGAACAAAGCAGGAAGACCATTTGCTTTAGAGTTGATGACCCAATAGCTAGTATGTACAGTGAATGAATGACGCTGATAGTAGCCTCCACTTCTTCTTCTGCTTGGTGCACTGGTCTGTTGGGCTATCGACCTAACGTAACCTCTGAAATCATCTTTGTGGGACTTTGATATGTAAAATTTCGACATTTTGGCCAGAAACCTCTTTTCATATTTTTACCAAATTGCTCAACAAGTTTAACCAAAACAGCTATTTTACTTGGCATCATTGGAAGCGCCTTGAAAAGTATTTTAAGAATGTATTAGGAAGCGTAGGGTGATCATCACAGTTTATATAGTCGAACTTAATAAAATAGATTAAAGAAGTCGAAAAAAGACGATATCTGTCCAATCTTGAGTAGAAAAGACAAACTGAGTTTCAATTAATTTTAGCGGGTGGTGCTGCTGTTGGCTGGCCCAAATGCCTTCCTGATGATGGCAATAATAATTGCGCTACTGATCAAATAGGAGGCATGGAATTGAAAGGGTAATTGCTTAATCCAACTACGTTTTTTTTGGGGAGTTTTCGTTATAAACGTGCCTTTTTCAATGACAATATCTGAAAAAAGTCGCTGTAGATCTTACACAAGTCCTGTATTTACGCATAGCCAGCAACACCAGCGAATGGTATGACAATTCTACTACCAAAAAATGTGGTGCAAACGTAGAATGTAGTATGCAAATGCTGCATAAAGCTTGAACTCTCTTTCACATTGCTTCAATAATAGCTTCCATTGATACCAGTGTATAAGCAAAGGAAAGAGGATACTGGGAGAAATACCTCTTCCTTTTTGATTCTGATATAACCTTTCTTTTATTGTTGATAGATTGTTTAAAATCGACTTAAATAACAGGTTTTTATAGCCTCTGATTTGAAATGCCTTCGAAAAGAACTCGCAGAAAGGTGCCGCCATTGATCGTAGCAAAATTGATCGGCTAGTACTTAATAAATACCTGTTTTTGATAACAAAATATGGATGTTGTTCATGGTCAAGTGGGGAAGTATTGACTCTGCCACCAGCCAAAATCGGCTGAATCCCCGCTCTATATTCTGTTTCGATTCGCTCAATTTTGATCAATTTGCAACTTGGTTAAACTATTTTGCAAGATTCGACTATAGAAAGTGTGATAATTGCAACATACCTCCTTATGCTTATTAATAGTACTTTTCAAGGTGCATATGATGGTATAGGTTATAAAAAATGTTTCAAGTAAGCTTATCAAGCAATTTCTGAAAATGTGAAATGAGGTTTTGGGCGAAAATATCAAGATTCTGCATATGAAGTTTTCACCAAAGTGCTTTCAAGGGTTACTTTGGGTCGAGAGGAATATTTTGATCTTATATATGCCATAGTAAAAGTCTTCATTTTCAAGGTAAAAAACGCAATCGCTTGGTTTTCGTTGAAAACCATGAGGTACCCCTCATGGTATTTGGCCCTGTTTTTGAGATCCCAGAAAAATTGAGCAAATGTATCAGGAAACAAGTGCCAGGCGAGAGAAACCGTTTGGTGCTATTCTGGCGGCCCAAAACAGCTTTTATCACAAGAAACCGCGGCTCGAGCGCCCCCCGAATTTGGCTGTCTTTTACAGATTCTTAAGGAATTGGAGATAATGTGAGTGTACTGTACACTCATTTATGAACTGTTTCCATGAATATAGATAGAGAGTACTGGAAAGAGCCAGATTCGCAGCTATAGGGATGTTTCGGATGATAATAAAAGTTTAAAAAGCCTACATCAGTAGAATATTTGATGAAGCTCACTGGGAATTCAATGTGATGGATCAGGCCAATCGATAGTGTGAGACGCCATCCTGTAAGTAGTTCTATCACAGGGTGATTTTTGATAGCCAAGGTGGTTAAACGTATTACCCGTGCATTTTATAAAAGTAAAGTTTTAGGCTGACTACGCTTAATAGACACATCTTTCTCACGCGTCCTTGCCACCATCCGTTTTATTCTTTTTCAACAATATACACTATGTCTGTTCGAGAGATTTTAGAAAGCATACATCATGAACAAGACATTATCCATGATACCTGGTATATTGTAGCTGTAAGTATCGTCTGATCTTTGTTATGGTGAGGCATTTATTTGACTGGGAATTAGGCAGTAGTGATGAGTTCAGTCAACAAGCCCGAGGATGTAAAACATGTTTACGATATCATTGCACAGCAAGTAGATCAGAAACAAGACTTGCCGAAAGAGGCAAAGAACAAGTTGATTGCAGCCGTTGTCCTCAAGTTGAGAGAGGCGATATTGAAGAGTTATATTATCATTGGATTTCCCAAGGTGGGTGAATAGAAGGATGGACGTTTTTGATCTGTGAAATGTAACAAGCAAATAGACTATCAATACACTGCAGCAACTGGCCAATGCTACACCTGCAGAAATCAAGGCACTGTTGCCTGATAAACCACTTCGGTAAATGGGAAAATAACATTCAATTATTCACGCATGAGAAACTGACTGAATGGATTAGCAAGGAAGAGTCTTGGTCAGATGTGCAAAATGAAAGACAACGAGGAAAAGCGTTGTTTGGTACCATTTACGAACGCCATACCGACAAAGTGATCAAGAACATGTACAGCACACATCCAGATTTAGCGCAGACAGCCCTCAATCAACTGTATGGCCCTACTCTCAGTGAAACATCGGTTCTGAACGCTAGAGAAACGAGTCTTGTTACAGTAGCAGGATTAATGATCACTAATGTGCCACTTCAACTGGTAGGACATAGCCATGGTGCTATTCATAACGGAGCTACTCGACAAGACATTGAACATGTGCAGTCGATTGTGACAGCATTGGGTGATCATTATCGATTTCCTGTCGCCAAGTTATGAATCGAGGCGAATGGTGATTTGCACCTACTAGATGAGCAACAGAGTATAGAATAAATGCAATCCGCTTTTGGAACTCCAATACCTTACGAGGAAGAGAATTCTCAAAACAAACAAGCAAATGCTGATATGATGATAAACTCGTATAAAGACACGGAAACGTAAGTATGGATCTGAGGGATTTTTGCTCAATAGAAAACAAAATTGTGAGGTGAAACATCTGTCCATGTCTTGCAATAATCAAACAGGAAATGTTTGATGTACCTTCCGTACGTTCTATTCTGCTCAGGCAATCATTGCATTATTACAATGTGCCTTGCTAAGATTGGAGCGCACAATCATACCATTTATATATATATATATATATATATATATATACAATTGGCATTCATTCAAAAGAGTGTCTAGTGTTCATGCCAAAATTTCAGGGCATTTACCAATGAAAAAAAGACATTTCAGGCACTACATCCCAAGTAAACACCCATTACATTTGCTGGTATACAAATAATCTGATAACAATAATAACGTCCTTCATCCTGCTGAAACAATTAGTCATGATGATCTTATATCGGTAATGTCAATTGCGATATTCTGTGCTTTAACCGTAAATTGAATGGAAACCAGAAAAGTTTCAGGTTTTGCTTTTTGAAGAAACGAGGGAATCTAGATGGTAGCCAATGTTGGGTAAACTTTCTTTTTCATTCCCTCTCTTTTTCTACTACATCTTCAAAAGCACATCCTGAAAAAGAGTTATGGTTACATTTGCAACCACATGGGATGAACATGCATTTCAAACAAGTGTGTTTAAATACACTGTCAAGGAGTTTGTCGCCTTGCGACAAGTAACATTGGCCCTGTCGTCCCTCTCTTTAGTATTTTCTACAATGATTATCGCTGTCTACATTTACATGCTCATGCGCCACCGCAAGCAAGCGAACCGAGTGTCACTGCGGTGTGTCTTTTTGTGCAGTGTGGCAGATCTATTGAATGCTACATTGAGCATTTGTATCACCAGCCAAAAGGGCGATTCCCAATTTTGCAGAGCATCCAGCGTGATCATCGAATTTGCCAACATTTGGAGTGCCACTTTACTGACATTGGTGGGCTTGAATCTTGTGCTGGTCTTTGTCGTCAATGTCAAGCGAAGGGACCTACTGGAGAAGTTCTACTACCCCTGTGCCGTAGCATATACATTTGCAGGTGTTGCAGTGCCAATTCAACAACAAGTAGAGACGAATTCAAGGTCGTTTGAGCATTACAGCTGCTGGTATCTCAAGTACGTGGAGGACCGCACAAATAACATCATGCCTTGGGTAGGTTGTCAGCTACAAGGTGCCGACTGCAATCAAACTTATTGCGCTTCTTTATATAGATGTGGTGCTACGCATTCATCTTTTTTGTCAATATTATCGCCGTCTGTTGCTCCATCATGGCCATGACAAAACTCATCCGAGAGCAACGATTTGTAGAGTCAAGAATGCACACCATCAATGCCAATTCAGAACTCACAGACAGACAGCTCAACAAATCAGTGAAGCAACAGCACAGCAATGTGTTTTCCAAGGTAGTCCTGCGATGCATTATATACCCACTAGGTAGGCTATTCATATCCATGACACACTGCTTACATATATATATATATATATATATATATATATATATAGTTTTTGACACTGCCTTGTGTAAATAGTCCCCTTTCAAGTCAACATTTTTGGCTTTATTCTACAAATGCTCATTACAGCAACCAAAAAGACACCTTCATACACACTCGCCATGCTGGATATTGTGTTTTCGTGTTTGGAGGGTGTATTTGTGGCAGGTGTGTTTTTTACCGACCCAGCCATCACTTCATTCATGGGCTCAATGTATGCTGGCTGGTATGAAAAGTATGTCGAGCAGTATGCGCTGGTACCTCAGGACGACAAGAAAGCAACGCCTGCCAACTCGCCCTCGTTGGCGCTCTGTGATTCGTCTCAAACAATAAAACCACCAACCACAGCAGCTGTCATAGACAATCAAAATTACTTGGGCGTTCATTACCCTCATACTACGCCATCTGTGAGAAAGCCATGTGGTAAAATCAAGACAGTGGCGATGCGCCGACTCCATTTTGATACAAATCATAATAGCATGGCCAGACAGCATCAACGGGTGCGCCAGTTATCAACCATTAGCTTTGAGATCACCACTCTACTGCCGATTGCCTCTGTACCCAGACACCACGATCAACAAGTTCCCTCAGCGGCCACACCAGCCAGCTCTAGCACTGGAAGAGATGTCTATGTACCGTATCAATTTCCAATTTTCGCTACGTGTTTTCACTACATGTTGACATGTTTTGGACGCAAACGTACTGCCGATTCAACTGCAACGTCTTCTACAACCACAACAGCCCACAAGCACGGTGCTGTCGATACCTTCACCTCTAATGATATACCCTTTTCAGCCAGTGCAAGTCGGAGCAGCACAGTGATTGTGATTACCGAGGAACGTTTCAAACAAGACGAACAGTTGGAAGACACAGCAGCAATTGACTTTTATACCACGACGAACAGAGACTATGATCAAAGCAGCAGCACTGCGTGCCATGATTCCAATACTATGAATACGCATCAAATCTAAGTTCTAATAAAAAGCAAGCGTTTAATCTTTTATCCGTTGTTCGTTGTTCATCAAGTGCTGACCGGCATTGGCATACTTTTTTCTTTTTTTTCTCTTTCCATCATTTATCACAACACACAAAAATATGGAGGACACTCATATCAAAGACGATGTTGCTCAAACACAGCTTGACAGCCACCCCCTTGAAGCAGCTACGCCAAGTATTGAAGTAGATGCCAGTCATTTGGATGACAGAACATTGCTGGATGAGGAGGGAAGGCCTAATATCAGTCGTACACCTTCTTCTTCACTGCAGACAACAACTGTAGCAGAGCAGCCTCTAGATACAGACACAAGCCATGCAAAGGTACTTGAGCTATAGCATCCTAAAGAAAGAGCTGCTGTTGTTGAGCAAACCTGACAACCATCTCTTTAGGGCTTCTACAACGCAAAGGATTCTAGAGATGTTGTCGACTTGGTGGTAGAGGGTCAGCTCCCAGAGTGGCTTATTGGAGAGCACTACACGATCGGTCCTGGCACATACGACGTGCGCTACTCAAGAAAGATTGAAATCGATGGCATGCTTCAGAGTGCAACAGCTACATTTACACTGGGACATTGGTTTGATGCGTAAGTGCCTTCCGTTTTCATTCTTTAGGATATGCTAAAACTTGCTGCACGCAGACTTCCTCTGGTGAACCGCTTTGATTTAAATGATGAGAGAAACACAATTACTTATCGCAACCGTCTGGTCAACAAGAAACTGGGAGAAAAGATCCGTGATCACCATGGCTATGCGCCCAATTACCCTGCTGGCCTGTTCAAAACCAACGCCAACCAGACCATGCTGATTAAATTCTTGAATAACGGAAAAGCGCTCAAGCCAGATCGCATTCCGTGTGGCCAGCGTATCACAACCCATTTACCTGGTATTGACGGCAGGTTGTTCTGTCAGGATTTCGCCAACCATGTGAGTTTTGAAAAGTTGTAGTCAAGTGTGCTTTTTTTTTTTTTTTTTTTTTTTTTAACTGACTGATCGTATTAGATTCAGGAATTGGACCCTTTCGACTTGACACCCACACGCGTGGAGACATGGAACGAACTCAACCCACAATTCAAAGGTTACAGTTCTTGTCCCAACGGCCAGTTCGACGCAGAAACAGGAGAATATATCAACTTTACAATGGAAATCGGCTATCGTTCCACCAAATACCACTTCTTTTCTGTGTCTGAACAACATCCCAAGGGCGAACCTATTGCCACTATTTGGAATGCACCCACAGGCTGGGTCAACAATGTTGCACTCACACCCAACTACATTATTATGGTCATTCATCCCATGCTAGCCAACTCGGGTGCTGTGCGATTTGCTTGGTCTGAGAGCATCTTGGACTCGTTCAATTTCTACCCATCAGAGCCCACCCTGTTCTATGTGGTGTCTCGTAAAGAAAAAGATGTCATTGCCTGTTACAGATCTGCCGCATGCTTCTCGTTCAATCAAGTCAACGCTTTTGAAGATGTCCATGGTAACGTGATCATTGACATGATTTGCTATGAGAACGATGCCATTGCACAGCAGCTTTCTACCGAGAATTTGCGCTACCCCGAGACCATAGGCAAACTAGCCTTTTCTCAAGTGAGACGATACACGCTGAACCAACCACAACAAGATGCACACAAAATCTATGTCGCCAACAACTCGTTCATCCCATCTGCTATCAGTATTACATCCCGAATCGGCTCTGTTTGGAATTATGTCAGTGGCGGATCCAATCAACCAGAGAACGCAGTAGGTTCTAGCGGATGGCATGCATGGATGCCTGTGATTGGATTTGAAGCTTTGGTGGAAAGCACATTGGAATTACCTCAAGTCAACCCCAACTACAAGATGAAGAATTATACATACATTTACGGCCTTGGATTCAGTGCTACCAGTGCTATTCAAGAGGGCAAGATTTGGGACAGTATCACCAAGATTGTAAGTGTCATTTGGTTCGTTGATATATAACAAAAACGCTAAACTCGCCTGACTAGGACGTACACTCTCATGCGGTCGTAGCATCATGGCACGAAGAAAACTGCTATCCCAGTGAAGCCCAGTTTATACCAAAACCCATGAAAGCAGGAGACGACAAAATGGCTGAGGAAGATGCAGGTGTCTTGATCAGTATAGTAATGGACTCTGCAAGAGCCACTTCTTTTGTCTTGGTCTTGAATGCACAGGATCTCAGCGTGCTAGCTCGAGTAGAGCTCAACAGATTGATTCCTCTCAGTTTTGCTCATGGCAGCTATCGATTGAGAAGTATTTAAGGAGTGTTGGATCTGCCCCTTTCTTTTAACCTTTTTTTTTTTTGCGTTGAATTAATAAATGTACAAGATTTGATATTTTCATTGTATTTTCACCCTTTATTAAAAAAGAATATAGATAGATAGATATCCATCTTGTAACAAGCTCATTATATGATCATCCTCATTCAGGGATTTTGTTTTCTCTCTTTCTCTCTTTTCCAATAATGTATAATACCCCATCGAATTCATTAAATACATCGACGACAACAGCACCCAAACGACTGGGGCATGCTCGCAAATTAAGCCATGTTCAATTTGGAAAACGGTCTTACGTCCATGATGACTACACTACGTCTTCCTCGCTCATGATATCCTTTGACGAGCTACATCCACCATCAGCAGCAGAGCATAAAAAAGGCATGTCGTTCTCAAGCGACATCACGGCCACAGCACATCTACCGCTTACTACCATCACACCAAACGCTTCATCTTCCATCCACGATCCAGAGAAACCACCCAAAAGGCGACAAAGACATTGGCTGGTCTCTGCCTCGTATTGGGGTCCATTCTCCAAAGGGGACCACTGGCCGTTATTCACTTACTTGATGGCCATTTTCATGATTATCATATTTTCAGGCGAAATCCTGCTAAGCAAAGAAAGCTCAGGAGAGTTTTTCGAACTAGAGCCTTTCAATTATATGTTGGGTCCATCCATGGAGATCATGATCCAGGTCGGTGCGCGTTTTGCTCCATGCATGCGCCATGTAGATTCGATGCCGCCAGATGAACGCTATGTATGTTTAGACACCATTGCCGAGAAAAGCAAAACTCCCAGTACTGCAGCTACTGCTGTCGCTGCATCAGGTAAAAGCAACAACAACACAACATTAGCTGGTGGTCAATCGCTGTTGCTGCTAGACCAAGTAGTTAATCTAGCCGATCCTCGATTACTCAACTCCAGTTGCTCGCTCTCATCGATTTGTGGCATGACAACGTTTCATCAAGATCAAGTGCCAGATCAGACGTATCGCTTATTGACACCTCTTTTTATTCATACCGGGTTAATTCATCTCATGATCAATTTGGCTGTGCTTGTAGTATTGGGTGCCAAGGTAGAAAGGATCATCAATTCACTACGATTCTCATGTAAGCGCTCCCTTCACCCACTACACAGTGAAAATGTATCTGACATAGTTTTATTCAACTAGTATTGTACATTGGTTCTGGAATATTTGGACATACACTAGGCGCTAATTTTGCTCCTCCTACTACTCGTAAGCGTTTGAATTGCAATGACATATCCATATAAACTGATGATGAAACTTGTATTTTAGCTTTTCTTGGTTGCAGCAGCTCCTTATTTGGCTTGTTTGGTTTCCTGTATGTTGATTTACTCCAAAATTGGAGACATTTAGAGCAACCTATTCGCTATTTGATCAAGTTATTACTGGGAACTGCATTTAGCTTCATTCTTGGATTACTGCCTGGGTAAGAAGAAGTGGAGGTGATGTTGGTATGCACACTTGAATACTCATGCTCGCAACAGTGTGGATAACTTTTCGCACATGGGAGGGCTGCTAGCAGGTGTGATATTGAGTTTATTTCTGTGGTCTCCTATTCAGCTGGATATACGTAATGAAAGAAGAAAAAAGTTGGCCATCTTTTATCTAGCAAGATTACTGTGTCTTTGTTTATACGGAATACTGCTGGGTATACTGGTGCATCATTTTACAACAAGCAAAATCGACGAGGTATGTGAATGATACCAATCTAGAGTTACACTCCACACCTGAACTCATTTTGCAAAGGAATGCTCGTATTGCCGATATTTATCATGCTTGCCAATCAATGGATTTTGCGATTAGAGACAGCACAGTTTTTTTTTATTAAGAGAAAAAAAGAATTTGGTTTCTTTCATGTGGATATTTGTACGAAAGAGAGAGTGAAAAAAAAAGAGAGTTAGAGAGAGGGTGAAGAGAGAGAGAGAGAGAGAGAGAGAGAAGAGAGAAGAAAATTAATGGGGATTGTGTATATTTGTAAATGAAAAAATGTCTAATGCTCCTCTGGAATTGTATCATCTGTCATGACACCTCTAAGTCGACGTTCTTTTTCGTTTTCAAGTTGTCCATAAAGTAAATAAAGTGCACGTTCATTTGCTTCAGGAGTACCTTGAATGGTGAACATTCTTTCTCCAGACTCATCATGAGGAACCTTGGCAATTGAAATTCGAGAGCCAGAGAGTCGACGGATTTCGCTAATCTTGGATCCACCTTTACCAATAATGCAGCCAACCATGTCAGAAGGAATGGAGATATTTTGAGTGCGTACATTGGGATCATTCAAAAATGCTTGTTGTTGTTGTTGCTGTTGTTGTCTTTCAAAATCATGGCTACTAAAGTCAGAGCCGTTACCTGTGCGGATGACATTGTGCTGTTGCTGCTGCTGTTGTTGAGTGCGGTGATCATTGAGACCATTTATGTTGGTATTGACTTTGGTGGGATTATATAAAATGGTACCATAGGCTCTCTCTTTATCTTCAATCAAACAACGGCCAATCTCCAGGATAGCCTTATGGATTGCATCAACTGTGCCTCTCACTTCGACAACACGTTCAGTACTCTGAGGTAATAAAGTCTTTGATGCAATCATGCGAACACCAGATGTGTCTTGGATGTGCTTAATCTTGGCTCCTTGGCGGCCAATGACTGTGCCCATTAGATTATGAGAGATTAATAAACGAATAGTGGCGACTGCATTGCTGTTGTTGTTGTTGTTGTTGTTGTTTGTGGCGGAGGAGGTGGTGGTAGGTAATGGTGAGATGGGATTATCCAATAATGTTTGTGCAATCAAGGAATAAGCCTTGGATACACCCTCCAATGTACCAGATACAGTCAAGACGCGATCATGAACGCCTTGAACTACCTTTGAAACACCTGCCTTTACTCCAGTTGTGTCTCTCATCTCGGCTACATTTTTACCACCTACATACAAGAGTTCCCGTTAATATGCCTTCCAATACTGTCCAACACATGTCCACTACAGCAAAAAACTACTCACCTTTGCCAATGATAACACCAGCTTCCTTTGTAGAAACAAGAGCACGAAGAGTCAAACCTGAATCATCATGGTTCTCTGAATGATCCTCAAAGCTTTCCTCCGGGAAATGGTCTTCAAAATTGTTATTGTTGTTTATAGGCGTGTTACTAGATGTATTGTTTGTTGTGCTATTGTTATTGTTGCTGCTGCTGCTTGGAGTATTTGCAGTGCTGGGGGCGATGGGGGTCGCAGTGATGGTATTGTTTGGAGTAGTAGACATGTTTATCTGATATATAAATGACAAGAACGCGTTACCATTTGCCATCCACACATGCTTCCATTTCTATACACTGTGCTTACCTATGTTGCTGGATTTCCTCAAGTGCAGAAAAAGAAAAAGAAAGAAATTGAATTGAATAAAATGACACAAATGCCAATTTAATTCAATAGAAAGAAGTGCAAAGGGAGAGAGAGAGAGAAAAAAGAAAAAAGACAAATAATTGCAAATTTCAAGATGGAGTTTGGATTATATGGAGAAATGTCCTAGTCAATCTACATTTCCAAGCAGGCAAGCAAGACAAAGTAGTCGTACGTTGAAGTAGACGTATCAAATGTCGCACTAGTTACTTCAACTTGACATTTTTACCAGACTGAGAGATTAGACCGACGATAAAAAATGAGGCCATAATTCCAATAGTCTATGTAGGTTGAAAAGCAGGCAACGCTATATGTATGCTCTCATCCATGTCTCGCTTTAAAGCAAGTTATATATACGGTATAAAATGGCCGACGACTATTGAATTAGCATGCTATACTATGGGTATGATGTAAATCTTTATAAGCCCACCATGCTTTCAACGGGCAATACTATTGAATAAGACAGATCCCTGCAGGATCAAGATGAATGCGCAGTAAATGTTTCATTTCTCTACAATCGCTATACTATGCATTTGTAAGGTACATTCGGCTCTCGAGCCCATCTCTATATGTTCTCACCATGTCTGAGGCGTCTAGTCTTTTCTAGTTTATTTTGTTTGACACTTTATCAACTAAATTAGGCATGTACACAAACATTTGGTTACCATCAGCAACAAAAAGATGCTTTTTGAATAATCTGATTGTTATGCACAGAGCCAAATCAACACACATTTTCCTCTCAATCTCATATGCTTATACACACCAAATGTGCATTATATCGTATCCCAGAGGTCCAATGTAACATTACCGTCTACTCCTTGTCCTACCTGATTTTCAATTAAGACTGTATCCTGCTATCTGTTCATGCTTTTGGTTAAGTTTGTCTTGCTAGTCCACGTGATCTGCTCCAATCACTTGCAGTGAAAAAAGTATAAAATGCAGACCATGGAGAGCGAACCAAGGAAAAACTCCATTTCTTATTCTCTTTCTCTTTTTACAAATACACATATAAAAATGCCTGCAGTAGATAAAACACAAAGCAATGATATGGATCGTAAATACGACATCCACACCAAGCATTATCAACATCGTCATGAAGGAGGAGATGATCAAGAGTCAGATACACAAGTCAGAAAGCAACTGCCAGGGTTACTGCCACCTCAAGCACTCCTGTCGACGCCTCCTCCTCCATTGCCATCTGCAGAAGACACCTCTACACTATTATCACCTTGGTGGTCAGAAGAAGCACAGACGGAATCTACCGATGATTTTTTTGACGATGCTACTGCTTCTGCTGATGCCACAAGCGCCACTGCTACATCATCCAATGTTACAGCAGCTGAATTCACTGCTCCTCCATTAGATTCTTCGTCGCTAGATTCCAACATACCAACACAAGAACTGGATAGCAACCATTTACAAGATGAAACCAACAAGGATCCATCTATACTCAATATCTCTATACTGTCATTTGGAAGATCTGCACCCAAAGAAAGTAAAGACCAATGGAAAGAACGGTGTTTATTGCTAGCGACAACAACAGAACTCAGTAAAAAGAAAGAAGGCGTGAGTGTACAGAACGAGTTGGAAGAGATTTTTGATAAATCAAAAGAGTGCAGCATGATTTGCTTTATGAGAACAAGCCGAGAATTGACAAAAAAGCCATCGTTCACCTTAAATCCATTCTACGGCACTTGGATATCGGTAGCGAAAACACCAGCTAGATGCAAGGAGCATTTACTAGATGGTAGGTGCCTCCAAACTGATGTGCTTAACAGCGATACTGACTTTTGATTGTAGCAGGAGAAATGACCAAAAAGAGTTTTCCTGATTACTATACCATGGAAGTAGGTGACGAACTGAGCCATTCTGGCGAGTATGGTAAGTCCACATCGATTGACATCAAATGGCCATGTATTCACCATTGCTCTGTATAGTGACTAAAGCTGTCACAAAGACATTCAGTCCATTACAGCATCTAACGCAACGTTACGTGGATTCCTGGAAAGACGGTAGCCAGCAGGCGTTTTTCTCTAAATTCTGGTCGAGTATGCAAAAAGGAGATGCACTTTATTTGGTTAGAGATAGTACGAAACGGTTGTTTGAGAATGCTCTAGGTCATGATAAGAAGCCAAGCGATAAAAAATAAACACTTTATGCTATTTCCAATACATGGATCCACCTACAGATGACGGGAGGGTCAACTGATTCAAGTAACAGACAAACAGTAAAATGCCGAGTGGGAAACAGCTGTAAATCACACCCTTTTGAAATGTGGATCGATGATGATGGCCACCAAAGTCAGGAAATCCCATCATGTTGCAAAATGAATGGCAAAGTACAGGTGGCCACAAGCTGCCCATACGAATGAACAAGTAGCTAGCGTACCAGCCAAAGAGTGTTGTATATGCAAATTGGAACAGAGATGAAAAAAGTGCTTGCTGCAGTGCTTTTCGAGAACGACCTAATTTGTTGTAGTTATCCCAAGCATGGTGCAAATGCGCTACGGTGGTGGGAGTGATGAGTGGCATGTCATTGTGTCAACAACCAGCATTCTACTCACCAATGCCAAAATATAAGGGCGAGACAAAGATCAGGTAATTCTTGGAATAGTTGGCTTGATGTAAAACTGCAATCATGCATGCTCTAAACACAAATTCTTCGGTTAAAGGAGCCTACATTGACGATTAGAACCCTATCTCCAACGAGATTGTATCTAATTTGAATACATACCACAATGTAATTACGTTGCCCCAACAAGTTCATCACATTCATTGTAACATCTCTCCTGAAATCAAAGTGTCGTTGACATGGCAGTTCCTGATCGAAAAACATGACAGACAATGGTCCCAAGAACAACATGAAGGTGAGTAACAAGGGCCTCAGTCGATTGATGGCATATATTAAAGTTGTAGGTTGCTCTAGCCCCAATGCTAAACTAGCATTCTCTTTGACTCCACTGGACTGCAACAGATACCAAACCAAGCCGGCTGATACAATTGATGCAACAGTAACAGCTTTCATACGTGCTAATATCACTGGTGGATCATTACGGTCGCCTGGTATTTTGAAAATGTAAAACCCTGCAACATAGATCAAGGTGAACCCAATACATACCAGGTTGGCTAACCCGGTTGTAATAGTCAACATCTGTAGTAGGGAAAGGAAGAAAACGAGTGAATGAAAAACTGAATAAATTACGTAAATTTGTAAAGCAGCCCCTCATCTAGATGTAGACACGGTTGCACAAAATCATTGGACGTCTATACAGTCATATCTCTTTCAACAGATATGCAATGGCTTGAGGTTTATCTAAACATGGAAAGTACAGGCTGATTCATTCAGTGGTCGGTAACTACGATAGTGATCAGGTTCACTGAAAAAAAAAAGAGCCATCTCAAACCAATTCTTGAGAGTGAGCTGAAGCGTGAATGTGCAGTACCTGATTATGATGGGATAATTGTAGAAATTATGCCCAATGTACGAAATAGGATAGTACCATTTCTGCATGCTGCCCCTTGCCGAGCCATTCAAGATAATTGTCTGCTAAATGGGACGCATGGTAGTAGATCGCATCTTCAGCAGCTTCTCTTCACGGGGATGTAGCCTGAAGTTACAAGCTTGAAACACCCATGTTTTGCCAAACTGTACTATAACATGGCTCTATATGGTATCATTCAGTAGCCTAGAGGTAGGTGCATTCATACAAATAAACAAAACGTTCAAATTTGGAGACATGTACTGCAAAAATCGCGTTGTTTCACCAAAAAGTACACAGAGACCAGCGTATTCAAATGGCGTCAATTGAGTCCGTTTTTGACCTTTCTTAGCCCACTCACATGCACCAAGCGATTCCTCTCGACTCGTAGATGTATCCTGATGCTTTTTCTCATTTTTTTTGGGTAGATGAAAATCGGTCGAAATCAAGCGATTTGGGATGAGGGTTCATAAGACTAAATCCTTGATTTGGACTCGACCTCAATTTTCACCCCAAAAACGACACTTTTTTTATATGGCTTCCCTTAATTCAAAATGACCGTAGGGACTCAGTCTTGCCTCTAGGAAGGCTTGTTTGCATGTTTTGTTGGAATTTTGTAAACATTTCGCCGAAAAACTGATATTTGAATTTTCTCAATTTCCAAATGACTTTGTGTGGGAAAAGCTTTTAAAACTAATACCATTCGATAGAGAATCTCTTATAGTACCTACTTTGGTAATAAAGCTTTAGACAGTTGCTATACACTTTGGAGAGCAATATTCGTGATTACCTTGAAACGATCCCAAACTCTTTTTTTTTTTTCGTTCTGGGCTCACTAGAGGTTTCCATGTATTCAATCTCCGACTTACTTGTTTACCCAAATGCCTTTCTGATGATGTTAATGACGATTGTGATGCTGATTAAATGGGGACAATGAAGCTGAATGAACAATTGTTTGGCTTGAAGACTTTTTGGGGAGTTTTGCCTCATAAAGGCGTCTTTTGCAATGACAATATCTCAAAAAAAGCGCTGTAGATCTTACACAAGTCCTGTATTTGCGCATAACCAGCATTATGCGCCATCTTAAGAGCATCAGCAGCAGCAAATGGTATAACAATTCTACTATCAGAATATGGAGATTGTGGTGTATAAATGCTGCATAAAACTTGAATTCTCTTTTACGTCGTCTCAATAATAGACTTTGTTTAATATCAGTGTATAAGCAAAAAGATGCTGAGGGAAATATCTCCTCTCCTCCTCCTGGCTTTTATATAACCTTTTACTAATAATTGATTGTTTAAAATTTACTTGATATATCAAAATTTTATTGTATCTGATATAAGATGTCTTCGGCGAGAGCCCGCAGGGCGACATCGTCATCGAGTGTAGTGCGATTGATCGGCTAGTCTATTATATACTGAAAATCAAACGAACGCACAGCTTAGCTTACAGAGCTCTGGCGCAATTAAATACTTGCTTCACAGGCAGATACTCGGTGTCAGTTGTGGAGCAGTTGTAAAGCCAGTGTACGCTTTTCCAATATTTCAATGTAACGTTAGCGGATGTATTTGTACTTATTGAATTGCACAACATTTTGTTTACTTTTTATACAACTTTTTATTGATCAAGCTTGTGTATCTTGTCTTCAGGACATGATAGGTAGCATTTGAATAATGTAAAGATAACTGTTGTCTAATATGCGGCGGTATATCTCTTCATCTGTCAAACAGTTATTAGCAACATTATTTAAGGCACCCCAAACTTGTTCTAGATCTGATATATTGATGCCTGACCTGTAAAACCACTTGAAGTATTCCTTCATGAAAGCTGCAGCCATTCTCAGTATGTATTTCTCTTCTCTCCAGCCTTTCTCGTTCCTTTACACTCTTTGTTTGCGTAGCATTAACACTGTCTAAAACCATTTCTTAGTTGTTATATTTTTGTGTCTTGACAGCTCATATTTATAACCAAATCTATAAAGCGCTACTCTTGTTACAGTATGTATTGATCTGGCCAATCGATGTACCATTACAAATGCTCACATTTTTCTTGTCTAGTTATTTTTTTTATGTCAAATGTCTAGTGTGCGAACAAAAGTAGAGCAAAAAGATCCGTTTACTGGCACTCAAACCAGTCATCCTCCCCAAAGAAGAGTCGTTGCTAAAGGGAAGAAAAGAGAATATGAAGCTGTAACATCCACAAGTGTTACGTCCACATCAAATTATCAGTCTGTTGTCAAAAGGCCCAAGACATTTGGTGTCTCGCCGCAGCGATTGATGGATAGCTTTTTTCAAGCAATGAGGGAAATCATCGAAAACAAAGCAAGGCCCATCATTGACAAGCCTAGTAAATTGGATGTACTCAAGAAAGTATTACTCTCGGTGAAGAGGCTCCCCCTAGGTATCATTACTACTGCTGAAAAGATCTGTCAATGTGCCAGAGATGAGTTGAAAAATCATCTTGAACACCATGGTACTAAGCAAAACTTTCAGTACTTTCAAGAGTACGTCAAGGATCATTTCGATGCTATTGTGGTATCTTTATAGCCTCAGGCCTCTGCGTCTACATCCACTGGTGAAAGTGCATCCATCCCAGCCACACCGGTTATTGCTCCTTCTGACTCTGTAGCGTTTCTTCGCCGCGACCTCTCTGGCTTGGACATGGCATCCGACATGTCTTCTGCGTCTGGCGCCCCTTCACATGCAGCAATGTCTTCAATCTCGCATAATCACTCTGATATATCCATGGTTGAAGCTCCCCCCAGACAATGTAGGATACCGCACTTGTACCGTGTCTTTCAAGAGCCTTTTACGAGAGGGCGTGCCTTTCGATCTTGTCAAGCCATTTTTGCAGAAGCTAAATACTGCATTGCATGATGTATCTGACTAAGTTATGGACTTGCAATTGGTGGTATACACATTGATACTCTCAATGAAGTCCTCGCAGCTCGTAGCTCATAGTGGTAATATTCAGCTGAAGAAAGCTCGTGGTTTCCAAATACAAGGTATACTCCCAGCAGGCTACAATATGAAAACTAATGTCATTACCTCTGCTCCTCCATTACTCTCTAATGCCTTGCAGTCTACGGCTTTTTGCAACGGTATCAAGGAATCTTTTCCAGAGCAGACACATTGATTACCTGCATACTGCTTTGTTTGGCCAAAGAGGTACCAAGATCTCGCATTCTCCATTTGCTGCTCTGTCGTCCACCAATGCACCAATTCTCGATGCTATCGCAAGAGATACGCCTCAACCTGCTAGTGAACTCATGATGGTGGCTCGAGGTTTGTACAAAACAAATCTCGAAAACATGTGGGCAAGTAATAAGATATTTAACAAATCACTGAACAAGCTACTGGAGATTCTTCTTCGCGCGCATCTCGCCCCAAAACGAGAGTCGCATTACTGGGAGCTTCAACAGACCAAAGCAAAGAAGCAACCCAAGCAAGTTGTCAAGTCGATCAGAAATTCGTTTCACAACGCCATCCGATCAGAGAAGTACAAACTGCAAAGATATCAAAGAAAGGCATAGGGCAAACCAGAAGACAACAACTGGGCGAAGCTGGCCAGAAATAGTCAAGAGCGCATAACTCACATGTATGCTGATGCCAAGCGCCCTGTCAAGTCTCTTTCTACTTCTGGTACTACATTTGATTAAGCTGCTGTATCTGCTTCTGGATCAGGTTCTTTTACTACAACTGTATCTATTCCTACTGCTCCCTCTGGCACTTCTGACGCTGTTACTGCCTCCAATGCTAGTTTTGGTCTTGGTAGTGCTGACATGCCTATTGACGAACTGCTCCCTCTTTCTGAACTGATAGATGAAGAAGACGACCAAGAAGAAGAGGAAGGCACCCGTGATCTGCCCAGAAGACGAATTATGATTCTCAAAGCTATCCTGAGAAATCTCTTGATGAGGCAAGCTGGCAAGTCTATCACCCATACACAGCTCAAGAAGGAACGTCCCAATATCACGGAAGCAGAGAATCGCGTGTGCATGCTTCTGGGAAAATTACTGCCGCCTTATATACCTACTAGAGATCATTATAGCTACATTGGCTTCCAGTTGCCATTCTTATTGTTGGCCAATGATATCTTTTGCTCTGTTGGCTACCACAAGTTTGCCGTGGATCTGCGTTCAACTTCTTCCTGTGGCTCATTACATGCAATGCGTGTAGACGCGGCCTCTCTGTATGCCTTATGTACCAGAGGTGATGATCAAATGGATATCTTTGACTTTCAAGGATTTGTCATAGAAAACATTGGGATAGCAAGACAATACAAGGATGCCGTGTTTAATTCTTTTTTCGACATTCGTGCCATCACGCAAGCCTGCAAGTCCTTTGGTCTGACATTTGCTCACAACCTTACCATTCTGCCTAGCCTTACCTCTGTCCGTATTTTGGGCACCAAACCAAGTCCCAACAAGTCAGTTTCCAATACGAAGCAACCTTTAGATATTGATTGGGATACCGTGAAAGAGCTTCAGACCAAAACTAATCAAGCATTGAAGAAGGACATTGACCAACTGGAAACCGATACCAAGGCTGTGTCTGATGAGCCGAAGGCTGCAAACAAGGATCGCAAGAAGGAGCAGTATTCTACAAGGATCAAGGACTTGAAGAAACAACGGCACACTGATCGTAGCAAACGCCAAGAAATCAAAGAGCTGAAGGCTCAAAGATACCAGCTGTTCATCACCATCAAACAGACCAAGCAACAACTGTCCAACACGAGAACTCGTGCCTTTTTGACAAGGGAAGCTATTGAATATAGAAACAAAGACATCCCTCTTGTATCAAATTACGAGCCTCCTCCTTCTGACCAACATCTCGATTCAATGGTGTTTTCGGGTACTGATAACGGGCTGGCTGTAATGACAGAAACTATTGGCGTGAATCTGAACAAATACAAATATCACTTGTCACTGCATAATAGATTCTCTCCTCTCACCTGCATGTACTGCTTTGGGCTCACCTCTCATCCCACACAAACCACCAAAGCAAAAGATGGTAAGACCAAGACAAGGTCCATTCATGATGCATTCCTGTGCTTGAATCCTGCCTGTGTGTCCGTTCTCAATCACAGAGCCATTCAAGGTAGAGACAAGACATCTGTTTTGGCCATCGCTGTCTCTGGGCTTTCCATTCTCTTGTTCAAGCAGCCATTGCCTGTATTCAATCCAAAACCCAGTCAATCCAACACTGGCATTATTTCCAAGACCACCTCTTTCTGCAACAGAAACGAGAAACGGGACAGCAGCGGTGCTGCATTAGCGGACGCTTGAGTCTTCAAGGTAATAATGTGCTCAATCTGGCTTATTCAAGGGGCTGCTTTACTAATTTGTCATTTATTATACTCACAAAATTCAAGTTTTCGCTTGTTATCGTCATGAATGCTACATAAGGGACGCTTTTTGGCTCTTCAACAGAGCTGGTTGTTAGATAGATAGATTGATATGGCGCAGATAACTCTCATTGATTTCTGGATTCATGAATGCATTTAAAAATTGAGTAAAAAACGCTTGGAAATGGCTCCAATGGCAGCTTGGGCCAGCGAAAGCGGAGGTATTGATGTAAAAAGCGCATCATCTAACGCGCAGTAGGTTCTGCTTGGATTTTCTTTTTTCTTACTCACCTGTAAAAGACATGTCTGATCAGCAAAACTCCTCCAGCAACAAGCCCACATGGAATATACCCACTTTAGATGAGATTGAGAAGCGTAAAGCAGATCAGACAAAGCAGACATTATCCTTTTTTAAGGCGAAGCGTACAATGGCTCAAGCTAATGCAGCTGAAGACAACAATGCGTCATCTACAACAGCAACAGCAGAAATATCAATTAATGGCGGCAATGCAGCTCCCACAATAGCATCACCAATAGCCAGAGCCACAGTAGCATTACCTACACGGTCCAGCACATCTTCATCATTCAATAGGTCATCAACAACAACCACACCGCCCGTTCGTCGAGCAGCGGGAAACACAATTCTAGTGAATCCCACACAGCAAAAGAATCCTATTTTGAAGCATGTTCATAACGTACCTTGGGAGCCGTCTGAAGCCATCAAGATGGATTATGTTGTTGGACAAACCACCGGTGTCATTTATCTCAGTTTGCGTTATCATCGATTATACCCAACTTACATATACGATCGGTTGAACAATGTCAAGAATTTGTATGTGAACCGTATCTTGCTGGTCTATGTGGATGTGGACAGCTTCCATGATGCTTTGCGTGAGATCAATCGAATTGCTATATTGAGCGATTTCACATTGATGCTGGCATGGAGTCCAGAAGAGGCAGGCCGTTATTTAGAGACGTATAAAGCGTTTGAAAACAAGGCGCCAGATCTGATTCGAGAGAAAGTGGATGATGAGTATTTTGCCAAAATCACAGATTGTTTGACCCAGATTCGAAGTGTGAACAAGACGGATGTGCTGACATTGCTATCTACGTTTGGATCGTTGAAGCAAGTAGCAGATGCAAAAACGGATGCCTTGGCCATGTGTCCTGGCTTTGGTGAGCAAAAGGTACGACGATTACAGCAAACATGGAAGCAACCCTTTTTGGCAAACAAAAAACAGAAAAAGCAATAGGATTTTATTATTAAATTAAACAAAAGAAAAAAGGGGGTTTCATATTACAGAATAAACACACAGGAACATTATATATATATATATATATAGAAAGCAAAAGAGATGCATAAGTAGCATGATAGCCTTACAAATAAATTACAAAAGAAACAACTACAAAAAAGATGGGAAAACGAAAGAGTATAGTAGAAGCAGGTATATGGATCAAACAGATCAGGATCTCCAGGAGGAAACGTCTTCGTCCTTGACAGACGAATTGATAACCAGTGAGTTTCTGATATTCTGATTGTAATTGAAAGAACAAGGGCTCATTATCATGGAGCGGCTGCTTTTGAGCGTCTTGTGGGTAGGGTTGTAATCCGAGGCAACACGTGTGTTCACCGCATCGATCAACGAGGGTTCAAACACCATATCATCATCATCATCCTCGTCATACATCATGTACTCGCTACTAAAGAACGAGATTTCCGATTCGTATGGAATATCACGCTCGTCCTCCGCAATGTACGAATAGCCCCGAAAAGCATGCTCTTGTAAACCATGAGGACAGCTATCTGGTAACCAACGTTGTCTCAATACGATGGCCTCGTCATTCTCCTCCTTGATGTGTGTAGACATGCCCAAAAAGTCAGGATCAAAGTTACTGAGATCAGTTTCACTGGTACGCAGAGGGATGTAGGATGGCTGAATGAGTTTAGCGTGCACATCTTTCCAATTGAGATGATTGGCAAAGTAAGCATGCGTACGCAATTCAAAGACGCCGCCAAAGCCAGCACCAAGACGGTTCAGGGGATCACGCTCCAGTAGACCGGCAATGAGGTCCATGGCTTCTGGATCGAATTTGTTTGGAAACAAGAGATCGTCATAGAGCACTCTGTCGTACATCTCCTCGGGTGTATCTGCAGCAAAGGGTGTAATACCAATCATCATTTCATACAGCATGGTACCAAGGCTCCAGAAATCAGCAGCATAGGAGTATTCTTCGTCTTGCAAGATAATCTCGGGTGCCAAGTATTCGGGGGTGCCGCAAAACGTAGTTGTGCGATGATCATATTTGTTGTCGCTGTCTGTAAACATCTTGGAGAGGCCGAAGTCAGTTAGCACAATATGGCCATCAGCAGCCAACAGAACATTTTCAGGCTTTAAATCTCTATAGCATAGAAAGGGTGAGTTTTTCTACATACAATTTGTTGGCTTGTCTTTACCTATACAGGATGCAATGGCGATGTAGCTCTTGAAGTCCCATTACAATTTCGGCAGCATAAAGGCGGCATTGTTCAGCTGGGAAGCGGATGTATCTTTGTAAGAGGGTGGCTAAATCTGCGCCTGCATGATAGTCCAATACCAAATATAGGTTCTGGCGGTCTTGAAAAGCACTGATGAGTCGGATCAAAAATGGATGATGGATAGCTGCTAATGATGCCAGAATGTCACGTTCCATTCTAATGTGCTCAACTTCACGCTTTGTGATACTCCACGACTTTGTAATTGCTTTTAGAGCAAATAGACGTTGAGAGGTTTGCTCTCGTACTAAAATGACCTATTTTTGTTTAAATTAGTTGGTATGATGTGTGCCATGCGTTTTGCTATTCGATTTTTTTTTACCTTTCCAGTGGCACCTTTTCCAAGTACTTTGATCAACTGGTAATCATTGATTGTGTTGTTATTGTTGTCTGTAATTGGTTCGTTCTCGTCATAGTAAAAATCCTGGTCCATGTCTGTTGTTGGAGGTTCAGGAGGTAAGATGGACGAGCACATCATTTCATCGTCGACAGACTCAGTCAAACCACTGTCATGACGATCATAGTAGTCGGGAAATTGAGTGATTGAGATGGACGAGGGAGGTGAGGGAGGCAGTTCTTGCTGTTGCTGGCACATAGATCGCTTTCTCTTTAATGATGCCATTGGCACAATAGCAACCGTGTTTTGTGAAACTTCATGTTGTGCCACAAGTTGACGCACTTGAACCTTTGAAATGACACGATCTTCCTCTCTTTGAGCTGAAAGAAAATCACGAAATAGGGATGATCTTCCAATGACAGATGATAGGCATTTGGATAGATAGATTTCTATCAATTGTGAGTTGGATTTCTTCTTCTTTTTGAATGTGTTCAAAAGGGATTTTTTGCTGTTGTCTACTGTCAATTTCGGCAGTGGGATCCGATGTTTGGGAAAATGCTTGAAAAGCTAAGATAGGAAATGTGTTATTCTCCATGCTACCATAAAAAGCGCTTCTCTCGGTGTGTTTATGTCTGCCTTACCAACGCATCTAATTCTTTAAAGTCTTGAATGAAGCGCACCAAGGAAAAGTGGTTCGAATCGTCTTCAAGCATGATATGAAAGATCTATTTGAGAGTCAGTTTCAAAGTTCAGGTGGTCGATGCGTCGATTGCTTACAGTGCAGGCATGTCCAGATACTTTCAAGTTGGTTTCAATCACTGCTATGCGGATGGACGATAGTTTTTGGTGTAAATTCCATGTTTTGTTGTGTAATATTAAGGTGGAAGCAGGCATTTGCTGTTATAAATGATGGAAAAAAGAGAGACAAAAGCGAAAGAAAGAAAAAAAGATGCAAGGAAATGGTCATCTATATATATATGTATGTATGTATATATATACAGCAAAAAAAATAGATAGTGACAACAAAGGGACAATAAAAGCAAAAGACAACATTTAGTGTAGCACACGCACACACGCATTCACACATCTTGTCTTGATTATTTACACACGAACTGTTTGTGCTCCTTACTAGCACAGTAAGATGCTGCTTAATATGATGGAAAATGCATCCCATGTGCATAAACCATATTAAATGCATTCAACGCAATTGTTGTAGCTTGATCAAGAGTTGTCGAAACGGATGCCATCTTGACCAGAGTTGGGAAAACGTGCACCAGATCAAAGTGTGGATGCAGAGTGAAAAGAGAGTACAACTACAAACCCATTGTCTATAGTACACTCATCGCTTTCTGACATCATTTCCCTGTATGAGCCTCCCAATCGCCTATTACACTCAACCACCCCTTATCATCATGATTGTACCACCCGCATTATGAGATAATATGGTGTATACATGCATTTGGATGAAACGCCGTGATACACCGAGCTAGAAATCAAAGCTATAAACTGAACAAGCTTGCCATCCACCTTGTTATCATATCCTATACCAAAAATATTGTATCCGCCATTGCATTGGATACAGAAAGAGGCCAAAGCGAGCATATTCCTAATACGTACACGTGTTTGCTACACAAGGATTCAAGATACCATGACCATGCGTTTGATGCATGCAAAATACAAAAAAAAAAATGTTAAAATGACTCTTGCCATACGATCCAACGTTGATTCCATTTATATTACTTGGAAAAATAAAGCATTTTTTACGTGCACTTACCATTTACAACTAAGAAAACGAGCATTTCCTAGACCCACCAGCTTTACTGACATTAAATATCAGTCATGATGGTTGCAAGTGCATGTACCATGTAAATGCTCTTTGCGTACTTGCCTTTGCTCTTTACGTAGACATAGTGATCGTACAGCATAGACCAATGTTGTCATGCTTACTTGCTTTTAGCTTACATCCACAGATGGTATTGCTGTATTTAAATTCACTCCTGTTTTTATTGACCATATACAGCTCACTGTTTGTATTAAATCAGATCGACATTTTGTGTAAATGAAATAAATTAGACTCGCTAAAAAGTTAACGTCGGTTTTTAACGCTTTATAAAGTATCCTCAATGTCAGTGCATCATGTCTCGAATCAACAACCAAGAAGAAAAAAGTAGCCAATTTCATGCATTACCCCCTTGGTGTATTTGCTATAATTGCGTGAATTCCATGTGCATATAGTACATATCATACAGATACGGTGCTAAATTTGTGTAATACATAGCAACCAAGCATATGTCTACTGGTATACATTTGGCGATTTCTGCCACTCTTTCAGTCGTATCCAAATGTACCAAAGAATCCATGTGTTTGGTTTGTGTTTCATCGCGGTATAAATGAAATCTACAGCAACTTTCTGTATTATTGGATTGTTTGCGTGGCTGAACTATCTGATTCAATACGGCTCGTTTGGCAATGCATGCATTTGAATACGTAAGCTTTCTAATGAACTTGTTGATGCAAAATGGTCAATGTGTGTGTGTGTGTGGGGGGGGGGGGCTTAGATACACATTGTTAGGGTTGAATTGCTTCTAGTCCATCAGCGTAACACCAGTATTACTATTTGCTCAAGCTTTAACTTTGATCGATTGTTATATGATTCACAGGCAGAAATAGTGTCATGAGCATCTGATCTCTTCAAGCTACTATTTTGAGGAGCCATGCCTTTCCATTATGAATGTTAACTACGCCATATGATGGCTTTTGGTTTTGCTTTTGATGCATAAGGTTAATATTGTATTCCATTTAATTAAGCTTTTCATAGCAAGTAAGCTAAACCATTAAGGGTCATGTTGGTTACAAAGCCATCTTGGTGGTGCTGTTGTGATGCCATAATAAAAAAGAACATAAAATAATGAAACGAAATAGACGATCGATGATTTTAATCAGTGAGTAAATCGTACTTTCAGCGGGCAAAAGTGTAGATTGAGCATCAGTTATCCTACTCTTGCGGCAGATTGAAATCAAAGCAGCCTACAACAATCCTTCTGACAAACGATGCTGATACTTTGTATGCATCCTAGGCTACGTTTGCCTTCCCTTCAAGCCACCATCACCATGTAGCAACATTGGCGATGTTGACTGTATCACATCATATCTGTTTTTATAGGTCCAGTCAGTTGTATATGCACAGAGGTCTCAGGGGGGGGGATATAACAGATTCTACCTCCCCACTGTTAAGGTGTTAAGATCTACCTATAGTATATGAATTATAATGACTTAAGTGATCTTTCAACAAGTCCAACCTACAATCAATATAGCTCTATTGGTCCGCTATTTATTTCATCTCAATGTAGTAATAGTCATCGACCAGAGATCAATGATAATTAAGCAAACTAGACGCTCTGTCTGTGCTTTTGTTTCAGATAAAATAGACAACTGATTATTATATCAACTTGATGATCTCAAATTTATCAAACTGCACTCTTTCATTCATCAAATGTATTATGTTCATTAGAAACCACTGTTTTTAATTCATAAATATTTGTACAGACTTGAAATGCGCATCGAATGGTATCACGTTGGATAGCTTTTCCTACGCTGGTATCGAACGGCTGGCTTTCTTTTATGATTTTGGATGATTTTTGAAGAAAGCATCTACTATTAAACCAACTTGTAATAGTATTCATTGCGTAAACCCAAGATTTAATTGTTGTTTGAGGACCTACTCCAAGTTGTAGCATCTGTCCTAATCGATCTAAAGCACCCTACAGGCCAGCCTTTGCTGCCAAACTCTCTAAAAACAGTCGCTCAAGGCTAACTTTTACTACAGTGGCACAAATAAGATTCTTTTTGAGTACTGATATTCGTTTATCATGCCTTGAAATAATCTTATAGACCTGAGCACCATACAGGTAGATGCTTTCGTAACGTATTGTGTTTTTGCCGCTATAAAAACTCCAGTTTGGGTGCCCAATCGAAAACTCACTTTGTAGAGCAAATAGAGAGGAGCAACATTTAATGAATGGAAAAGCCAGGCTGATTTGGTAGTTGATCAAGAAATAGCGTCCAAACACTGCTTTTTTTATACTGGTTTCGTTACATTTCTCTCCATTAATCATTTCACGATCAATGTAGCGAATGAAAGCAGCCCCATCATATGTTTAGTAGCTTCTCAACGTCCATATATTTTAGTCCTGTTGTAATGTCTCGAGTTTCATCATAGACCGTGAAAAAGCAATCCTCTCCTTTTGCTAAATACGCGCAGCACAGTTTAAACCTTTGTTAACCCACAGCAGAGCAAGATTCAACCTAGCAGTTCTACTACAACATATTCCAGCATCTAATCCATCGAAGTATGGCTCGTAATCAGTTGCATCTAACAGCTTCCGATATGGTTTTTACACAGTTTTTGCTCGAATTGTCTTCTTTCGAGAATCATCCGTTTTTCGATAACAGCCCACCATCCGATCTAAAAACCAACCACACTATCGTTAACCTCGCAGAATTTAGCTATAGAAGCATGTTACTTTCAGGGCTTTAGCATCAATAATAATATCCCAAAACTTGATTGTGGATAGTCCACACTTCAAAATTGAAAATACTGTACTTTTGTACATTCAGAATTCCTGATAATATGAGGTAAAAGATAGCAATCCATGAGATTCAAATACGTTTGAAATCAATCATACACGACATATATGTTTGGCAAGGCATATGGCATTGGGAGGACCTGGCACCTAGTGTACTGCTGTACCTATATGGCTTTCCTCACATAATGAATTTATTAAAGAATATTCCTCGCATAAAGCTGTGTGATAGATGCCAGATCGAATAATTGCATCTTGTCTTGCTTTAGGATATATATAAAAGAACTTAAATTGCAACTGTTTAGATACCCGTTTTATTGCAAACACAAAATTATAATAAATGACAGATCAATAGGAGATAAACTAGCTAGAATCCTTCGGTCCCTGAACCTCCGAGCCAATCAGATTGCTTGAAAACTCCGCTGACCTAAAAAAAAATTGCGAGGGTTTCCCTCTGTTTTGATGTGAGGCAAAATTTTAAGCGCCGTTATAATAGCAATATAGCCGCCGCTATCATCAAACTTCCCCCAGGTGCTAGAGCATGCCTTACTTACACCACCTAGCTTTAAATACTGGCATTGAGACCCTCAATCATCACTAAAGTAAGTAGCGGTAACCAAGTGGAGGCAGCCTATCTACCTCCTAGCCTCGGATAGAGTCTTGTTGAGCTTCAGGGATAGGCACATCCACACAACGTAAAAAAAGGTATGCTTCAAAGAAACATAATAATAAAAGAAGCGAACATAATAAAACTATAGAAGTATAGTACGTTATGAATAAAACATTAAAAATGTTCACGTTATTATATTCTTGTTATTGCAACAAAAATATATACATGAGCAATGTGCATGATAACAGTCTGATGATGTAAAAGAACACAAATGCGCACAATTGCAGGAGCAACAGTAGCAGCAGTATAAGTGTTGTAATACAACATGAAGACCAATGTTGTTTTCATGTGAAGCGACAGAGGCAACACAAACAACAATCCACGGTTATATAACATAGTATCACAAGAAGGGTAATACAATTATATAGCAGTGTGTCATGCTTGTTGTTCGTAAATACGAAGCAACAACATTGCAAGTATTTGTTGAGCTGATCATATCACAGCCAGCAAAAAAGAAAGAAAAGGCAATAAAGCAAACAGCATGAATGCATTATCGCGGGAAAGGAAGCAGCAGTACAAACGTTCAAAGAAGTTTATATCATTGCGACCGCAAGAAATAGGATACATACCACTTACCACAGACATAAATACACCAGAAGCGTATAGGCAATTACCGGAGACAGACCGCAGAACGAGCATGCACCAAATACAGTAGACCGGGAAAAACCATATTAGCAGCAGCAGCAGCAGCAGCAGCAGCAGCAACACCAGTACCATGGAAGAGCCAAAGAACGAACGCCACCAGCAGAGACCAGACAAAGACCAAAAAAGCAACCACTAGGCATGACAAACCAAAGAAGCAGGCAGCAGAGATAGCAAAGAAGTAATGGCAGCAGCACCCACGTCAAACAGGCAAAAAAAAATTAAAACCTGATAAACATATTTGATTAGTGCTCGTTCTACATTTTTCTGTGCTCGTTATCAAATGACACCTACTATATTCCATCTCAAAGAAGCAGTATCAAGTACTTTTGACAGTGCAAATCCATGTTATCAGATGATAGAGTGTTATTTTCAATCAAAAAGGTTCCAAAACCAATATGTTTAGATACTAAACACGTTTTGCGAAAAGGGTAAAAAAAACGACGTTATGGAAAAATGAGAGGGCGCCCTATTCGACGTCACGACCAGTAGTTTAGGCCTCAGTCTTCTGCCGTGGCAGCCGTAGTGACTCCTGCTGCACTTTAATTTGACATTGTGCAGTGGGTAATGATGTATCATTTCTAAACCGGATCTCCAAATGCGTAGAAACAAGCAGTTCAAGCACCGATCACATCAGATCATAAACTTTGACATGAAACACGATTCAGTTACGATCCATATCATGGCATGTTCAGGATAATAGATTGGATCTATATACTATCACCCAAATCAACCCATCTAGTACCTTATCTTCACATCAAATCCCTCAATTCGAATAGTATATAAACCATCTTATTTTCAATGTAATAAACGATATTCTTTACCTGATTAATTTCATACTCTCTTTATAAATAATTTGTTTCTGATAAATCAGGTATTTTTGTGTTCAAATTTGACTTGATCTCACATTCTTCAAACGTTTTTGAAACTGGACATGTTGTGAAGAACTGTAATCGCAATGACAGCCCAAACAAGGCCCGTGCGGTGGAAAACTCTCCTACCAAACCCCGAAAGGGCTCTCAGATGGCCAAAGAGGGTAAAAAGGGTACTCAAAGTGGCTCCAAAGTAACTCCTGGTGGTGCTCCAGTTGGAAACAAAGGTGGTGCCGAAGGAAAAGGCCAAGACGTTGCATCTGGTGGTCCCCAGGGTGATTCCAATAATCGAACTGCTGCTACCCAGCAAGGTAGCTCTCAAGGTGACGCTTGTAATGAAATAGCCACCCAAACGCAACTTAATTGAAAACTAAAGTTCATCAAATAGCACTCATTCAAATTCATGCTATTTGGATCTATTAATGAAAGCGCTCAAATGTACATCAAAAACCCATTTAAAAATACTAAAGTAAAGATACACGCTTATATCGCACATCGTGTGAATGAATCACTCCTGATCACAGTGTATTCAATCACACCCATGATGGTCGTAATAGGTGATGGTATCTTTATCCAAATAGAATTAAATCAATAACAAGCATATTCAAATATGACAACTATGCCCTGCTGCCATAGTTGCACAATATCCCAGATAAAGGATTCCATGCTTCAATAACAAACATCACACTTTAAACCATCAAGGTTACATTAAATCATGCTATGACGATAGCTCACCCAAGCCCATCAAGGTTACTCAAATCGACCCTTATGGCCAGTGCTCCTGCATTGATTACCACTTTAAATCAAACATCAACAACATTTGCCAGATATCGCAATAGCAGCACCTATTGCTCTCTATCATCACTAATCCTACAAGCTAGATGCAAATGTATAAATACTCTTCTTTTTTTACTCAATTCCAGGATCTTCAGTTCATTTTATACACAAATAAAATACAGCTGATTTCTATTGTATTTTACTATTGCTTTTATTTTTTTTTGTGAAATCTATTTAAACCCGATTTCACTGCAAACATCATCCTTGTCCCTGAGGCGATTCTGGAGAATATCCGCTCCACTGTTCGCCAGACAGTGGAAGAGGACCAAATCCATTCCCTCTTGTAGTTAGATAGTTCTTTAGATTAGATTAATTAGTATCTTATGTTCTTATAGTATTTCTTCTCAATTGCGCCCGCCTCTTCACTTCGACCCATTCCTCCTAGTGTACGCGGCTCAATCAATATACAAAATTTTTTTTAAAAAAACAAACGTTTTTGTTAAATTTAACTATAAAAATTGTCGATGTTATACTTTACTTTCTAATGCATTTTTGAGTCAATAAAGGCGCATCGAATGATGCTGGTTATATTCAGCTTTCAGACCAAAAATAATGATCAGGTGTTATATCAAATGTTATAGCAAGGTCTCACACTAAAGGTTTTAGGCTATTCTTAGGTCCTTTGGTTAAATCATGCTAATCATGATTTACAAATCAATTGTTGGGTAGATAGTAAACCTATTTTTATTATAGTTCATCGTCATGCTGTAAACCCTAGCATAATGAAAAAGTATATAAATGCATCCTTGGGATGCATTCTCAATAAGAGTGTAATTCTTTGGCAGATTCAATTTTACATTGTATTTTAACATAACAACAGGGTTTTTGTCAATATGTCAAAATCTAGCATATACAAGTTTCATAGAAACAGTTTCCAGTGTTGCATGGCATCTTTCCGATCAATTTGATCTGATATGTATCATAGAAAAAGTCTTCATTTTTTGGGATGAAAAACGCGATTGTTTGATTTTTAAGAATTTTCCCTTACTAGTACACATGAAAAAAATGAGGATTTTCATGGGTTCGCAATGACCCAAAAAATTCTGAGATACAGCTCAGTAAGTAAAGCGTGGCCAATATGAGGCGTTTGGCCCTATTCCAAGCGTCCACAACGCTTTGTAGCATGAGTTATTGTGCATCAAAATGGCTAAATTTGGATAGATTTAGCTTAAATATAACGCCTAGTGGGTTGTATTGCCTTGGAAGTAAATAAATTATAGCTCTGTCTGATGTCCCTGATGTTTTGCATTGTAAGGAACTGAATTCCTAAGTGATAGAAGTTTTTATTCTAATTCTACAGCGCAAATCTCACTTTCTGAAATACGCGAATACAGTATTTTCATAACTTGTGCGTCAATGATATCATGCAAATTTGAATCTAACAACTTGCTCAGATTGATCGAGATGATTGTCAGCTTAGCTGGACACTGTTGACGGTTGCTGTCTACAACAAAGATACCATATCTATGCTCTAAATGGGTATGTAGAATGTAATGATCTACCAGAATTACAATATCGGCATTTGGAAATAGATGGACAGATAATCATGCCTCAAATACCCAAGACGACAACAATGAAAGGCAAAGCTTTTTTGGCTTTTGGACTGTGATCTTTGGGTGGATCAATGCATTGACAAGCAATTAGGCATCATCATTTCAAACAACAAGAAGAATCCAGAATCAAAGGAACCTGCTGCTGCCACAACTACTGGTGCACCATCTCCAGTTTCCTGTAAAGGCAGTTCGCACATGTCAACAACATCTTCACCGCAACCATTGTCTACTACGGATGGTGAGCAAGACATTGAGTTGCTTGATAGTGACGACAGTGATTTGGAAAGTGTCATGGATGATGAGCTACAAGAGAAAGAGGAGAGTCGTGATTTGACAGCCAAGGAGATCAGTGCTTTGACGTCTGTATCCGTGATGCTTTGCCAATCCCCCTCCATCAAAGGTGATATTTCCTCTGAATACATCAAGAAGCAGTTGTACCACGATAAGAGAGACTCTATTCCAGCTAGTGCCCTTGATTGCTGCTGCACGATCATCAATGCCATCAAATCTCTTGTTCCTAAGCAAGATTCCCCCCCCCTCCATACAAGTGGTTTGGTTTGTTTCAGTTGCGCAATATTCTTGTTACTTTCCATCCTGGCCTTACAAGGAAGAACGCGAGAAGTCTCTTTCCAACTATAGAGGGCACGCCGAGTCAAAATATGGCAATTGCGCTCGATCCCGTAACCTTGTACTTATTATTCAGCAAACAGTACCACATTTACCAAAAGGACAAATCTGCATTCACCTCCTACTCAATGATCAAATCAATAGAAGCAAAGGAGGATATCTTTTCAAAAATTTTTGACGTGCCCAAGATCAAGAAAATTCTGAAAGAACAAAAGCTCGACTTCAAGCATTATATCAAATTCAAAGACCAATACAATGCTCATCTGGTGGGTTCAAGAGTGAAAAAACACAATAATGGCTCCAATGGCTCCAAATCGGGTGAGAACAGGTCGAGTGCCTCCAAGTCTGATGTGGACAAGGTGAAAAGACTCTCCAGTGATATCAAAGAAACAAAGAAGCAGTTGTCGTCACTGTCAAGGCAGCTTTCAAAACTGCAACGACATCGCATGGACTGTGGCAATGAATCGCGCTCCTGGGAGAAGAAGCACAACAGCATGAACTTTGAGTTATACAAAAAGTTGAATGATGCTAGAAGTGATTGCGATGAATTGTACATGAAAGTGTCAAGCTTGAAGTCATCGATAAAGCAAATGCCCAGTGAGATGTACATTTTGAACAAAAGGATCCACGGTCAACAAGTACATCAAGCTGCTGCTGATGCCATGCCAAAGCCATTGGCTGTTGACAGTAACACTATCGTTCAAGGCACTGACCCTGGTGTGGTGACCACCGCCAGTAGTGTATGGTGCTCTTCTCTCATTCTTTTTGAGTCGATCAATCGGTTTCAAATGCTGTAAGATTATTCTGACACTGCAACCTCTCTTGGAAACAAAGAAACATTCGTCAAGTATGAATTGTCGATAGTTAATAAAACAGCGCAGAGTGAAGGACGAAGGAAGGAATGAACCAATCTTGTCTTTCAGGGAGTCTTGTTGTTCTTCTATCCGCTCCTTAGTTTGTTACTAAACCTATGGATGAGTTGTTAAGGATGAATAATAGTTGCAATGTGCAGTTGTGCTGTATAGGGTTCCTGAATGGTGGGGTTTGGCATAAAAGATCATAATGCATCTGTTGCTGAATAGTATTATGAAAAGAAAGTACGGTGAACTGATCTATAACACTCCTACATTATGAATGCAAACAATGTATTCTCGTTCACTTGAAAGCGTTCGGATAATGGCAGTGGTGCAAAGTATCTCTCACAGAAGGGAAGGAATTCGATATGTTTGTAGCCATACGTTACTGTTGTGTGGTATGATTGATTCTGGATGATATCGCTGCAAAAAAATTAGGTACATCGCTGTTGCCGCTGACAATTGCCACAGGTGTGTCCTTTTCTGAATAATTTCTTGGGAACCTCGAAAACCATGAATTTAACTTAGTCTTTGAGCCTCTCGAATCAAGCATTTCGCCAAGATCAACACGTTACAATATTACTCAAATAGTAAACATGATCAGAGCGAATGTGCAATCAAGTTACAAGTTTCATTAGCAAAATGCCATCAAGGATGCTGACAATAAGTATATTTTTCCGAAAATACAAGAAAAAAGATGAATAGGAAAGGGGGATACTATAGTAGAAGAACGAAAGAAGCGATATAATTTACTCGATGTTTATACAATGATTTACTCAAAACCGTTGTAAATGAGAAGGTTGGGAGTCTTGGCAGGAAGTTCCTTGAATACATTGCGAGTGGCCAATTCGAGGACTTGCTTCTTGATCTCCTTGGGAGTGGTACCTTCGGGAGCTTGGGCCAAAAGATAGGCAGCAAGACCAGCAACATGAGGAGAGGCCATAGAAGTACCAGAGATGGTGTTGGTAGCATGATCATTGGAGTTCCAGATGGACTCAATATTCAAGCCGGGAGCAAACACATCAACACATTCACCAAAGTTGGAAAAGTACGCACGTTCATCAAAGATAGTGGAGGCACCAACAGTGATGGCCTTTTCGGCACGAGCAGGAGAATAATTACTGTGGATTTTAGGATAAGGTTAGTTTTCATGCATGGATCGCATAGACAACACACTTACCAAGCATCCTTGTTATCGTTACCAGCAGCAACAGCGAATACAAGACCGGCTTCAACAGCACCGTTGACAGTGGCATCCAAAGAGGGAGATTTACCACCACCCAAACTCATGTTGGCAGCAGAACCCTTGAAAGGCTTCTTGGATTGCAAAGCAGCCTTCTTGTCCTTGAGATACTCGTTGGTAGCCCAATCAACACCCTTAACGACATCAGACATACTACCACTACCATTTGAAGCCAATACTTTGACGGCAACAGGGATGGACTTTTTGGCCACACCATACTTCTTTCCTCCGATAGTACCTGCACAATGAGAACTAAAATAGGCATAGTTTAGCATCAAACACATATATAATGCAACTTTCGAATAGTTACCCATGACCGTTGCCATCAACATCTTCATCATTCTTGGGGATGGTCTTACCCCAAACAGCTCTGCCACCGAAATCAACATGCTTCACATTGATACCAGTATCAATGACGTACACCTTAATACCTTCACCAGCAGTATCAGCATCGTAGTTATACTTGTTGAAGTTACGAAGAGAGAGACGATCACGTGTAGAGATACGAGCAAGGCCCCAAGGAGCACCGCGTTGCAATTCACTGGCATAAACGACAGAATCTTCTTCGACGTAGGCAACTTCATCTGATTGACGGATGGCATCCAAGAGCTTCTTATCAAATTTACCAGAATAACCCTTGAAGTTTGGCATCTCATAAACGTGGTTGATACCGTGATCGTATTCATTCAAATAATCGCCGTTGTTAAGAGCATGAGCAGCAGACATACTGCTAATCCATTCAGCATGGTTTTCAATCTGCTTGGCATCCAAATCATTCTTGAGGACGACAATGTAGGAACCACGCACAGCTTCGGTCTCAACAGGAGCGTATAAAGGTGCTACGGAGCCATCGTTGAAGGAGGTGGGGTTGATCATGGGCACAGCAGTGGCATAGCCAGCCATCAGCAAGGCAGCGGTCAAAATGGAGAACTTCATATCAATAACAAAAATGTAAAATAAGGTAAAAGAGTAAAAAGAGAGAAAATCTCCTCCCTCCTTTCATGCTTTTCTACTTGTTTCGTAATAAGGGAATTAAACCAATTGAAAAGGCAGTGATTGGTCAATGTGATGTCATTGCAAATCAGTCAGTTGATGGTTGTGTTTCCCCAGTATAAATGATCAGGTAGCTCGTTTCACCATATACTGCAAATCGTTTCATCTAGATACGAGTAATAAACAATACGGGGTCAAGTAACATGTTTGAGCGATATGATGAATAGCTATATAACCATGTGACGTGATTGAGGACATGTTCGAGTACATTTTGTATTGCCTTTGATGGATGATTCATGGAAAACGCACAGCACCCTCTCACGATGCCACTCAAAAGGAGACTATTAATAGATTTCATTGCTCACCTGAATTCATGTTTTCATTTGGGCACCTTCCTCATATGGTGCCATGTTTGTTAGAATCATAATGCCATGATAAGCGATCCATGCTTTGATCGACCTGTAAAAGCAAACACCAGTTCGATACAGCAAGACAAGAAACAGGAACTGTTTTCGGTTTTTTCCTCTTCCCGGGATTGCAAACCTAGTTGCATGAAGTATCAAGACAAACTCTTGCTGAAATGGTGCCAAAATGATGCTATTTGGTATTAGCCTACTTGGTTTAACCTGGCGATGACTGGAAACTGCTCTAGAAAGGAGAGCTAATGTGCTTCATCATACATACCTTTCAGTTCATGAAATGGTTGAGCCAATACTGCAGCAGGACGAGCTCTTACAGACAATCGCGGGATTTGGGCTACGCAAATCAGACTTCCTTCACATTTGACCATGGGAACGATCAAAAACCTGAACATAATCCGAGGCTTCGGTTGTATACATATACCAAGCACTATATCCGCTAGATGCTAGCGTTGTGCTCAAGCAAGCAGCATCCTCAAGTCCAACAAAGTGCACTGATGAAGAAACCGCATTTCGGCATTCAGATCAATCAACTTTCTACCCTGAATCCATGCTGAATGGCATCTTGATCTCAATCAAGGACACTCTAGATGCCTGTTGCGTGGCCCAACAAATTGCAACAGCTAAATACCGAAAAACAGTCCATTTGGAACAGGATTTGGTTTAAATGATGCCACTGTCATGTAATGGAAATTGGCAATCTCTCTCTCTCTCTCTTTTTTTTGCAAATTAATGGCTATCATACATGGACTGATTGCACATGGCACCACCATTGTCGCAGAATATAAAACCGATAAAGACATTGATGATCTGACAGGTATAAACATAGGATACCGCACGACCCACCTTGCACAGCCTTATCACACTGACCATCAAATTGTATAGTTGTACAGGCTATTTTAGACAAGATACCACCTAATAATTCAAAATTAACCTACGTATATGACAGGTGAGTGCCTTACATCTTTGCATGCACTTTTGGAGAAGAGAAAGAGCAAACTTAGTCATGTTCACTTTGACTAGATACTTATTTCACTACATTTCAGAAGGCGGCATCACATACATGTGCATGGCCCATGAATCCTTCGGTCGTCGCATCCCATTTGTGTTCTTACAAGATATTCAGTCAAAGATTCTCGCCAACTACACTAAAGCACAGATTCTAGATGCGCCTGCTTACGGAATGAGTGCATTCAACAAAGTGATTGAAAAGCAGATGGATTTCTACAGCAATGACAAGAATGCTGATAAGTTGAGGCAAGTGCAAGGTGAAATTGACCAAGTCAAGGATGTCATGACGCACAATATCGAGCGAGTGATGGAAAGAGGAGAGCGCATTGACATCTTGGTGGACAGGACTGATGGGCTCAGTCAACAAGCATTCGCATTCAAGAAGAGAAGCACATTACTCAAGGTAAATTGATGCCTGAATGAAGTAAGATGTGATATAATCATACGGTTGTTGATAGAGAACAATGTGGTGGAAGAATACAAGAATCATGGCAATGATTGCATTCGTACTAGTAGTAAGTGTGCTATTTACGTGTAGCAAGAACTCCTTTTCATTAACGCTTGCTTATTGCAGCTTGTTCTCCTTTTCGTGTATATGTATCTCCATTAACGTGTCAATAAAGAGTCATTACGTGAGTTGTTTGTATAATGTTACAGTTAATTTGTATGCTTTTTATTAGTATATATAGATATTCACTACATGAAGAGAGAGAAAAAGAGAAAACTCTTGTACTAGAAGGATTATTAGGAGAAAGAAGGTATACAGGATATATGAAATGTGTCGAGGTGATTGGATGGTGTATAAGTAAGCTGGTTTTTTTTTTTATCTATAAGGTGGATGATGTGGCAAGTTTCTTGGCAGCTAGCGATTTCAATGTATATACAACGGCCTTGGTAGTTGGTTCCCGGAGACCCATGGAGGAAGCCAGCAACAAAGCCTGTTGAATGCAATCTTTGGAAGTATCAAGAGTGAGCACCAAAGGAATCATATCCAAAAAGCCGTGGTTCGCAGCATACAAAAAGGAAGGATTCTGGCCATTAGACAGGCATGGATTTGCCCCTGCTGCTGCTAGTTCACGTACCATATCAATTTTGCGTTGTTGTACAGCGTTCAAGAGGCTGTCATTGTCAATGATACAGCCGCGCTTAATCAATAGTTGAAGGCATTCAATGCGATTCCATACGACGGATAATAAGACAAGCCCAGGCGTGCGTTGATGTGGAGGGTTCTTTGTAACGGAATCTTGATCTAAAAGCAACTGCAGTGTACTCGTAAATCCGGTGACAATGGCAGACTCGATGGAACTGCGATTATCCAATGAATTTGGGTGCCAGAGCATATCTGTTTGGGTAGGGTTGTTATCATGGCGCTTGCTTTTTGACAATAAGAGGGACACACATTGTTGAAAGCCGTATGAAATGGCAGTGTGGATGGCAAGGCGACCTTGAGAAATGAGATCAATACGAGCACCGGCTGATAATAAAATTTTTAGGCATTCTGTTTGATTTGCTTGGGTCGCACAATGAACTGCTGTTTGGCCTTGATTATCCACGGCATTGATATCGATGTCTGGGTGTTGCAGTAATAATTCTACGCCTTCTGTGAAGCCTATAATACAAGCTTCGTGAAGAGCAGTTGATTTATTGGGTCCAGTCTTCATGTTGATATCCAAATGGACTAGGCTTAGTAAATTCTTGATCGCTTCTGTCGATCGTCCAATGCAAGCCCAGCTTAACAGTGATCGTTTGAATTGCTCGTCGCATGTATTGGGCGACCCCTTTCGATCCAAGAAGGACTTCAAGCAGTTCAAGTCAAATTTCTGCTTTTTAGTGGCCGTGGTAGGTTCATTGTTTAGAAACGAGATTGAATAGGCACGTTTTCTGCTGTTTTTAGTGGGCTGTGCGTCTATAGGCGACGTTGGAGGTGTTGGCAGCACAGATTTCTTCTCGCTACTGGAATTAGAGGTTGTAGTAGCATTCGTGCTGGTTATATCAATTGCTTGCATGTTGAGTTGAATGAGTGTTGAAAGGAAAAGAACGAAATATGTTGATAGAGATGAACAGTGCAATTTATATATTAAAAAAAAATGTAGAAAAAAAAAAGATCGACATGAAATTAGAGAAACCATTTGAACAACAGCACTCTTGGCACAAATATCCAATGTTGAAAAAGAAGATTAAATGTCTTGGCAACCTGCAGCTCCAGTTCTAGGGTCCCCTATATTTTGAATTTATTTCCATGTACCTAAAGTTGTGTAGCAGTGTATTTTCGCAAGATAAAAAGCAGGTGCTATAAGGAAACAGCACTGCAATCGACGTTTTGTATGAACCGCCTCAAGAAATGTTTAGTTTCTCGGTTGTACAAAACGATGGCTATTTCTGTATTAGAGAGGAGATCTAAAAAAAGATGGATGATTGTAATTTGCAGTCGTTGTCATTATGGGTTACTGTAATGCCTCCTTCTTGTGGACCTTGGCATCAAGTGAATAACTAAATAAAGTCTAGCAAATAGACATGCATTGCTTCCCTTATGTATGAGCGTCCGAGACTCCACTTCATTGGATCTTTGAATGGAATGTGACTGTATAACAACTAGTTGTTTCTTTGTTTGTGATCCTTCAGATTTAACAGATGACTACCTGACATTCCCACCCTGTACGTTTATAGCTGTTTATTCTATATGCAAATCAATGCCCGCAGTAATAAATACTCTTTTGAGCGCATTAAAGACACTTAAATTGCCAAGTACCAGAATGATTTAATAACAAGTGCGCTTCAATTACTAATTCCCTGCGCAAGGAAACGTCATTCTCATCCCTTGCTAATCCAACACAGAGCTCATGCTAGTTGCCCTATATTGAATGCGCATAATACAGCCATGTTGAAAAGCCAAGCAGTATCTGCTTAGATCATATCATCATCCCCGAGTCAGTGAATCATGAATCTTGGCCCTGCTAATAGCATCGCCAAGACAGACATGTATAACACTCTTTTTTCCTGAAATTGAAACAATGAAAGAGCCAAGTTTCCATACAAAGTTCATTCATCCGATTCGACTCACTTGAAACTGGAATACAATTTTCATGTCATACACAGAAATGCATTAAGAGAAAGCTCGGTTCGGCATCACACTCACACGCAAGACAAATGCGCTCCTTCAACGTAATTTTAGTCAAGAAAGTCTTCTCTCTTGGTGCAAGAAAAGCATCACATCCTTTCAACCCCTATGCGATCATTATTCTTATGCCGAGCTTTTATTTCCATCTAGTAGGCCAGGGGTTTCTACCAAGCTTTGGGAATTTCAGGTCAGCAAATGGAAGAATACCATTCACCCATAGATTGGTCAAGTTTTTAATCATTTGATCAACCCCAATGTCGATCATTTCACGTATTTCCCGCAATTATTTCATTGATCAAGTTTCTACATGCATACAATCTCACTAATTCTTGCTAGTAAGTGATGAGAATTTCACTAAAAAAATACTGTTGACTTGGCAACATGTCGAATTGACACTCATAGCCTATTAGTAGGTACTATTCAAAGCTAATGATTTCTCAGGACATTTCTGGTTGGATATGCCGGTTTATTGGAAATTAGGCATACTACATTTCAAACGCCAGGGACACACGAGTCTATGAGCTTCCACCTCTACAAAGCGCCATCAATGGATCTCATCCTCTGCTTTTTAACGCTAACTGCAATCATCATGAAAGGCTCTTGTTAAATGCTATTTAAATGATAAAAGTATATACTGCTCATAATAATGTTCAAAATCAGTTTACAGTTTGCTGTAAGGGTGTCGGTCTCCAAGATGTACCAACAAGCAATCGGCTTTACCTACAAAGCTACATCTCAATCTGGCTGATACTTCAAAACTGTTTAAATCAAATCAATAGTCAGAAGCCAATGTCTAATTCATGCACCATACCTAGTTTGATGAGTTCAATACATTTTCCAATGCTCATCATGCCAAAAATAGAGCCTTTCTAAGTGTCAATATCTTAAAATTCAGAACAGTTCTTTTTAAAAACAACATCGTTTTCTTGATTTTATACAATTAGAATCATTATGCAGGTTCAGCATAATACCTCAGACTCCATAATTGAGACATTTGTATATTAAAAGCTTATATTTCAGCCATAAGCATCGTCTGTAGTTATTGATTACCAGTGACAAAAAGTTCTGTCTGAGAAATTGTGGCACATTAAGCACACCATTCAAGTAATCCTCTTCTTATTCGCTTCATCGACATCAATCTTTTGCATGAAAAAGGCACTTTTGGCAGCACCACCAGCCAAAAACTATTTTAATTGCCGCTCGTTTTTTCTGACTCGATTCGTTGATTTCTGAACATTCTGCGACTTGATTGTTCTATTTTGTTATATTTGACTATATGAACTGTGAAGATTATCCCATCCTTCCTTAAGCACACCTTTCTTTCGTCTAAATTGTTTTTAGGGCCTTTCAAACCCCGAAAACAGCACTATTAACGCGATAAAACAAATAATAACAGAAGTAAATAAAGTGAAAACCCCAACAAATCCAAGCAGTAAAACACCCACTCCTCCATCCAAGCCAGTCTCTACAACCGCCAAGAGTCGTCTTACAACATCTACCATCCCGTCTGTCTCCACTAAACGTCGACTCTCCACGTTAGCTAGACAAACACTTACCCCTCTTCCTTCATCTGTTAGTCTTCGTCCCAAGTTAACAGCTACAACCCGACTCACCCGTTCCATCACCAAAGCCATGGCCGAGAACACCCTACCACCTGCTGCCAACGCTATTCCTCCCGTAGCCGTGCCCAACGTAGCTTCAACCACGACGATCCCTGCTCAGCCTTCCCCTCTTTCACTGAGTGACCTCAACATTCACTCCGTCCCCAATCTCCCTGACTATCTCAAGGACATTTACGCCCGCCTCGATAGTCAAGCATCCCAAATCTCTGAGATGCAAGCTCTCATCCAGGAGAACATGGTCCTTCGTTCCTCCTTGGATCACACCAAAAAACAATTAGAGGATGCTCAGCAACGGATTCGTCAACTTGAATCACAGCAAGCTCCGCAGACCTTCCCTGCCCCTGAATCGACTGCTGCCTCACCTCCTTCAACTACTGTGGCCCAACCTTCTTTTGCCGACGTCGCCAAGAAACAAGCGGACCCTTCTGCCGTCAAACGTCCCAAAGCTAAAACCATACCTCGAAAGAGGCTTCAACCTCTCAACCTTAATGTTAACGATGCCGGTCTTGCTGCTGCTCGTCAATTTTCGGTCGTGTCACCCAACCATGGTTACCGATTTGTCTACATTCCCAACCGTAGCCCTTCGCCCATTAGCCAAATGAGGGATAACTTCCATGCTATGGGCATCCACAACAAGCGAATCTTGGATATCCATTTCCCCGACCGTCATGTTTGTGGCCTTCTCGTCCACATAGACTACATCCCATCCTTGGAAGCCCAATTGACCAAGTACGAGTTGGCACCTATCCAGTTCGATCCCATGGACACCACCACGTTGCGTGACCCCAAGTATACCGACTCTGATCCTACTTTCCTAGCTACCGAATGTCGCCGCCTTTTCCTTGCTCGATTGAAGGTCATCATCGGGCGTTTGAAGGATCCGCACCACCAACTGGCAGTGGCCCGCTTCTTCTGCTTCAAGCAACACTTCATTCCTGAAGACGAGTATGCCCAACTAGCTAAGTCCATCAAACCAACTTATGTCCCAGCTTACAAGCGTCAACAAACCAATACTACACCCACCGCCGCTGAACAAGACCTCACCATGGGCGAGGCAAACATCACTAACACCACCACTATCCGAGCTGACGAGACTTCAGCCCCCGTGACCTAATTAGTAACTATATGAATCCCCACCCTTATGCCCCCTCTATGACACACTATGCTACTAACCCACCTATGACAGATTATAGATCAACTATTAAGATAGGCTCACTCAATTGTCGAAGTCTCAGTAAGCTCTCCAACCCAACCACCAGTTCCGAATTTGTACGATTCCTTTGTAATCCTGAACTGAAATATGACATTCTATGCTTCCAAGAAACCCATGCTACCGAATCAGTCCGTGAACGACTGAATATGCAATTTCAAACCAACACCAGCATCTGGACATCCCACTGCGGTATTGTATCCCTCAACCCAAAAATCATCATCCAACCGCTCAACGTTACCCTTGATGACCGGATTATAGTGTGTCAGGTAACACACTGTAATGCACTCTTTTCACCCATCACACTCGTTAATATTTATGCTCCTGCCACGGCGTCGTCCAGAGCCCACTTTTATTCACAACTGCTTACCATTCCACTCTTTCACCCCGATACCTGGGCTCTGGACACCTTTCCCATCACCATTGACATCCAGCCACCTCCAATATCTACCGAGGAACCATCCACGATTGCAGTGGATCGTGAATCTCTGATTATACTAGGTGACTTTAATTATCATGCTACCTCTTATGCCATTGACAATACCAACTATACTACTGATTCTTTCTCTCCCCCTATACAGTCAGATCAACCCCACCACCACTCTGCCATGCTGGCTCAACATCGCTGGCATGACTTACTCAGCAATCACCTCATCGAATGTACCCACTCAAAACATGATGGGCCACTTTTACCAACATTCCGTCGCGGGATCTCACGGTCGACCATCGATTATGTCTACTGCTCACCAACGCTATTTCAACAACTACACTCGTCCTCCATTGATTTCATGTGCTCCCAATGGACTGATCATGCCATCCTCAATACCACCTTTCAATTCTCCTCCTCTCAACAGGGTACTGGACTTTGGCGAGCTAATCCCCAGCTAGCAAAGAACGAGTACTTCGTCACCGAAATCCACCAGGCGTTAGATCAGTTCTTCCAGGAACCAGGTACTTCCCCTCAAGCACAATGGGATGCACTCAAGGCCGTAGTGAAAACCATTGCCCGTCGCATTGGTCGCCGCCACAGCTCTTGGCGCAACCGACAGCTCAAACGGTTTCAAAGGAAACGCAACCAGTTGTTCAAACGATATCAGAATCAACCAGCCATTCTCCGAGAACGATTACCCGTTATCGAGAAACTCATCAGCGATCTGCAGCAGGAGATCTCCATCCAACAAACCATTCGTGCGGGTAAAATGTGGCGTGAACAGGGTGAAACGTCTGCCGGATACCTCAAACGCACAATCGCCACTAGACAAATTCAACGCACCATGTTAGCTCTCCAACATCCAGACACCCACTCCATCTGCGATACGGCAGAGACTATGCAGGATGCTGCAGTATGTTTTTATCGTAAGCTATATACTACTGACTCCATAGATTATACCAGCATCTCTGAACTCTGCAACACCATCCCTGCCTCAGCACAGATCCCAGTAAACAGCCAACCCACCTTGGAGACGCCATTTACCATCGACGAGATTATGACTGGTGCACAGCGGTCGCCCAACCATAGCAGCCCAGGTACGGATGGCCTACCCTATGAAATCCTAGCGGTGCTATTATCCCACCAACAAACAGCCCAACTTGCCCATGCCGTCTTCAAGGAGGCTCTTACCCTCGGTATCTTTCCCAACAGCTGGCTCACTACTTGCATGTGCCTGCTCCCTAAAAAGGGCGATCTCACAGACCTGAGGAATTTTCGTCCCATCTCGTTAATCAACTGCGATGCCAAAATCTTCACGCGCCTGCTCAACCAGCGTCTGATGCCACATATGCAACAACTAATCAGCCCTCAACAACTTGGATTCATGCCGAACCGCTTCATTGGCGAGCACGGCTTCACATTACAGACCACCAAACTCCTAGCTACTACCAACCATTCATCCACCATTGCTCTTCTTTTGGATCAAGAAAAAGCATATGATCGTATTCATCCCGAATATCTTCAACACATTATGCTCCAATTTGGTATTCCACAATCTTTAACACACTGTATCATCTCACTTTTCTTCTCCACTAACATTCAGATCAACATTAATGGCCACATCACCAAGGCACCTCTTCCTCAAGAAAGAGGCCTTCGCCAAGGTGATCCACTCAGTCCCCTCCTTTTCAACATTGCTTTTGACCCTTTCCTCCGCTCCATTCAACAAAACCATACTTTTGAGGGTTTCCATGTACAACAAGAAGCCCCACCACATCCATCACCTACTGCCGACGTGGACGATCTAACCGAAAGCCTCACCAACTCATCCCCTCCGCCAGACTCCCCTCGCAACACTCCTTCAGTCTCTCCCACCCATCGCAATCCAATTAAGTACAAAATTCTAGCCTATGCAGATGACACATTAGTCTATTTGAAGAACTTTTCGGATTTTCTTCTTCTGCAGGACTCTATCAATACATACAAGAAAGCATCGAATGCACTACTAAATTACAGGAAAACTATAGCCATTTCGCTCTCTGGACAACCACAACCAGATTGGCGCGAGTTTCTTGCTACTCACCAAATCCACCAAATGCATGACCGCACCTCTCCTGATCCAGTAACATATCTTGGCTATCCCATATGCTCCAGTTTATCCCAACGCAACCTCGCTTTCCAGCAACTCTACAACAATATCCAACAATGCATCCATATTCACTCCCAACGGAACCTCTCCATTCGTGGAAGAGCTACCGTTCTCAACACACTCATTTTCTCGAAACTCTGGCATGTCATGCGCAACTTTATTTTCACCAAAGCTCAATTACTCTCCTTACGCAGCCTTGGGTCCTCCTTCATTAACTTTCGTATCTTCCCCAAACTTTCCTTTAGAACCCTTCAACAGCCTCGCCATCATGGCGGCCTCCAAGTTTTAGATCCCATTGTCCAACAACAAGCTCTCCAATGGCGCTGGATTTGCCCCCTCATTTTAGCCGCCTGTCATTCACCACTATTACCGACATACACCACCCCAAGCATTCCACTCCTCCAGTACTCCCTGCAATGGTATTTCCACTCTACCGCTTTCTCTGATTACTTTTACTACTTACTCTTTCCTGCTGCTCGACAAACCATCTGGTTCCAACATCGACCCAGTCCACACCAAGCTTTCCTTAACATACTCACCAATGTCATTACCACCATGGATCGAATACCTCGTTCCTTCACAACCTGTCACTTAGATTTTCATACAGGTTTATCATTACCTTTCCTTGAAATTATCTTACATACCCTCCCTTCTACTCACCCCCATTTCTCTTCTTTCACAGCTCCAGATCAACTGTTTGACCGACATCACGCCGTCCAGAAACTGCTCGCAATAGATGTGTTTACCTTTGACTTCGACTTACAAGTGATCCGTCTTAGAAACTGGACCTTCCTTGAGTTTTGCCATTATCCAAGAATATCTCATCGAGTTGCCCGTTGGATTGAGGAAGGCCAAATCTACCTCCAACCATTCTTTCTCGCTCTCTGCCGTCAGGCCCCTCGCCATTCATTTACCAGTGCCTCCTTTGGTGCCAACCCCCACAACATCCGCCCACTCATTCGCCGTCTTATCAAACCTATAACACCACTACCTTCAACAGTGCCACTCAACAGTATTCAATACTACAAACACTTGGTTTCCACTGACATGCCCACCATCAACACTTCACCTCTTTCCCCCTCCCAATGGCGCCTCTTTTGGAAACTACCTATTCTCCTACAATCCCGAACTGTATGGTATAGACTTATCCATCGAAAAATTCCCTCCAAATCGATCCTCCACCACTTCATCCCCACAACTCACCCTTCACCTTCGTGTCCTCTCTGTTTGACCCAGAGCCCGGAGGATATCCAACATTTCTTCTTTACTTGTCCTCTCAAACTCGCTGTATGGCGGTTCCTTGCCACTACATACCTATCCCACACACCGATGACCGACGACGTCCTTCTCCCATTCCTCCACGGCATTCAAACTCTATCCATAGCTGAACCCACTCGCTCTGCCTCCTTACCTTTTCCAGAGCTTACCGTTTACCAAGTTTTCGCTACCAGTCTACTCTGTATATGGCAAGCCCACTGGCGCTCCATCTTCGACCATGTCCCTTTTGTCACCCTCAACGTTAACACATCTATTGCCCGTTCTCTGTCTCGCTTGGAATCGGAATTACAGTTTGATTTGTAAGTATGTACCCCCACGTATTTTATGGTCGTATTCCACTTCCTTGCTTCCCTTTTTCATTTCCTTGCCTTTAAAAATATATCCAGTCTTCTTCTTCCCTCATCATGACATTTAGAGGACTTTAAATAAAAAATGGAGTACAACTCCCCTACAAAAAAAATCCTTCCTTAAGCTTTCTTGGAGTACTTTCCAAGGCGCATTTAATGATGTATATATTAATAGGGTTTTTATGTTAACTTATTGAGCAATTTCAAAAAATAAGAAACGAGGTTTTCGGCGAAAATGCAGAAATTTTGCATATGAATATCTCACAAAAGTCCTTTCAGGGGCTGCCTTGAATCGATAGAAACGTTTTGATTCAACATATACCATAGTAAAAGTCTTCGTTTATGGGGTCAAAAATGCGATCGTTTGATTTTCAATGAAAACCATGAGGGGTACCTCATGCTTTTGAGGCGAATTGGATTGATATTTTTTAGGTCCCAAAAAAGTTGAGCAGAGGTGTCAATAAGTTACTGCTAGATGAGAGCAATTATTTGGTACTACTCTGGCGACCTGAATCGGTCTATAATTCGAGAAATCACTGCTTGAACACACGCAACTCTTGCTGTGGTTTGTACACATTTGAGTTATACGAGATATTGATAGTATACTATGTGCCCGTATATGAGTTGTTTCCATTGATACAGGCGTGGAACATTATGGAAGAGCTATATTTGCAGTTGTGAAGGGCTCTCTTGTAGTAGTATAAGTTCAAGAGGTCTGCACCAGTAGGATATTGGTTGAAGCTTACTGATATCTCAAAGACATGGAACAGAGCGATTGGCGGCGTAAGACGCCGTCGCGTAGTTTGGTTCTCACCAAAGCGAAGAGAAGCTATAGAACCCGAAACGTTGGGGGGTACTCGTATACTAAAGTGTATGCGTTATAGAGCTTTCTTCTCTTAAGCAATGACTTGTCTACTCGTGAAATTTGGCTAGACAGTACAGCAAATGTTCTCTCAAACCCTGGCTAGATGGCAATGTAATCGTGCCTTTGAATATCTCGCATAAACTGTCGCATGACCAGAGATGCTTTTTTTCAAGCATCTTTCTGAGCTCAACAATAATATTCTGATTTAAGTTGAAACCAGCCCTATTCTTCTTCATTTTAGGTAACTCTTTGAGTGTAACATTGCTAATAAAAGCCACACTATATATAAACTCATTAAAGAGGTACCTTTTCGAGATTGATATCACTTTTCCTTTTTTCCATCTCATTAGTATTTACTCATATTGATAGTATGGGCAAGGGATATAGCAATAAAATATGCTGCTGCGTACCCACTCGAATGGGTGTCCTAATGGTATCATTGATTGTCTTTGTAAGCATCTGAGAAATGTGATTACTGCTATGTTGTTGCTGAATTCTTTTAGAGCATCTACCTCGTTTTAACAATATTGATGTTTGTATATAAGCAAGGTATGTGTTCAATACCATTTAAGAAGAACATATCGCTTACAACATATACATAGACTTACAAAGCTGGTCTACGCTACAGCAAAATGTCGACATACCACTGACCGTAGAAGCATTTAATGGAATTTTCGATGCATTTGCCACTATTTTTATTGCTTATTTTGCTGTGTCTCTTTTGGGTACTATTTCAATCATTTTGGTGAGTATAGACAAGACGATTGCGAGCACACTCATCTAAACTTCTAATACAGCAACACAGAAGAATGGTACGCATCTACCATGTAGCAAACTGGTTCTTTGTGCTGCTGCTGCTTACAGTGACAGTTGCTTTTTGGATATACTTCAAAGTCAAGCAAGATGGATATGTCAATGATTGCCAAGATTTGCAGAATATCCGACAAAACATCACTTCTGATCCGTTTTATACCTCGATTCAAGTGCCTGGCAAACAAATAGTGGCCGGAGGATCTGATAAATCAGAATGTATCGAATTCATTAAACGTTTGGTCATTGCATCTGGTGTGTTGACATTTGTTTGCAATATTTTACAGGTAAAGCTACACAAGTCATAGATGTTGCTATCGTCGAGTCTAATATATGCATAGCTATACTGGGCCCGATCCATTGGCGTGTATGCCACTTCTTTAAAGAGACACTACCAACACAAACGCTTACAGATGCAAGATGAGGATGATGATTTAATCGTATCAGCGAGAAGGGATTGATATATAGTCATTATCAGAAATAAAACGATACCCAATTACAAAACCTTATGTATTTTGCTTTACCTATATTGGACCCAGATGTATATATTTGATGATGTATTTAATGCTCCATCCTGTAACGTTTATTTGAATGACTAGTCAAATCATAGCTCAAGCGGGGTTGACTGGCATCAACAATACACGGCTTTACACTCCTTCACACAGGCAACTTTTGCGCCTTCATTTCGTGTAGTTTGGGTGTCAAGATGTCAGATACTATTTTTATAGCTGTTCATGTTGGCGCAGGTACTATGAATTAGGATGTCGATCCCATTTTGATTAGATTATTCATGTTTTATGTCCATTAAGGCTATTTGTCACGTACAAAAGAGTCGAAATACACGTCTGCTTGCAAAAAGTAAGTTTTGTTCCACCCTTCAAGCACAAAACTTAAATAAATCATGTAATCAGAGCATGTTTGAGTGCCATGGCCATCTTGAAAAAAGACGGCTCTTCGATACAAGCTGTAACTGAAGCCATCAAACAGTTAGAAGTGAGTGCATCATTAATTTCATTGTAAAATAATGGCAATTAAGCTGATTATTAGAATGATCCCAGTACAAATGCTGGCTATGGGTCGAATTTGAGTTTGACAGGCAAAGTTGAATGCGATGCAAGTTTAATGACAGGGAAGACCGGCACATTTGGAGCCATAGGCGCTGCTAGTGGTCTCAGAAACCCAATCGAAACACCATACCAGATGATTACGGAAACAGAGAAAGGCTTATTATCACTTGGACGAATCCCTCCAATGCAAGTATGGAAACCGCTCATAGTACAATTAGTTGACAGTTGAATGGTTAGGTTTCTTGCAGGAAAAGGAGCTGCAGACTGGGCCAAAGCTCGTGGAATTCCTACGGTTGAAGATGATGAACTTGTAGAACGTAAGATTCGTAGTATTTGCACAAGCAACACGAATTGATAACAATTGGTCATAAAGCAAATGCGCAGAAAACGTATCTTAAGCACATACAAATGCTTGTTGACGAACAAGATTCACAGAATGCAGATCTTGGACATGATACTGTTGGTGCTATATGTATTGACAGCAACGGCGATATAGCTGCTGGCGTCAGTAGTGGAGGAATCTCTTTGAAATCACCTGGACGAGTAGGCGAGGTAATAGTTGGTATTGTAGCACTGTTCAATACGTTGAACGACTTGCATAGGCAGCCATGTATGGAAGTGGCTGTTGGGCTCAAAACGAAATAAGAAATTTGCCTGGTGTGGCATGCAGTACAACAGGTAATACCTATGGCATATAGAGCATTCGGCCATACTCAATATGATCTAGGGACTGGCGAGCAGATCATGCGAACAATGTTTACGTATAAATGCGTGGAGCGTTTATTGAAAGAAGATGATATACAAGCAGCAGTCGTTGATGCATTGAATAAAGACTTTCTTGGTAAATGCCACTTGATAAAACAAGCAATCGGATTATGTTTATTAATTTTTTGGAATTGTAGAATCTCCAATGCTAAACATTTATGACCAGAAATCAGTAGGCACTATTGCACTGCGCTCACAAAAATCTCATGGCAAAACAAGTAGGCTAGTTTGATGATTATTCTTGCTGATACTCACCATGATTTAGGAGTAGAGTTTTGGTTTGGACATGTCACAGAGGATATGGTATGTGATACTTACTATTTTGCTTGCATGTCGCGAATGTTCACTCATCCGATAGGGAATTGGGTACCTATCTGGTACGATGAAAGCTCCAAAGGTGAGGACCTCATTTTACTCTGTAGCTGTTTATGTTTCTCATGATTGATACATAGGCTTTTGTGTCTAGAAAAGTTTCGTCAAATGACAAAGTGGTCTCTCGCGGATGGCTGATACCCTAAATTCATCTCGTCTGCTTCAAATATATTTATTGATTACATATAAGATATACATGTAATAAGATCTACTAGTTTTACAATTTAACTTTGCCAACGTTGACTCTGCCATAATCTTCCAATGTGAAAGGAACGTATGTATCGCCATTGAGCCAGTAAACTGGATCAGTTTCTGGAATTTTGGCAAGATCGATGCCTTGATTGCGGAACTCGACCTTTTGCTGCTTGAATGTACCTGTAATCTCCATGGCAGGAACGAAACGAATGAATACAGGGATGGCATACTTGGGCAGCTTTTTACGCAAGTATTGATAAAGCTCCTTAAAGTCGATTGTGGAGCCTTCCTTAAGAACAATGGCAGCCATACCAGCACGACCGTCATGGTTGGGAACCAAGGTGCCATATACATTTGCTTCGCCAATACCGGGATAAACACCCAAAGCCTGAGCGACTTCTGTTGTAGCCACATTCTCGGATTTCCAACGGAATGTATCACCAACTCTGTCACCAAAGTAAAAGTAACCTTCAGAACTCAATTTCAACAAATCACCACTGCGGAAATAGCTATTTGAAATGAATGTGAGTGTTTTTGACAGAGTTAAGGTTGCATGAATGTTTGGACATACTTGTCTCCCTTTACAAATACATTTGATAAGATCTTTTTCTTGGTAGCACCGGTATTTTTGTAGTAACCATCAAATGAAACGGGTCCATCTACGTCAATACGCACGATCAATTCACCTTGCTCGCCAAAATTACACTAAGAGATGGGTTTATCCTTTGCTTTGGAGTTACACACAAGAATTTCTTACCTTGACACACAATCCGTTCTTGTCTCGAAGAGGTTCCTCAGTAATGGGATCAATTTTAATCAATTGAACCTCGCTACGGAGCAAACGGAAGAGTTTTCCACGCAGTCCAACTGCACCTGCGCCCATTTCACCTGTATTAACGTTGAACAAACTTGTGGGAGCTAGCGGCAAAAAAAAAATTAAGAAAAGCTTGATCATAGGTCGCACCTGATTTACTTACCTTCTGTTGCAGCATAAAATTCACAGATCTTGGGGATATTGAATCTTTCTCTGAATCTTTCCCAGACATCAGGTCTCATACCATTACCATAGACCAATTTCACGTTGTGATTTCTTTCCTGAGGGTGATGGGGCTGACTCAGCAGATATCTACAGAATTCACCAATATACTAATCATTTCTGGTTATACTCTCCTTCTCTTCCAAAATGCAAATATATAGACCTACGGTAAAAACATCGACTTTATAATCCACACAGTCATTCCAGAAACGACTTGCTGAGAATTTACGGCCCAAGACAATGGTGCCACCAGCATACAAACATACGGATGATGATACAATCACTATCAAACAACATGAGTCATATATTGCCCAACCTTCATTCATGTTTGATCCACTTTACATCCAGAACTATGGTATAACGGCAATACACAGTAGACTCTATCATCCTTCTTGACACCAGCGGTATTCGAATACATCACCATAGCAACTAGGAAAGGTTCAGGGGTAAGATTTCGGTTGCTATGGAGACCTGATCTACTTACAGTTGACGCGGGCATGTTGACTAATAGCAGCCTAAAATGAGATAGTGAGTTGCTAGAACCTACTACGTGAATATTTACTATCGACTTTACCTTTGGCATGCCGGTAGTACCACTTTTAAATAAAAACACATAATTAGGACCATTTGAGATGATAAGCGATAAAATCCTTACCTGGTATAAATTAAATAAGCTGGGTCATTAGCTTCGAAACCTTTGAGATAATCTTCACTGGTGTCTTTCTCGGAGAAGCGAGATAAAATGCTGGGTGTCAGCGTAGGAGCGATAGCTAAAGGAGCCAATTCAGTTTCTTGAGTAGCTTCACCATATGCAACCAATCTAACATTGAGCTCTTTGGTTGCTTCTGCAATGGTGCTCACTTGTGATTCGAAGAGAGGATCGAAAATGAAGAGTTTTGTGTTGGCAATCTTGATGCAATGCAAGAGTGAGTCGTCAGCCAAGTTGGTGTTGATCAATGAAGGGACGGCACCAATTTTACTGATAGCCAACAAGGTGATGAAAAAAGTAGGGTGATTTTGGTGCATCATACAGACAATGTCTATAGAATGGAAGAGTTAATTTACCATGTGAGACTACATCAACATCTATGCATGCTTGCCATTGCGCTTGATGTTTTGAGCAAGCAACCAATAAGCCTTATAAAGTATGTGTCAATGCATATTATCAATATTTGTATATGCAATAGAGATTTAATCTTACCAATCTGTTCGATGCTAAATTAGGTCGGATTAATATGAATAATTTTTAATCCTACTTTTCTAGTGTAACCTACCCTTTTCAATTTGACGAAATGTGTATTCTCTTCCTTCAAAGAGGACAAAGATTTTATTGGGGTTTGCCTTTGCCTTCTCTCTGAATCGATAGTAAAAATGAAGTTTGTCCTGAAATGCCCAAATTTTGTGCCTGAAATAAATGAACAGTGAGCATGAATTTCGTCACTAAGGGGTCGAGGTACTTACGCAATAGTAGCAGCCGCACCTGATCTCAATTGATGGAGATCCTTACCAAGCAACAATTTGGCATCAAGGTACATAGTACCTAACAAACCGCCAATACCGGCGGCAACTACAGGAAGAACGTCTATTTGTTAAATGCTGTTAGCCAAGCTCTACTTGGTTATCCGAGGCTCCAATTTACCGGAACTCATGATGTGCTTTGAATTTGAATATAGTGTGAAAATGAAAAAAGAAAAGAAGAGGTATACAATAGGCATTTTTGCATTTAAATACGTTAGAAATACTACATGCAGCCACTGTTTTTCTCATACACACGAACACATTATCACAATTAAAAGTCCATCTGTTGTATTTGATATTGGATCTTCCCAGCAAGATTTGCTTTTTAGTAAGCTGTGAAGAATGCAAAAGTAGAATAATGGCCATTTTGTCATGTCATGCTTGCTTTAAACAGCACTATTTTGACCAAAATGAAAAATGCCAAATTTAGAAATGTAACGCTGTCTGTTTATTGAATTACTGACAAGATACAGGAGTAGCAGCAGCAGCAGAAGTGGTAGTAGTGCTAGTAGCAGCATCTTGTGTTGATGGGCGATGGCTTTTATGATAGTTTTCATTCACCCATTGAGTCATTTTTTTCAAGAGTAAGAGATGATTTTGTTGTGCTGCTGATACTGTAGCAGTGGGATATAATGATTCAGACTCATGATCCTTCTTGACAGAGGGTTTGGATGCATTAGCATCATCTTGGATGGATAATTTGGATAAATCACTAGTAATCAATTCTCGAATCACGTCATCCGTTGATTTGGATTTGTCCTTTTCTTCAATGTCTTCCTCCTTCTTTGTAGCAGAAGCAACAGGTTTGAAGTTATTGTCCACCAGAGCACTAGAGAATGTATTGATAAGCGTAGCCATGTTCTTCTTGTCTTCGTGTGTAATTGTTTTCGATGGTTTGAACGAGATGGTTTCTTCCTTTTCAGTTTCGGCATTTTCTGGATTGTTTGCTTTTGTAAAGTTGGTGGTTGTTCGAAGCTCAGGTTGGAAGTATTGATTGGCCACATTAGGAACAGTTGTGTAATGCTGTCTTTGGCCTGTAACTCCCACGTTCTGTTGTTGATACTGTTGATATTGATTGGTAGATGAAGCAAAGTTGCCAAGATAACTATCGATATCTTGACTTGGTACAATAGGTTGTGGTATTGGTTGAGATCGCACATACATATCATTCTCATTACATGAAACAGGATAGATGCCACTGTTGGTTTGAGATGGTACAATAGGATATTGTTGCTGTGGAGCAGTGAAGTTGGACATCTGATCATAGGCAAATGATGTGGCAGGGTCCATTACAGGATCTTGTGGTAATTGCCCTGTGGCAATGCTATCAGAAAGACGAGCCAGCCAATCATTCATATCATTCAATTGCTGTTCGTTACTAATGTTCAAATTAAAGTTTGATTGGTTGATGGTACCTGCATCCATGAAGTTTTGAATCTGATCAAGACTATGAGCAATGGAAGCGTTGTATTCGGCTGGCTTTGTGTCCATGTCCATGGGGAAGAAGAGATCATTGATAATGTCGGCAGGTTGTTGTGTAACAAAATTAGCTTGTGGCACTTGATTGCTGTACTGTACTGGAGGTTGTTGCTGATGTGAAGAGGAGAAATCCGACATTGCAGTAGACGGAGATACGCCAGCATAGAGCCAATTCTCATCAGAATATGTGCTTGTTGGAGGAGAGATAGGATGATTATCAGACAGAACAGGCGATACATCTCTGCTTGAATGATGAGTAGAGTTTGGTGGTGTTAGTGGTTGGTGTTGCTGGTTTCTGTGATGACAACGTAAAGTAGAGATGTGCTGCTCACTGTGGATCTTTTCATGCTTCTTGAGATCTTGAGGACGCTTAAATGACTTGCTACAAAACTGATGAAATGCAATAAAAGAGTTAGTCTCAATCTAGGCTTTAATCAAAGAAATGGCATCCTACCTGACAACGATGTGGCTTCAAGGGGACGTGGACTCGAAGATGACTAGTGATGTGATCTCTTTTGATTACAGTTACATCGCATTTGTCCCAATGACAAGTGAGACAGAGGTTTCCAGTGGATTTCCTGCCAACATGGTCGTTTGTGAGATGGATATAAAGATGCTCGGGATCATCAAATGAGATTGTACAGCCAATCCAGCGGCAAAAGTAAATTTCAGTGTCCATTTCCAAGGAAGTTTGCATATTTGAGATATTGATAAAGAAGAAGAAAATGCAGATAAGAGAAGATTAAATAAACAAAGCTACGAAAAAAGGAGAAAGAGTGTGAGGAAGGGGTTCTTGAAAGGGCGTATGATTAATTTTTTTTTTATCTTGGCAAAACCACATCAAACTCTCATATTTAGCATTGAAACGCAGCCATTTGTAGATTGTTTGATCTGTGCAGTTTGCTGCCAAGCAACTCATTTGGGTCGCCTATTCAAGGGCAAGCAATAGCAAACCAAGGGCGATCCCTCCTCGGTATTTATGATATCATTCTTGTTTATTAAAGATAGTTTAAAGCATACAAAATACAAGCACTAATCACAGTGCTACTAAGAATACTGGCTTGCTTAGATGTCCCAGCTGAACTGGATGCAGTATTACTGTTGCTGTTGCTATTATTACTGCCACCTGAGCTGCCTCCATTTGAGGATGTATCATTGCCTGTAGCACCCGAAATAAAAGAACTTGATCCAATGGCACTTGCAATACCAATTCGGTTCTGATCTACATCATACACTTGATACAAGCTTCTCAATACAGACTCACCAAAGAAGATCTGTCCTGTGGTAGGCACAATACCAATCATACAGACACTTGCAGAGGACATGTAGTCACTATCCATAGGATAAATAACGTCGGCAATGGCAACATTTAATACAACCGGTGTATCAGTAACATTTGCCGAGGGTGACATCATGAATTGGAGCGTAACGTTCTGTTGAGCCATGGAACATCGAACCTATAGAGTTCACGAGAATGAGTACATGTGTTGTATTTCACTTGGCATTATTTCCTATTATGTTAAACACAAACCTGAAAGTAATTATTAGCAGAATCATATGCCAAGTTTGTATTTCCAATTGCCGCAGCGAAGAGGGGTTCAATGACATTCATGGGCAAATAAGTCAATGTAGTGCCAGTGTCAAATACAAATTGGGTGGTCTCTTTGAAAGGCGCATCAAGCGTGGTCTTTCCGTTCACAGTAGCGCCCACTCCTTGTCCGAATACTTGCCAGTAGCCGTAGTCAGATCTACCGCCAGCAGAAATGCGAGTGGTTTTAGCGAGTGGAAGGTAGGTGAGAGGTCCCTGATACTTTGTTTTATCGATACCGCCAAAAACAATCTCGCCCAATGTGTCCATGGATTCAGATTTGTTGAGGAAAACAGAGAATATATTCTGGTCGATCTTCTTTTGAGCCTTCAAATTAAAGAAGAATGGATTGTAGCTGGTGGTGGGAGATGTGATCAATGGATATCCTAGCCCAAAAATGCCATCCATACGACGGTCTGTGCTGTAACTGGTGACATTGTCTGCACTGCTGATGGTAGGCGTATAGGACTCCCCAGAGAGTGTTTGCATGTTGGTCAAAATGTTCTGTGTCTTGCTGGCCAAACCAAATTGCTGTTGTTCAATGATGGCGCCGCCAATGTTGACGGTATCCATACCAAATCCTCCAGAAGCACTCCCAATGCCATAGGTGATATTGAACACTTGGCCCATGTCTTTGAATGTGCTAGATTGGCTCTCATTGAATTTAGCGAGTGGGCACATGGTGCTAGGGCAACTTGCTCCAGGTACCCACAGATCGGCACTACAATCGACGTGTTCAATATGTATGGACATGTCTGTATAAACAAACAAACAAACCTTCCAGTATCCAAAACAAGCTCGAAGTTTTGAGGTGGTGTACCAATGGCTACATCGACCATGTAAATTGAGCCATCCCCAATGTATAGCTTCTCGTTGTACTGAGCTCGTCTACGAAGCGATGCAATGGGTGGTCCGCCATGAATGATCTTCTTTTTGCTGATGGGTACTCTTAAGAGCTTTGTTTCCTTTACCGCATCTGTGTTTTCGGTGGCTGCTGACATTGCTGCTGCTGCAGCAGAGACTAAAAATCCAATTGCTAATTGAATCTTCATGTTGTAACGGAGAACGAGTGGACTGGGTGGACAATAAGAAGTGGAAAGTAGTAAAGAGCTCTGCAGTGTAGCCACTTGCACTATGAAAAATATAAAACAGTTGAAGGTATGACAAGAAAAATCTTTAATGTACTACAGTGGATGGTAACACGCAATTTGCGTAGAGTCATGAATCATGGCCAACAACCTGCAGTACACAGACGAAGCCTCCTCGTGTTATGCTGAATATGAGAAGCTACCCACCACTGTGGGGCCATCACCATAGAGCAAGTATAATGTACTCTGCCAGGCCAATATGTGATAGCATTGTTTACATTTGCAAATTCAATATCATGCCGTATAGACTAAATGCAGCTAATGTGAAATAATGCAACGCACAATGAGCTTCTTGCATTTCCATTTTCTTTATTAAACGTACATCATTGTTCAGGCACCATTTATTTTTCTACAGGCTAGCATATGCGTACATCCAAAGATTTATGTGGAGAAGCTACTAATATTATATGACACAAACTTGGCTAGATCGCTGTGTCGTTTTCCTTTTTGTCATCTCTCTATGGCATAACAGCAATGATTTACATTTGATGGCTCAATAATTAGTTTGAGTAAGTCTCAAGTAAAAATGATATTACAAGATGGCGCATAGACTCTAACTGATACCACTAATACCTCACTGATATCTTGTTTCAGCACCCAGGTCAATGCTGGTATCAGCGAGGAATCATTCTTTCGATGTCACCCGATACAGCCGTTGTGGGAGACTGTCTGACAGGCAGTTATAATTCCAGGCGTCAAGGTATCATGAGACTTTAGAGGGTGTCTCTTGATATGCTGCTTCACTTTGGGCCAAACCACTTCGAAGGACTGAGGAATATCGAGCAAGGAGGCTAAAACCAAGGTTTATAACTCTTGTCTCAGTATAAGCAAGTGCTCGACTGTTATCGCAGATTCTTACGCTATCCGTTACTACGTGATATCTTCTCATTCCTTCTTTATCCATTACATCTAATATGTGTTCTTCAGGATAAAAATGTAACGTGTATTAGTTTATTTTCGTGTTTTGGAGTGTTGGATGTTTCAGAAGCCTTTCTTTTCTTATTACACTGTAGAGTTTTTCTTGGATATGTCAATAATACCAGCTCTACCTATACATTCCATGGTAGTAGATTGTGTATTCTTTTGGGCTGGGGCCCTGACCTTGATAGGCTTTCTATTTCGGATACGATTCGAGCCATCTAGTAATTCAAGCTACCCGAGTTATGGATCATCTAAGTTGGAGCTATTTTTACTGTATAATAGTTTCTACTAGATGCAGACTATCTATAACGTCTAGAGGGTCCAGCGTGCCTTACAGCCATCATCCCCTCACTAATAGGCTGTATTATTGTGCTATGATGCTGCGATACAACAGTGCTACGGAACCTAATATGTCCAGCTGAATATTTGGATGTAACAGCATGCTCTAAAACTAGATTTATGCATACAATGTATTTACGCCTTTGTATCATAACAAAAACGAGTCTTTAAATAAGCAAATGTATGAAACACAGCCAAATTTGACAGCTTTCAAGCCTAAATATCTTGACATGTAGACCTCTCGGAACCACCGGAATGACGCCAAACAATTGTATTTGAGTAGTAGTAACTTCCTGACTGTTGTATCCAAAGATACAGTATTAACAAATTAAGATAGATTTCAAAAAAAAAGGATGTGTTTGAATCAATTAATAAATCTTTAGTTTTCGTATCTGGTTACTTTTTATAGTCTTCCTTTTTTTTGAAATCTATCTTAATTTGTTAATACTGTATCTTTGGATACAACAGTCAGGAAATTACTACTACTCAAATACAATTGTTTGGCGTCATTCCGGTGGTTCCGAGAGGTCTACATGTCAAGATATTTAGGCTTGAAAATTGCCGAATTTGGTTATGTATTGCTTCATAGAGTTTATCTACACGGCATAAATCACATCTTTGGTAGCTGCAATTTACTGGAAAGACAGTTCTGTAGCTTGAGCAATTTTTAGTTCGAATAGGAGGCATATTGATTTTGGTAAAGCTAATTCGTGCAAATTTTGATGCACTATGTTGCTGGTAAGTTTATTAACAATGGAAATGAAAACCCGAATTTGCTGCTTGAATGCTATAGTTTTGCACCTTCGCTTCGCTACAGTAAAAACCCCCTATAAATCAATGCTATCAAGTGTTGAATTAGATGCGTCATGTTCTTCCGCAAACCCCCTCCCCATTGCTGGCTTTACCGGTGGGCTTATTCGCCTTATACGGTACTCAATTCTTTAAATTTTTGAATGTTTTACAGCATATATATTAAATGATAAGTAATCGACTTTAACGAATAGCCGTCTAATATCGGCAAGATATCATCTCCATATACACATATAAACAATGTAAAGCAATGACATGTGCGTCGTTATAGGAAGAGTCAAGTGTGGATCTATAACATTCTGTCTTGTACAAACCAATATGCCTAATAATAGGCTCAAATGCCATAAGTATAGAGTTAGAATGTGGTCCATAAGGAAATTTTAAGGTGGCTCGTTTCAAGTCTGGAGAAATAACATGCTGATACTCGTTTGATTAAACGGTAGGCCCATCTTTAAAATGTCTGCATGAATCTCGACAGGAGTAAGTTGGTTTCTATACTTGGAGTGCACATCACTTTTGCTTGATCCGTCTTAGAAGAGTACACCTTAGAAGCATTCATTTGTGAGTCTTGTCATAAAGCATTGATTTGCTCCCCAGCTGATAAGAGATATAAATGGTAAAGCCTTTTCAACCCAAGCTTGTTACACGATGAGATTTGAAAGTATCTTAAATATACTTCAGAAGTATTTTTCACATCAAATTATTTCACTTCCGTTTGAATAAAATCAGATTAGCAGACTACATTACAATAGAGGACTCAACAGAGTGCTTTATAAAAGAACAACGAACTGATTCATTGATTTTGACAGCTCTTTGTCTCGAATTGATGCATTTATGCTAGAATAGATGAAGTACACGGTTGAATTGCCGAATGGATGCTATAGGTCTATCACTGAAAATCACAGATGAAAATAATGACTTATCGATCACGACCAATCATACAGATGCATTGATCTATGTCAGAACTGGTAAACCACTTGAGATTGACTCATAGGCTTTTCTATTTGACATTAAAGTTTTGCATTTTATTTCTTTTTCTCTTCTTTATTAACAATCAACCCACTCCCTACTCTATTCTTCTTTTTCTTTACTATTCAAATTTGAAAAAAATGGCTTCCAAACTTCTCTCAAGAGCCACGCCTCTTGCCTCTCGTACATAGTAAGTAAAGGAGCAAATGGGAGATTCATGCTCGGGTCTAAGGCTCACATATTTCTATAACATCCAGTCGCGATATTGCCAAAGCTGCACCCATTGGTCTTAGACACTATGCTACTGAAGGCAACAAGAAAAAGTTAAATACCTTTAGTTCTATCATTACTCAACCCAAGAGTCAAGGTGCTTCTCAAGCCATGTGTAAGTTGACAACCCAGAGTGATCTGATGTGGTATTCTGACCAATTCGATAGTGTATGCTACTGGTTTGACTGAAGACGATATGAACAAGGCTCAAGTCGGTATCTCCAGTGTGTAAGTTGTGACAATCGGCTGTACCTATGAGACGAAGAAAGCTGATGTGTGGTTGTCTATTGTGTAGATGGTATGAAGGTAATCCTTGTAACATGCATCTCTTGGACTTGGCTGGTGAGATCAAAAAGAGCGTCAAGGAAGCTGGCCTCATAGGCTACCGTTTTAACACTGTTGGTGTCAGTGATGGTATCTCTATGGGTACTCGTGGTATGAGTTATTCTCTTCAATCCAGAGATTTGATTGCTGACAGTATCGAAACCGTAAGTCACATGCACTTATATTTGATCGAGATTTCCTTATTGATCAAAACAAATTACATATAGGTCATGGGCGGTCAATGGTACGATGCTAATATTTCCATCCCTGGTTGCGACAAAAACATGCCTGGTGTCTTGATGGCTATGGGTCGTGTCAACAGGCCCTCCTTGATGGTTTATGGTGGTACTATTCAACCTGGTCAAAGTTGCGGTGGTGATAAGCTCGATCTTGTCTCTGCTTTCCAAGCCTATGGTGAATATGTCACTGGTGCTATTGACGAAGACAAGCGTTTCGATATCATTCGTCATGCTTGTCCCGGTCCTGGTGCCTGTGGTGGTAGTAAGTGTTGATTCAAATGTGATTTGATGATATTCTAAACTGGAGTGATATATAGTGTACACTGCCAACACCATGGCATCTGCTGCCGAGGCTATGGGTATGACTTTGCCTTACTCTTCATCTACTCCTGCTGCCTACCCCGAAAAGATTGAGGAATGCCGCAAGGCTGGTTATGCTATCCGCAATCTCCTCGAAAAGGACATCAAGCCTCGAGATATCATGACTCGCGCTGCTTTCGAGAATGCCATGGTCCTTACTATGGTTCTCGGTGGTTCTACCAATGTTGTTCTCCACTTGATTGCTATCGCCAAGAGTGTTGGTGTCAAGCTGACCTTGGACGATTTCCAAGCTGCTAGTGATAAGTCTCCATTCTTGGCCGACTTGAAGCCTAGTGGCAAGTACGTTATGGAAGATTTGCACGGTATTGGCGGTATCCCTGCTATTCTCAAGTACCTCATGGAAGAGAAGATGATTGACGGTAATGTCTTGACTGTCACTGGTAAATCTCTTGAAGAGAACCTTCATAGCCTCCCTGGCCTTCCTCAAGGCCAAGACATTATTCGTCCTCTCTCCAACCCTATCAAGGCTAGTGGTCATTTGCAAGTTCTCCGTGGTAACTTGGCCCCCGAAGGCTCTGTTGCCAAAATTACTGGTAAGGAAGGTCTCCGATTCACTGGTAAGGCTCGTGTATTCGATGGTGAGGAGCACTTCATTACTGCCCTTGAAAACGACGAGTTCAAGAAGGGTGTAAAGACTGTTGTTGTCATCAAGAATGAAGGTCCCAAGGGTGGTCCTGGTATGCGTGAAATGTTGAAGCCTTCTTCTGCTATCATGGGCGCTGGTTTGGGTAACGATGTTGCTCTTTTGACTGATGGTCGTTTCTCTGGTGGATCTCACGGTTTCATCATTGGTCACGTCTGCCCTGAAGCTCATGTTGGAGGACCTATTGGTTTGGTAGAAGATGGCGATACTATTACTATTGATGCCGAGACTCGTGAGATGAACATGGATGTTTCTGAGGAAGTTCTCGCCGAGAGAAAGAAGAAGTTTGTTCCCAATCCCCCCAAGTATACCAGAGGTACTCTCGCTCGTTATGTTATGACCGTCAAGAGTGCAAGTGAAGGTGCTGTTACAGATGAATTGTAAAGAAAGAAGCAATCTCTTTATTTTAGACGTAAATTTATGTAAAAGACTATAAGAAGCTATTTATCTATCGACACCAAAATGAACATGTAATATATTTTAATAAAAGTGATAGTTTCAAAGAAACAGTTTTACGTAGCAACTGTTGACTAAGACACATAAATGAATAATATTCGTATCTGAAGAGTATAGTGTGAATAAATCCCTCACATTACTATTTATTGTAACGCTGTCAGTTACATCAGACGACATATTGCGCCATAAAACACCTTATTTCAAAAGGATCCGACGGTGTGTAATCCATCAGCCGAGGTTTGGATGTACGCTCAACAACAGGTGGCTATTTTCCCTTACTACTCTGCAGCGTTGTAAGAGCATGTTTGAGTGGCTGATCCTATTTATTATCAGAATTGCTGTATAGTTTGTGGCACTTTTGAAAGTTTTTTTCGAGATGGAAAGAGCTCGTATTCTTCGTGTTACATGTTTAAAAGCGCATGTTGGGCTTATCTCACCAATTATATTGGACAAAATACCAATGAATAATACAGGACAAAGTGCCAAAATGATGTGATGTCAATTCCATTCCAATGTGAGCACAAGTTCACTCTTCTCTTTCATCTATCACATATTTAAAATGGCAGGCGGATCGGCACTATAAGGACAGCTACAACCGAATCATTTAACCTATAAGTTTCACTTTTGGTTTGACTCACATTCAAGAGCGTAAAAGAGTATCAATACAAAATCCTAGTTGTGGATGATCTAGGCACAGGAAAGACGTCAATTTTAAAGAGATACATACACAATACTTTCACAAGCAACTACAAATCTACTGTAAGGTTTAGTGCTTGGCATATACTCGACACCCACTAATTCCACAAGAATACCTCTAGATTGGAGTCGATTTTGCACTAAAGGTCATTCAAGTCGATCCAAACACCATTGTTAATCTGCAAATGTGGGACATTGCTGGCCAAGAGAGATTTGGAAATATGACTCGAGCGTATTATCGAGGTGCGATAGGAGCATTTATTGTGTATGATGTTACTAGACCACTGACATTTCAGAATGTTTTAAAGTGGAAGAGTGACATTGACACAAAAGTGGAACTGCCGTTAGCATGGGGAGGTGGATCAATACCAGTAGTTTTACTGGCAAAGTAAAAAAAAAAAAAAAAAAAAAATCACAGCGCAACATTGCTGCACTCAGGATTAATCCTACATCTTGCACAGGCTGACCAGCATCCAAACACTAAATCACAGAAAGAGATGGACGAGTTCTGTAGAGAGAATGTGTTTATACAATGGTAATATATATTTATGCTGGTTGGCAGACCATCTTAGTGGACTTACAACGGCTGACAGGTCTGATACATCAGCAAAAGAAAATACAAGCATAGACACAGCAGCTGAATTCCTTATAAACCACATTTTGCAAATGTCAAAGCAGAATGACAGTGAATACGAGGTGGATTACAGTAGCAGCGATAGCAGTAAACTATCCCTCCACGACAACGACCGAATTACCGTGATCAAATCAGGCTGTTGCTGATTTCTCTTTTCTAATAAACATCTTCCACGTGCTACTGATGTCAATTGAAAGTACGCGCTGACACCACTTTATTATCTTTAGAAATGTATTTACAAAGTATTTGATTCTATGCTACAAAGGAAATCAAGAGTCCTTCTTGATAGCCTCAGATCGCTCAGAGGTATCTGCAGCAGTACGGCGAGCAGCAGATTTGTTCAAGACCTCATGAACCTTCTCTCTAGCAGCCACCTTTTGTTGGCGCTCTTTTTCCATCACAACGCTGTCTGCCAACAAACCATGGAATCCATAATAAATACCAACCATCAGCGAAATGAACATGACACCCAAAGTGATTTGAAATGTGAGCCATTTAAAACGAATGACGTAGGAAGTAATCAATTCTGCGACCTTGTTGCGATGAGGGAAAGCCTTGATGAGACCAAAAAGCATGAATGACTCGAAGAGATCAACAAACATATTCAAGAGAGGGATCCAAGCGCCAGGACGAATAGCAGCGGGTGCCTTCTTATAAGCCCATGTGCACACAACAATGATGGGTGCAGAGCGTGCAATGACAAACACAATATCGTAGAGCAAATATGTCAAATAGGCTTGTCTTCCTTTTGGTCCGTAACTGTTCAAAGCGTAGAATACTTCATTGGCAGATGTAGGATTTTGATACTCGAGAATATCCAATGTGGGCTCGCCGTCTGTATCATATCCCAAGGGATTGATAATCTAGGTTTACTGTCAATATTCAGACCTTTTCATGCCAACTCCATGATACATTACCACGGCATACTTGTACAAACGATCCAGCATAATCTTGGCCACGACAATGGAGAAGATGAGGATACGTGCATTTAATAATGAGTTTAAGAGAACCTCTGAAACGTGAGGGAAAGGATCTAATCTGAACTTCATGATGAAAATGTGATTGAAAACTAGAAGAAAGACATTCAAGGAGTGAACACCGGCAAAAATTAATAAATAGGCAGTGATTTCGGAATGGCACGGTAATACCTAAAGTTTAAGTGATTTCCCGTTCAGTAAGCTGCTACTGTGACTAGACTTGATTCGTTGGACCGTTCCATGATGCAGGTATTATCTCACACATCCTTTGTTTCAAGCGTTTTCAAGCGTTCAAACATGATGTTAAGAGAGCATCATTACACTTATCAACTAAATAATTGGGTAATGTACACAGTGAGCAGTAAATTTCAACGCAATCTGGTATTTTTGAGTGTGTTGCTCAGTCGTATCTACATGACGAGGCTTTCAAACGCCTCATTTTCATCGTAAACACACAAAAGTTTGATGAGAACATGACATCGTAACGACGATATGTTGCAAACTAGGCCCTTTCAAGTCTGAAAACCCTCTCAATTCATGCGAACAAGGTGTCAATTATTTGTTTCAATTGCAATCCCCCGTTTGTCCATAGAATAATCATTTGACAGCTGATATTGACATTGTATCCTTTCCATTAGCACTTGCTATAACTACGTTTACTGTTTTGGACATGTAAAAAGCTGTTCACTTATACAGTAAGAACGTTCCCACGAGTGATGTTTTCTTGCTATGTACTCTTGAAATTGGAGCTTCTCGACTTGCGTGTACACTTTAAACGAATGTCGAATTGATAGAATAACGGCAATGGAGACATGACTTTTTCTTTTCCGTTGACTCGCTATTCAATCATCATGTTGACTCTTCATCATAATGATCTAAATAATTACACTAGTACCTATTGTAGCATTTGCAGCAATGAAAAATCAATACCTTTGACCAAGTGCTTCTAATATTCACAGCATCTCAATCCCTTTCTTCAAACCTGCATTGGATGGGCTAGACCTGATTTGGTTATGATCCGTGATATTGCACTACCGGCAGCTCTACGTTAAATCTAGGGCTTTCCGAAACCTGCTCCACAAATTTGATCAATTTCGCGATAACTAATGAGCATTAAATATTGAGGAAAACTCAATACCGCATGCTTGAGTATATTATACGTAAACTACGATAATAAAAGGCATGTTTAATTCGTTAGGTTCAAGTTTGCTATACATCTACCTACATACATTACTAAAAAGAATGCAATCCAGCATTGTTTTTTCCGCCTATATCATGTAGACGATTTCAATTGATTTTTGTAATGAGTAATCCAATGACTTTTATTAGTAGCATCTGTCCAAATTTTGCAAATCTCAAAAATCTCGCTCTTCTCTCCATCAACGCATTCTATCTAAAATCCAATTACACCATCGTTTTCTACGCAAAATTTCGCTATAGGAACATGCTACTTTCAAAGCTCTAGCATCATTTTTTCAAAAATCGATGTTCGATCGTCCAAAAGTTGAAAACCTCAAAATCAAAAAACATTTTGTACATCCAGGTCCTCATAGGTGAAAAAATTAGAATCATATAAAACTGAAATATGTTGTAGAATAATGATATTGGAGCAAGTTCCAAGTGGGAACATTATACTGGAAATGCCTGTTTCATGATATAATTGACATTGGGGATGCTATTTTTAAGCGGGGGAATATACATACTTTAAATTGGAAATCTTATTATTCTTGAATAAAGCAAGCTACAGTTGTCTAGTCTTGACAGCAAGATTCTTCAACATGTCAAGTATCTATTGATAACTTGAAACCAACAAGTTAATATGGCCCTTTTCGTACGCTCCGATTTTTAAAATACTTGGTCAAATGCATGCATGTGTGATGTACACATGCGAAGGCTGAACGGAGGTTGAATTTCTATTGTTCTGAATGAGGATCTATGGGGGTCCGAAATCTATCGACCTTAAAATTACGCGTTTCTTGATAGTAACTACCCCTTCAAACTTATATGAAACTTGTAGAGAATTCAAAGGAGAATACAATGGTATTTATATCAAGTCTCTGGTGTACATTGTTCACCTGATATTTGATACGATTGTTTTTGCGATTTTTTGACTGTTTTCAAAATATTAATCAGTATCTGCCATCAAAACATTTTGTCAAGCATTACTAAGCATTGTAAACCAAAAAATTTCCTATCGAATGAGCTATTGCTTGAAGCTCTGACATGACTCTATCATGAAATATTGAAAATATTGTCCTGACCAAAAAATCGTCACTAGATTTTTTGCTTGCTATCACACGTAGATTTTGAAGAAAAATCCATGATTTTGCATGATACTCTTTTTTGACCATATCTCGACAAATACTCACTGGATTCGCACAAAACAAAGACCATTCAATAGCTCTACGTTATATCCATTATAATATAATGGTTTTAAGTACCAGGTGTACGTTCCCTTCATAAATTTGCTCAAAATCTTATATTTTATGAGCTACAAGCAGGAGATATTCAACTTTTTTTTTATTTATCCATAATAACCATACCATCATACACTATTTTCAGAAATTATTGGGACATTTTTAAAAAAAATTGGTACTAATTCTGAATAAATATTGGGTCTATTTATAATTAAATTTGGGACAAATCTTGAACTATTTTGGAACACTTGCCTAATTAATATTGGGACACTTTTCGAAATTATAATGAGACAAAACTAAATGGGATTTGAGATGAAATCATAGTCGCTTTCTTCGTTATTCATAAAATGTCAGATATCAGAATTTACTACGAAGACGGAATAAATGCTCCAGTCGATGGGCATGGAAACGAAGCTGTTGAAATGGATGTAGACAACGAAGCCTTCCCTCTCGGTGACATTACCAACTACAATACTTATGTTGATAGGAAGCCACCTGAAAGAGAATTGACCGCACTAAAAGAGAAAAAGATTAAAAATAAGAAAAATGTGCCCAAGACTGAATATAACAGCTACACAGACAAAGACAAGGCAAGATTTTTTATCCTTATCTACGACCATGGCATGAATCCTAATCAAGCTTGGAAAGCGCACGGCCATATATCAAGAACAACCGCTTACAGATGGTACGCAGAGGATCAAAAAAAGGTTAACAAAGAAATTGAGGACGATGAAGAGCCAGTTAAGAGAGCAGGTCGACCAAAGATTTTGAACGAAGACCATACGAAGCACCTAAAACTAGAATTTGAAGATAATCCATCAGTAACAATCGAACAAGCTCATGAGAGTCTTGTTAAGGCTTTCTCGGGTTTGACTATCAGCCAAACGACTATTTACAACTACATGACCAATGATCTTGCCTTGACTTTCAAGAAAGCTCATTTCCATTCCAAAGAAAGAAACTCGCCTGAAAACATTCAAAACCGGTACGACTGGGTAGTCAAATGGAGCCAAACCGACATGGATTACATGTCCAACTGTGTTTTCATTGATGAGTCAGCTTTCCATATTAACTTGAAGCGAACAATGGCTTGGTCAGAGAAAGGAACTCGAGCTGAAGTGCCTGTACCTCAAACAAGAGCGAAAACTACCACTATTATTGGCGCAACTAGCGTATGGGGAGTGTTGAATGTTCAAGTGAGGTTGCCTGGAACATCCAACAAGAAAAGAAAGTTAGCTGGCACTTCTTCTGGAAAAGCAACAACAACTGTGGGTACTGTAACTGGCCACTACTTTAACTTTATTGCGAAAACGATTGATATCATGGACCAGCATGAGCAATTCAAAGATTTTTATCTTGTTATGGACAATGCACCCATCCATACAGCCAAGGATATCGAGAGGTATATCATTCAGCGAGGTTACAGATGTGTTTACCTCCCACCATACTCCCCTGAGCTTAATCCTATTGAGCAATTCTGGCATGTGGTCAAGAGTAAACTCAAGAGGGAGAGGCTCTTAAAAACTGAAACACTTTCGACCAGGATTACCGATGCATGCAATGATGTATTGTACAGTGATCTTGAAGGTTCTGCTCGCTACTCTGTTAAGAAATTCGATGTTTGTTTGGCGAAAGAGCCATTGTAATAAATGAATTTTACTTTCTCTGAAAATGTCTCAATGTTTTTTTATAAGTGTCCCAATATTAATTAGGCAAGTGTTCCAAAATAGTTCAAGATTTGTCCCAAATTTAATTATAAATAGACCCAATATTTATTCAGAATTAGTACCAATTTTTTTTAAAAATGTCCCAATAATTTCTGAAAATAGTGTATAGAGAATTAAAAAGGAAACAGAAGCTATTAAGTTTGAAGCTCTCGTTCACTTAGTAAAATCAACCAGTACGACCCTTTGAAATTTGTCCATTTTCATTCTTTTTCCTCATTACTCATCGACATCGTTCTCAGCAAGCCCAAATACAACACGCCCTACTCAAACAAAGTACCCTCTACAACTTTTACTAGACTTACAATCAGCATTCATATAGTAATCCAATGACTTTTATTAGTAGCATCTGTCCAAATTTTGCAAATCTCAAAAATCTCGCTCTTCTCTCCATCAACGCATTCTATCTAAAATCCAATTACACCATCGTTTTCTACGCAAAATTTCGCTATAGGAACATGCTACTTTCAAAGCTCTAGCATCATTTTTTCAAAAATCGATGTTCGATCGTCCAAAAGTTGAAAACCTCAAAATCAAAAAACATTTTGTACATCCAGGTCCTCATAGGTGAAAAAATTAGAATCATATAAAACTGAAATATGTTGTAGAATAATGATATTGGAGCAAGTTCCAAGTGGGAACATTATACTGGAAATGCCTGTTTCATGATATAATTGACATTGGGGATGCTATTTTTAAGCGGGGGAATATACATACTTTAAATTGGAAATCTTATTATTCTTGAATAAAGCAAGCTACAGTTGTCTAGTCTTGACAGCAAGATTCTTCAACATGTCAAGTATCTATTGATAACTTGAAACCAACAAGTTAATATGGCCCTTTTCGTACGCTCCGATTTTTAAAATACTTGGTCAAATGCATGCATGTGTGATGTACACATGCGAAGGCTGAACGGAGGTTGAATTTCTAT